GCAAGTTGGGAACGGTTGGTTTTTTCATCCGCACCGAAAACAGAACATTATGGAGGTTTGAAAGTTAAATTACTGGAATTAACAATCGTAATTGACATCAACACACCGAAATGGTGAAAAGTTCAAGTTTTTTGCAACAAGGTTTTTTCGATGCATGCGAGAGTAACAAAGTTCTGCCATAACAATTATTATGTTTGTTATGTAACATTATGACAACAGTAAAAGTGTGAAAACCTAAGCAGAAATTACTGTTTGCAAAGCAACCCGAAATAACTACGCCGTTGTGTCGAATTAAATTTCGACTGATGGAATTAAGTCCCATCCCATTTGACCATCTGACCTTTGAAAAAATTTGGCATGAAAATATCAATTAGGTGTGTAGTACGTTTTGATATTACCTTGAGCACAAGGCTAATATCACCATATTAAATTCTAATTAGCGTTCAGCTGTGCAAATCCGCATAACAACATGCCGAAATTAGCTGAGAAGATGTACGTGGTAGTAAGCCTTGGTGCACTTTCAGTTCTCATTGTGGTCTCAAACGTGTCTGTCTATTCGTTGGTTTGCTTCAACAGAAGATTACGGACAAACACTAACTGGTTTACCTTGTCGCTTGCTGCTTCTGACATCCTAACAGGAGCCGTCAGTTTTAATACCTCTGACACTCTTCAAACCCGAATCGGTGGTCGTTGCGTATTTGAGTAGTTTGATATTACTCTGCGCACTCACTTACGATCGCTTCGTTGCTGCAATGATGCCTCTGAAGTATCCTTGTCGCATACCTAAGATATTCAAAAGAACTTTAGTTGCTGTGTGGTTAATCCTAACAATTATCAGCTTACTTCCTCTGTTCTGGGCAACAGATTGTGCATCAATATTCCACAAGTGGTACATTGCGTGCTTGGAGGTGTTTGGCGTCGTCATTCCGTACATCTTCATAAGCGTCGCTTATATTCGGATTTTTAAGCAATTGCGGCACAGTTTGGCGTTGAGGAAAAAATTTGTATCTGCGATAAAATAGATCAACGAACCAAGGCGCATTTCACAAGATGCTAAAGTGGCTAAAGTCTTCTGCATCATCTCAGCGGAATTCTTATTTTCGTGGATGCCGATAATTTATATGACAACCGCCGACATTTTCTTCGGTCGTTTCGATATTGTACCGAGTCTTGCGCACAATCTCATACTGCATAATAGCAGTTGCCTCCTTAGTTAATCCCTTCGTGTATGCTTTCCTAAAACCGGATTTTAAAGTTGTTATTCGCAACATCTGTCGAAAGAGTAAACGAGAGGAAGCGACATCCATGAAACCTCTACAGCCTTGTCAGGTGAAAAAAGAGACAGCCAGTGAGAGTTAGAGCTCCTGAAACGTTTTCCGCGTACTAGTAGTACGTAGACATTATAGAGACGATTATCCGCTCTGTCGCTCTTCTCCTTTGACTAAGAACTAAACGTAATGGAAAAGGTGGTTACAGATAAAAGACAAGTGACACATTTTAACCAGATAGAAAAAGATTTATATTCAGCATGGCTTTGACAAGACAAGAAAACTGGAAAAAATAGAAAAAAAGAAAAGCACCTTCTAGAAGAGGGAGAGACATCGTTAGAGTTTTAGAAACGAAAAAATGTGTCAGCCATCAATGGTGTATTTACGAGAGCACCATGCAGTCGTGCTACATGCCATTTCACCGATTTCAATGAAACTTTGCCAGTTTAAAGGGTCTACCCCAAACTCCCAGTTTTTCTTGGTTTTCATCAAGGAAATCGCTTCAAAGTAGGTAAAATGTGTGAAGCTCTCACTGAGATGGTATTTAACTGAGAAATTTAACTCTCCGTAACTGAGAGTTTGCATAAATATAGTGACATCCTTAATGAATGTACGACGCAAGCGACGGCTTGTCAATCAACAGAGGCAAATAAATGGCTGTGTTCTCAGACTTTTCGATTCATCCAAATATTTGATAACTATGAGGTCAAATATCTCTCCTTACCAGAAAGCTACAACACTAATCTTAATTCTCCTTTATAAACCATCATTTCATCTCTGAAAACCATCAAAAAAATATTTGGGCACAGCTGTATTTTTGTCTTGGATGCCTTTTAAATGTGCGACTGTACCAAACTTCTATCTGCCTCTTAGCGGTAACTTGAGGAAATAAACCTTTATTTTATAGCTCGTTATACATGATGATTGATTGAGGAAGTTAAGAAATGTGAATAACTTTCGAGATTTCTTGTAGGAATGGAAAATTTTAATGTGTGTAGGCGAAATAGTGATGGGAAAATTGTATTGTTTCTTTCACCTGTCGTTTATTACTTTGGATATTTGGCAAAATCAGAAAACATGGCTTTTGTACGGCACAGAACATTCATTAGTCTATAATTTGATTTTTTATTATCATTACCTCACAGTTCACAATAAGAAAACTGTAAGCATCCACGATGCTTATTCTGAATGAAGGATCTCTTGCTCTTTGCCTGGCCTCGGGTAATCTCCCTTCCTACGCAGTTGGCGTGCTACACATGCAACGGTTATTCTCTTGGAATGGGTGGGTTGGAATGGTTGGGTGGTACTTTTCGCTACATCTCTCACTTCCGAAACGTAGAGCACATGCTTTACACAATCGATATATATCGGCAGCAGTTTCGTTTCCACTCATTACCACGCCGACATTTGCGGAAATACAACAAGAGCCGGGGAATTTATCGTTTCTAAACGGCAACAACAAAATAAACGTCGAACAGGTTAAGCTTGTGAAGCAAATAAAGTACAACTTCGCTTTAAATTGAAATTAAATAGAGACACTCTCTGTGCGATGGTATAATTGACATTTCTTTTGACAGTTTAGAAGGCACAAATTGTGACATTGATGTCTATTAAATTTCAAAGAAACACGAAAGTCGCATTACCGTCGTAATATAATTATTATCCTTTTTAGGACAGATGTTTCCTTTTTAGTAAAGGAGAGCACTCAGTTTTAAATCCTTCCGTGGAAAAAAAATCATAATATATTTTTTGACTGGAGCGCAAAAATTAGAAAAAAAAAATTTTGATGGAAAAATATTAGGTTTTCTTGAAAAATATGGTTATTTAATTTGACTGTTCTCATGATTAAGCTGCATTTTATTCATAGATAATCAACTGCACTTCTGCAACACACACCCTTACACATTTTTTTAGCATACACCTTAATTTAGATTTGCTAATGCTGTCTTTGCCGAAAGGAAAGGACCGCTCTTTCACTCTATGGAAAAATCATGTATGGAACACAGGAATGAGAACTAAGTCCGTAACTCTTCTCCTTTTAACCGATATTGCATGCGACATGTACTCGCTGGCAGCAGATTCCAACGACGAGAGGTAACGGTAATTTTTGTTTTTTTTTCTTTACGAAGCTTGCCAGGCGCAAGGGTCCCTTGAGTCAGCATGAATTGTTGTCAATCAAAACCTTTCAAGTCTGGCAAGTACTCTGAAGGAAGAATCAATTAAATGAGGTTGATATCCGTTTTTAATGCGTTCGGATCTAGGTTTTGTTCGTCAGTTTTGTATCTTTTGTTTCAATTCAAAGAGATAGGTAGGAGTGGAAGAGCACGTCAGGGTTCGGAGATAACCAGGTGCATGTCAGTCAGATAAACAGAATTATCGAACCATTTATGATAATGGACTCATGACTGAACTCACTTGTATCATGGAAAGCTTTTATTCAGTTTATGCCATGCTGTCTCCTTAACGATTCTAAAACTTTGAAGAAAAGTGCTGATATCATAAGGAAGGAAAAAGCAGCTGGTGACGTATAGCCTTTGGAAAACGTCAAAAAGAACAACGTCGAAATAAAATTCAAAGCGCTTTGTATCTCGTAAGTGAAACAGCACGTATTAACTTTTAATTTAACTTCAAATGTTATTTCGTGTCTTTGTTTGCTTTGGTTGGTTAGTAAACTAAATGTTGAATTATTAAATTTTGCAACCTCCGTTCTTTAGTCTTGATGTGTCATAGATGGAAAGGGGTAGTTTTATGTTTTAATATCATTTCAATCATCATCATCATCATCATCATCGTCATCGTCGTGGTCGTCGTCGTATTAACTAGATGATGAATTTGAGATTTCTTTGTTCCTCGCTCGTAACAAATGTTCAGCATCTTTACTCAACGACCGACGTCGAAGTGTAATATGTGTTCTTTCTTTTAATTTATTTCAAACGTAAAAGGTACTTTAAAGCGTTTGGTGAATTGGCGTCCTTCTTGATCGATCAGAAGAGAATGATTCTTCCAATGCTTGCATTGTATTTTTTGGGTAGTCTCGTGCAGCATGTCATTCTTTAGTTGAGACTTGCCTTCTGTTTAAGCGCAAGCCAACGAATGGTCTTGTTCTTTGATTGTTCTGCTTTAAAAGACCTGACAGAAATCGACTGTTGTTCAACGCATCTGCTCGAACATTTCTGATATAAATTCCGAAGAGCCATCTTGAAATCAGGTTTTAGAAAAGCATACAGCAGAGGATTTGCCAGCGAACCCACCGCTATGGTGAAGAACGAAACCGAGGATAAGATGTCTGGGACAACTTGAATCCGTTTTACAATAAAAGCTGTTGTCATGTAAAGGATTGGCAGCCAAGAGAACAAAAAGGTCAGAGACACAATGCAGTAGATTTTGGCTACCTTGGCATCTGCGGAAATGCGTCTGCGTTCGTTGATTTGTCTTGAGACAGATTTCAAGTTTTTCCTTAACGCTAAGCTTCTGCGCACTTGTCTGAAAATTCTAATGTAGGCTGCAGATATGAAGATGTACGGAACGACGACACCAAGCAGCTCTAAGCACGCCAAGTAGACTCTATGAGCTGTTTTTGAATGATCTGCGCCCCAAATCAAAGGAACAGAGGCATATATCGCCGGAACTAGCCAAATAATCGCAATTCCTCTCTTGAAGAATTTGGGAACTAGATATGAATATTCTAGAGGTTTCACTATAGCAATAAAACGATCGCAAGTAACTGCCGAAATGTTGATAACACCCGAAAGTAAAATCATTGCGGCGAAGTATCCTTCGACGACATATGATGGTTTGAATAGCGTCATAGGAAAAAGTAGGCTACCAGTCAGTAGGTCGGACACAGCAAGGGACAGAATCAACCAATTTGTGTATGTGCGAAGGATTTTGTTGAAGCAAACCAGCGTGACAATAACAGCATTCGAGAGAACTATAAGAACTGACAGAGCACCGAGAATGATGGTTAGATAAGTACCTTCAGTTTTTTTTTCCATACGGTTTTTCTTTCGCTGATATGTTGAGCGAAAGTCGGTTTACACGGGTAGTTACTTTCACTTTGAATTAGATCTTTCTAAACTAAACGGAACCTTCGTGAAGTTGTACTAATGCGTCGTATTAGGTTACTTGTTCCGCTGTGAGCGGAATGAATCTCTAACAAACCGGTATTTTCGATTTTTTCATGTATGTTTTATTCTAAATTTTCTGTCAATGTATGACATTTAAATGGATTAAAAAGTAAACATCAGTAGCGCGCGAAATCGATCAGTTTAATTCAATCGTAGTTTTCTGGTCAGTTTATGGAAAAGTGTCGAAGTGAGAAATTACAAGACGAAAACGAAAGCTCTTTACTTAATTTGATTCAATGGCAGTTTCTACAAACAACAAATACAATTAAAAACCTGGAGGGAGCCTTTTTATGGTCTGCATCTAATTTAAACTATTGCATCGAATAAGAATAGAATTCATTTCAAAAAGGTTTTTGTTTTGTCTTACATTTAGAAAACCTACTGGGTCTGAACTCTTAGACTGGAAATATTAAATACAAATTTTCAAATTTTCGAGTGACTCATGAAGTACCAGGAGTTCTTCTGTGTCTTAATTGCAAGTTCTTCACCATGCGTAATAAATATATGTTCTTGTCTTTTTATGCGAAAACGTTGACTTTGTCTTGGAAACTGGAAAATATAAGCACTGCTTTTGTGCCTTCATGAGCGGCATTTTCACTCGCAACTTCCCCAAAGAAGTGTTGAACTTTTATTTTTTGTGACAGCAAATGTTCTTGTTTGGGGAAATTGGGAACAGAGAAAAAAGGTTGTTCTTCTGTGCCGGATGTTGAATGACTTTTCGGAAGGCGCAGTTTATATGCAGGTGATAACTGGGAGCTCTTAAAATTTGTTTTCAGTGCATGTATCCATTTTAAAGCACCACACATCCTGCTCTGCGCATAACATCACCCAGAACTCCTTGCGAATACGCGCACATGCAAGCCAATAACAGGGCGGATTTTGATTTTTAGCTGTATGGTGGTCTTTTGTTCTGAAGGACTAAAACTGCGACCTTGAAAACAACGAATTTACGCCGTTTGAAAATGTGTATTCTTTTTCCAATGTATTTATGTATTACATTGTTAGATTTGCCATTTTACCCAGAGTCGCACTTGCGATATATTGCCCACTACATCAGAAAATTGTGGTAGGAAGGCTTGAGGTGTAATATGGAAGACTATGTTTTTTACAAAAGAATAAAGGGGTAAGTTTCTAAAGAAACTGTGGTGCCGCGTCGGTGGGAGAGTATAGCAGGTAATTTAGTGTCAACAACTGGGTTGAAAACGTAAATTAGCCACCGTAAAGAGTAAAAAAGCTGACGTTTCGAGCGTTAGCCCTTCGTTATTACAGATCGATAATTTTTCGCTACAGCAATTAGATGTCCCAAGAACAATAGGCATTCTGCGCGATAAATAATTTGATGGGTGGGGAAGGAGGGGGGGGGAGAGATTGCACTATCAATTGTCTTTTTATGCGGTCCTTGCAATGTATCTTCTTACTTTTCTTAGAATGTTTTCCGCCATATAGGTTGTGGAGATTTCAAACATCAAAGTCTTTTGAATTAATTCAAGGTAATCGTGATACAAATTGACAACGAATTTTTCAAATTTCAAATACACGCACAGCAAAATGACATGAGCAATACGTGCCTCATCTTATAGATAACTTTGATGATTGTTATTTGTTCCACAGTGATTGTTAATGATGGTGAGATATTTTGCGTTTCCACAGAAACTGTCAAGCCGTGCGGGATTGTGGTGGCCTGAAAACGATGTGTGAATTGGTCACAGTGACTTACAGAGAAAATGTTCTAGAGCGCACAATGTGGGCGCTAGGAAACTTAGCTATCGACAATAAGTAAGTCGATCCTTTTTTTCTTGTTTTATTGTTTGATAACTCAGGCTTCATTGATTGCTGATTGTAATACAGGGTTAGATTGGTTCAAACTCCCCTTTGTAGTATGATTGGTCGTGAAACCTCGCGCCAACGTCAACCAATCAGATGCAAAGTAAAACGAGTCGAGTGTTCGTCACCCACGTTTTCCCGCTTTACAGTTAGTTAGGTTGCTTTTACATTGATTCCTCATTTGCTTTTCGTGGTAGGTGTTTACCATTGTTCTCTCTGGTCATTTATGTCCATCGAAATGCGCTTAATTTTCAATCATGCATATGGAATGCAATGCTAAGGTTCAATGATGTCAGATGCTGTATTTATTTCTTGTTTTTCTCAATGCCATCGTCATTGTTTATTTTTTATCTATTTGTTTTTGTTGTCTTATTTAGGAATCGCAATTTCATTCGACAATATGGAGGCCTTGAGAACATTTGCAAAAAGTTGCAAGAATCAACCTCACAGCAGGTGAGATCATAAATATGAACAGAGGGACCAAACATTGAAATGAGTACTGCTATGCGGAAATGTTGGCTTTGGTCAAAATTGAAAATTTTCTCAGATAAATTTGTCTACGTATATGTCCCTTCTGTATTCTCGGAGCTCATAGTTTTCATGTAAACTTCGCCTCGGCAGTGTCAGACTACTCTCGGCAGTTTTAAGCCAATCACGCAAAGTTAACAGCTCTCCTTCTGAACAAAAGGCCATTGTACACTTTTTTCTTACCAGATCATAAAGCAAGGTGCCCTGACGCTTAAAACTCTGGCGAGTAGTAATCAACACAATAAGGATGTTATGGTCAGACTGGGGATGATTGGTACACTTCGAAGGTTTGTAACACAGTGTTCTCATGGGGGGGACTCAGCTTCTTCCTTGCTCCACGTTCTTGACAATGTACTTTTACACAATTTTCTGTCTTTTCTTTTTAGTTTAATGACAAATGAGCAGCAAAGTTTAGGTATCATTCCTCGCGGTGTGTGTGGCGATCTACTGCAGCGTCTTCTTGGCTCAGCAGCTGGAAACATCCATATAACAAGCTCAACCACTACAGCACCTGACGATAGAACCCAGGAATGTGCGATCGCTTCTGGCATAATCGTAAAGCAAGAACCTGAGATGAGATCAGTCAATGGTCTGGTGCAGAATGGTGATATTGACAATGAAGATGACGATGACTTATCCCCTCTGGGTGGGGAGGACAGTAACGAGAAAAATGAGAGGATTCCGTCTGCGATGATCACACCAGCACCAAATACTTCTGAGAACCTTTCCCCGAGGGAAAATTTCTCTCGGCCGGAGACGACAGGAAATGCTGCAGCTAGGTCTACTGTAAGCGTTGGGCCTCGTGCAGAAGAGAATGATTTAGACCCATTTAGGTGAGCTGGTTTTAAAAATTGCAATTGTGAGAAGACTGTTTTTGAATGAGAACAAAGCTTTGGACGTCGGGATTGAAGAATCCATGTTTGGGCTGGGGTCTCCAGTTACCGACTTTCTGAACCTCCCCCCCCTCTTTAGTGAGCACCGCTCCCCCTTCCCCATCCCCTGGGAAAAAACTGTAACATTAAAACGCCACTGGCAATCAATCAAAATATCAATGCTGTAGCCATGGTTATACCGCAGTAATGTTCTTCTCTTGGGTTGGGTAGCGTGTCAGTTCCAAATATTTTTTACAATTTCAAGCATGTACCAGTTTCCGTTTGAGACATTGGTAGGTTTAATGAACAAATAAATACAAATTACATGCACTTGCATTTAGTCGTGAGTGGAAACCTGGAGGAGTAATATATCCCGGAGGCTTATTAAATGTATTGTGTGTTTTTTTTTAGGACATACTGTATTTTGTTTTAATATTATGTTCAGCGTCAACTGTTTCGTTTTCGGTCGCGGAGGACACACAGTCTGTAAAAGGTGGCCCTAATCCTACAATCAGTTGTCGCATCATGTTTGAAGAGTCCAATTTATGAGTAGAGTAACACTTCTGTTTCCTACAATCAGTTGTCGCATCATGTTTGAAGAGTCCTATCTATGTGTAGAATAACACTCTTGTTTCTACCACGCTAGAAATTACTGATAAGACCTCCCCTCCTCTATTCAATGTCGCCTGTATGAAGCTAACGGTTCATGGAATCACGACACAACATTTTTATGAAGGGGAGGGGAGGGGGCGGCGAATAGGTAAACTTAACAAGGGCAAAAGAGACAAAATTGAAGTAAGAGGGTCTTGAAAAGGTCAATGTGTCAATGTTGTCGCCAATTGTAGGTCTAGACCATCGCAATGTTCACATCCACCCCTTGAAAATAACTTGGTATTGGCAGATAAACAAGGTAACCTGACCGATGTTGGAGTATGGGAAGGGGAAAAACTTCTGATTGTTCTAACATCTCACACGTGGGTAGGAAAACTGCTCTTAACTCGCTTAAATATACATAAGTAAGAATCCTTTTAACAATTTGAAATTAGTATTTTCTTGCCCCCATTTAAAACCATGATGATTTATATATTTTCCAGCGTGCATCCGAAAACAGTGTGGTCACAAACGAGAGAACTGGTGCGAGTTTGTGTGAAGCTGCGTGGAGTGGAGAGACAGCAGACCGAGATAACTGCGAGCAGGCTCAAGTTTAGGTAAGTTTGGCAGCATTTGAGTTTCTTCATTCAAAATCATCTCCCTCGAAGATGACTCTTCGATTAGTCCACTTTAAGCAAATAGTCACGAAAGACAAGGAACGTCTTTGAAGAGAGAATTTTTTAATTGGGTCAAAACTACATTTTACAGGTTGTTTTTTTACTGTAATATTCGAATCCTCAGGGGACATTCTAATATTGTTATGTTGCGCACATATCCCAATTTACCATGCACACTTGTTGATCCCAGCAATATGCAGTTCGCCTGTCATATGCGAACCTAGTAAATGACCAAGCATGCTTCCGAGTATTTTTGAATGCAAGAGTGGAGCATTCCACCGAGAATTCCGACGTTCTGAGCAGGGTTTAACGAAAGCCGATTACAGGCGATGTACCGCCGCTCAAACGACCTCTCATCGCCGTGTGTTTCAGTAGCTTACGAGAAGGTTCTCGTGTGTGGGTTTCTCCTTAGGGGGTAGCAGCCTGTTACACCATCGGCCGCCGTTTATGGAAAAGGTTCTTGAAACCCGTAGGAGGTTCGACCCCCACACGAGGTGGTGACAAATGGGAAATTTTTTTAAGTAAACAAACTCAAAGTTTTCCCACTTCGTAACCCTGTGATAATGCATTTTGGTTGTGTCTTTGTATGTTTTTTTTGTGATATGATTAATGTTTTCTTTCACTAGTACACAGCTAAGACACGTAGTTTATGAACTGGACATGGAGCTATTAGAGGAGATTGATCCTGAGGTAGGTCTGAGGTCTTTTCGTTGACAGTCTCTCTGTTTTCAATTTGCGGTGTTGTTAATTCTGTTCTCTCGCTGGATGATTGCAGCAAAGTACTGTAATTGTCAAGGGCTCGGAGGTACAAATTTTACTCAAGAAAAGAAACCATGCCGTGTGGACGCGGTTGTTGAAGAGCAAAGAAAAGGTAACATATACAGTAGAACATGTAATTTGTTCTTAGTCAACATGGATTGACCCTCATAGTTTCTCTTTTTTCTTTCTGTTCGTTTATTGACTTGCTTTTTGTTTGTTTGATTTCTTTCAGTTGCCTTACGTCTCCATTGACTTTGATCGTTGGGAAGTATGGTCGTCATCGGAGGAGGACGAAACCGAAGATGATGTAAACTTCCGAGCAGCGCCGACGAACCCGGAAAATTCCCATCACACCTCAGAGGATAGTAGAGAAGGAAGGAAACTGGTATTATTGCCTGAAATGCTTGTCAGTGGTTCGGAGTCCGATACTGATGAAACCTTGCCATCTGATGTGGATTGCTTAAAATTCTATTAGCCAAAACACTGAGAAAAAATGTGTTATCGTTAGAATGTGACAGTTTTTTGACAGGTGATCAACTCTTTCAAGAAATGGATTAACCAAGAGCGTCACATGACTAGTCACTAGTATTTGTTATGTTACATGAAAGAAAGTCAAGTTAAATATTGAAATCGAAGTGAAAATTTTCTTTATTTAGATAGCTTTATTTACGGTAATTTATTACATTGTTTTTACATTTTCTAACATCGAATAAAGCTCTAATTTGATGGTAACTTTTGGTAGAGTTATTGCCTTGTTTAGCTGTACAGTATGTTGAAGTGTCGTTAAAATTAAACTAAAATAGTTTAAACGGCCATTTAGAACAAATCAAGAAACCAAAGAGCCAATGAGAAGCTAAGGCAGATATATGTAAGCAAACTTAAGTACATGCGCAGACGAACACGGCATTAAGGAGTCGTGCATGTTCTAATTTCAATCAATCACCCCCGGGTTCCATGCGGTGGATAAAATAGATTCTCGCGCTCTGATTAGTCGTGGTTTGCGTCTCGCGAGGTGATTGTAGCAGGGGTGATAAAATGGCTGCCTTGCATTATGTCGGCAAAGTTACCGAAGAAGTGATAAACGCGATAGGAGAAATTTAATTTCTAAGAGCACAGAATCCAACAGGTTTTGTGGAACACTTTTCAAAAGTAAGAATTTTTTGCTGATTAGATTGATTATGGAAACTGGTTGTTTATCTCGATACGAGTGATCAAAACTTATGTAACATATATGCAGACTGCCTTCTTTATTTACACATAGTTTTAACATAAAGGAGTTTACTAAAGAATCCCGCGAAAGTTTTTGTGCAATTATACTAAGACAATCATTCACATCAGGCTCAGTGAATATGAACTCCATATCCGAAAGTTCAGCCTATAATACGCCGGGATATTTAGCGAGTTGCGTTAGAAAACGTTCGAAGAAATAACAAACGAATGTTTCAGACATTCGAAACCAATTGTTTGAGAGAAGAATGTCAAGGTTTACTTATTACTCGTCCTGCGAATCAAAACATTTAAGACTGTGACAGTTAACGAGTTTTTTGATTCCCTCCCTTATGACTGAATTTCCTTTGTAGTACAACACAGGCATTGTTGTGCTTGCGGAGAGCAGCCAGAGTACACAACTGGATGGCAATTACAATCGCGGAGAAGCAAATGATGTATCCGCCTTCAAATGTCTCAACAGCCCTCCTAGGAAACAACTTCACCTGCCTCAGAACAACTAAAAAAGTGGACGTCACCCACACCGCAAAAGAAGCAGTAATGGCGTATTGCATCTTTATGGCAGCTTTGTACCACCATGGTTTAATGACGGCTAAATATCTATCCACACTCATGACTCGAAGGGTTCCCACCATAGCAAAAAGGCATAAAAAGAAAGAAAGCACCATGACAGGCGAGTCCCAATCACTGCGATTGAAACACGCTTCACCGGCGATCAGCTCCGTAATTCTGAATTTAATGTACAACGGTGTTACTACCCCACCCCACAGAACGTCAGTCAACGTCAAGCTGCAAAGATACAGAAACCCTGGGCGGAATCGAAGTCCACCCCTCAGAATTGTGACCAGGACCAACCCGTTTGACAGGAAACACCACAAACCTAACATGGTTGTGGCAAAGGTAAGCACCAAGCTGGAGTAATAACTAAATTGGGATTGGACAGAGCGTGGAAATTCAGAGATGAAGCACGGCCGCCCCTCTTGCAACACTTCGTACTTTGTGTCATTTGTAGTCAAGTTTGGCTCCATGTTAGCTCGCTTAATCCTAAAAAATAGAAAAGAAATGATTCTTACATATCCATCCTAAACTGAAGTAAGTTTGACGTTTTAGATGTACCGTTGAAGCGTTGAAGCTCCCTAAACATTTTATCTTAGGTATGCATAGTCTTGAGCTTCCTACATGTGTTAAGATAATTTATGGCTATCTGAGATTGGATATGAAAACCAATTTTAGTTGACACAATTTTAAACTGAATGAACCACGGGCTACTTGTTTGACTGATAGGTAATCGAGGACTAAAATACGGTAGTTCGGAAAATTATCTCATCGTTGAAAATGTTTTATTGTGCTTCTCATTGACTTGTGAAGGTAAACACAAAAGGTAAACGCAAATGGTTTACACCGTTTTAATTGAACTGAATGAACCACGGACTACTTGTTTAACGCCAGGGACTGATAGGTAATCGAGAACTGAAATACGGTAGTTCGGAAAATTATCTCATCGTTGAAAATGTTTTATTGTGCTTCACATTGACTTGTGAAGGTAAACACAAAAGGTAAACGCAAATGGTTTTCACCGTTTTAATTTGCTTGTTTTCGTAGACAAAAATACAAGACTAATGACCATTTCCTTGGAACGTTCCGAATGGCAAAATACCGACTAATTAAGAAACAATCAGAAGGCTCGGATCTACCTCGGGACTTCCTTGCCATATAATAATGAACGATAATTACTTGGAGTTACATTGTGTAGAAGTCAAGCTCATGAAAAATCATTTTCAAATTCAAAATTCCTGGTAAAGTTAACTTGAACTTAACTCATGAACTTGACAATATTCAGAGACAGTGGAACACTCCGCACACCACTGATACCATGCCAGTTCTAGGTATGCCATAATGTCTTCAAAATTCTCAATGGAAAGGCCGTCCCACAGAATCTTATGTTTCCCATAAGTTCCCCTTGTGTTAAAGTGAGTTTGATGATTTGGCAAAAGCTGAAAAAAAAAGAAAAAAAAGAAACGAAAATGAAAGAAATGACCAAGGAGGCGTGCTTTAAGGACTTTGAAGTTTTGAAATTGTGCATCATGTGTGTCCCTTTTTTTTCCGAAGTGTTTTCTATCGGAATTACTATATGTGTTCTTGAATAAAGCATTTTGTAGGTTCAGTTTATTGATGCATCTATGCACATAGTTATATAGTTTATTCTAGATTTTAATTTTCATCTTTGGCGAAAAGATGATTAATGAAATCACAGTTTAATGATTTTAATGATTAATGATTTTAATGATTTTTAACGGTAAAATTCAGTTATAGCGGAAGACATTATTGGTCAGATGAACATCACAAATGCCTCATGTGTAATACACTTCAACTTTCCTGGTTCAAAGACACGATTTAGCAAAAGACTCGCCACTCTAGCTGGGACTTTCACATCATCTGAAGTAAGACACTCTTCACTTCTTTTCTAAAATTCATTGAGGTAGTCCTAACTTTTTAACATCCTTTCTACAAAGTTTATGATCCCAGAGCGTATGAGATCTTGCCGTCACGTGAGTAATTCCCACTCTGTTTCCACAAAAGTAATTTTTGTTTATCTAATCTTTCAGCTAATTTATTGATACTTTATTGACCAAAATTTTTTGGTTCAGTTGATTTGGTATTAACCTATTTTTTTCAAAGTCCATAACAACAGGAAAAAAAGGAAAAAAAGTGAACTTGTCTTACGTATATGAATTACTACTTGAGGCATGAACAGTGAATTTTACAGGGATCAACCAACCAATAACATGCCACTAACCCACAGGGACAATCATATCTTCATTTTCTTACTTTGTGAATTTGATTTTCTGAAGGAGCATGGCTTTGTCTCTGTTATTTTTGTGACTGATGGCCGAAATATGTATCACGCTCCTTCCATACGTCATCTTGTACAGAGGTCAGGTCAGGAAGTTCCACAACTACTTGATTGAATGGCCGACCAACGTGGTTTAGGTTAGGCCTCGTGTAAATAACCGGCCCACAGTCAGTAAAAAACTGTCTGGTCATTGTGTTGTGTTTGTTAAGCCTGAAATACTCGGGCTCACGCATGGGCTTTACTCGAAGACGACTTGTTGACTGAATTCAAACAACCCCGAGTTATAAACTCAGGATCCTTTGGTCGAGAGGAAATATCTTCCCAACATCAATGTTACGACCAATGCTTTGAATGTTAGGGTAGAACTGTTGAGGGAAAAACGTGCAGCTGAAAACAAACAGGTAAGAGGTTTCTCCGCTTTAACGCTTGTCTGAACAGTAGTAGGGAATTTATTATTTTGATACAATATTCCATCCAGAGTAGCCTACGTCGGACAGGTGAGAAAACGCGACCCTCTCTCCTTGACAGTTGAATTAACTGTCCTCTCTTCCCGGATAAATTGTCGGCTGGTCATACTGGCCCAGTTTGAAAACTTTAATTTTTCTTCAACGCTTAGACCTAACTTACACAGTGCTGCAAACCGAAAACAGAGCTTTCTGAAAACGTGAACTTGACTACTCTTTGTATTTTGAGACATTTCAGTTAGGCCCTTCTTTTGCGCACGCTCAAATGCACTCTAGTGATATATTGTTGTGATTGTTGCGCTTTCAACTTTTCCCGACGAGACATGAACGAACCACATTTTATCTGTTGCAATTTATCAGTGTGATTGGGGCCTGAATTGAAGTTTTTATTTCCATAAAAGATTGAATGAAATAATGCTGAGTAGAATATTGCGAGTCAGTTTGTAAACATGCAGGCTTTTTAGAGGAGAGGGACAACCCTCTAGTGAAAGCTAATCCACATTTTATCATATCTTACCATATTCTACAATCTTTTATACCGATAATAATAAGTAATATTATATCGGCGTTCAGTGAGTATCAGGGTTAAATGATTTTGTTTTATGAGTTTCAACCCTTCTATTACTTCGATAATTATTGCTGATTTTCGTCACTGATTAATTCAAGAATTCTCGTGCAATTCATTATGTTGTGTCTTCATATTTCATCGTATTTTTGTCTGAAATAAATCTGATTATCACATAAACTGCGGTGTTATACAGGGATTTCCGGCCCTGAGAAAAGCCGTAACAACACAAGTGAAAAAACATCGTATTTTTTCACGTGTGTTGATATAGCTAATCAGCTGCTGACAAGTCACTCGCCTTTGGCGCCACTCGGTCAGGTTGATGAATGAACGGCAAAGCCTTCACGATTCTAAATACAAGTTGTTTGTCGGAGCTTTCTCGAATTATGGCGGCTGAAACACTAAAAAATCCGTATCATTGACAGACAGTGAATTTCAAACTTTCCCAGAAGGCGAAGAAAATCAATATATTAAAAGAAAAACCGAAAGTTATGTATTCAGTGGCTTTGGTGTTAGCATTTCTCTCGGCTGAGAATGAAAATCGACAACTGGAAAATTTGCCACAGGCCGATTTTGGCCGTTTACCTGAAAGACTTCTTCTGTCGGTAGGGACAATGTCAATAAATGAGAATTTTGTAAATTGAAAATTACGACCATTGTTGTTTTTACAATCATGATTCAACGCATTTTTCCATCTTAAGAGTTAGCGCCAACGCACTCTACAACTGTTATTCGGGGATTGTCGATTCATTTATTTTCATTCAATAATGAAGTCGGCTTTTCTTCTCAGGGAAGGCTATTGTGTTTATATGATAAACAAAATAATACATGGCTGCTTGTAGATACGGAATTTCTCTTCTCGAGTTCAACTCGACATCTCACTCGTTCGCTGCGCTCACTCGTGAGCTATCGAGTTAAACACTCGAAAAAGAAATTGCATATCTACGCGCGCCCATGTTTTATTCTTTATTACTCTGAGATTGTCATCAGTTATGCTCCTTGGGACTCTTTTTTTTGTCTTATTGAAGTATTTTTCTCCATCATCAACCGATAATTATCTTCAACGTGTTGTTTTATTCATTAGATAGGAAGCGCTTCGAATTTTATTTAGACTTGTCATTTTTTCACAACGTTTTCCAAAGACCATAGGCCACCAGCTGCTTCTTCGTTCCTTATAATATCGGAAGTTCTTTTAAGATATAAAAACGTTATGCTTGGAAAGATTTTGACAACATGGCACAAACTGAATGAAAACCTTTTCGAACTATTTTTCTCCATCATCAACCGATAATCATCTTTGACGTGTTGTTTTATTTATGAGATAGAAAGATAGAAAGCGCCTCGAATTTTATTTAGACTTAATTTTTTGCGCATCGTTTTTCAAAGGTCATACATCATCAGGTACTTTTTCGTTCTTCTGAGGTATATAAAACGTTATGCATTAAAATATTTTGACAACATAGCACAAACTGAATAGAAACCTTTTGATATAGGTGAGTTCAGCTATGAGTTCATTGCTATCAATGGACTGATAATTCTTCCGTCTTGGCTGACATGCGCCTGATCATCTCGAAACCTTACCGTGCTCAAGTGTTTATCATCTGTGATGAGTCGTTCCTCGTTTTTATGAGATTAGTGTTAGCTGGTGTTTTGCATGTACATAATCGTCCCTGGCAAGGCGTTCGTGTCTCCGTTGAATGTACCATACCTAATGTTATTTGAAAATTTGCGAGCTGCTTCCTTACCTTTATCTATCGCGCTTCTTAACTTTTAAACGTTCAAGAAATTTGATTACAAGAAGCCAAGTAGACTGTGAATCGTTCACGTCTTGGTCGAGGTATCCATGTGCCACACTAATACGACTCGCGCTCGCTATTAATTGAAGGTTGTTGAGGGGGCTCTTCACGGCGGTTTGTGTGTCTATCTGTTTTCACCTGGCAAGCCTGTTTAGGTGTCTTGGACATCGCTACCACTCGATTGTTATTTCGACAGATATTTCGTGTTACAACCCTGAAATCCGGTTTGAGGAAGCCATACACGAAGGGATTTACCAACGAGGCAATGGCTACTGTATATAGTGAAATGATCGGCAGGACAGTGGGAACGATGTCAAACCGACCAAAAACACTGACTGCGGTTGTCATATAAATGATCGGCATCCACGAAATTAGGAAGGCCACAGAGATGATGAAGAAAAGTTTCGCTACTTGTGCATCAGAAGAGATGTGTCTGCGTTTGTTGATCTGTTTCATTGTGCAATCTAATTTATTCCTCGATGCCAAGCCTTGCCTCACTGCCTTAAAAATCCTAATATAGGCGATTGTCATAAAGATGTACGGAGTGATCACGCCAACGAATTCCAAGCAAACAAGGTACACCAAGTGAATTGTTTTTGAACGATCCGCTCTCCAAAATAATGGCAGTAAGCCGTATATGGTTGGAAATAACCATACAGCGATTATGGTTTTTTTGAATATCTCAGGTATGCGGTAAGTGTAGTGTAGAGGCTTAGTAATGGCAACGTATCGATCGTAAGTGAGTGCGCATATGTTAGCAACACCCCAGAGCAAGATCATAGTTAACAAACAATCTGCCACGATGTGTGCTAGCCCTATGACTAGCATGGGAAATAAAATGCCTCCTGTAAGTATGTCGGACACAGCAAGTGAAACAGTCAGCCAGTTGGTGTATGTTCGTGGGACTCTTTTCAAGCAAACTAAACTAACAACGAAGAGGTTCGCGGCAACGATGAGAACGGATAACACGGTAAGGGAAACTGTCACGTTGAGATCCATCTTTGATTCTGTTGAGTTTCTTTTACCTTTATACCCTCGGATATCCAAGAGAAGGCTCCTCTTACTTTTGTTGGTTTCCTCAACTTCCCTGAATTACATCGGAGTTAGTAAAAGGCTCACAGTGTTAACTTTAGGTTCAGTAGAATTCCGCAGCCCAGGCGGTCAAGGAAGGAGAATCTGAAAGAAATGGCACTGCATGCGAACATTTGCATAATTTTTGTAATATGACGTTATTTCTATGACATAAATGACTCAAATTTCTGCGTCAATTGCCTAGGAAACGGTTAACATCGTTATCGTTCTTGTCTCATCAGTCAAAAGCTGCGCTAAACACCTGTAAACAGACCGCTTTGGTGAGAAAGGAAAGCAAGACAGGGAATTGTTTTCCATGGCTTTACCAGGAATATTTTCGTTAAAAATGTTTGATTCTTAGACACCAGAAGCAAAAAATAATTGCCCCTGTAATCATCTCTCTGTTCCATGTATATCTATCTCTTTGTTATTGAAAAAAAAAAAAAAAACGGTGTCAAATGCGGTGAAGTATTAAGTAACTATGCTAATCACAAATGATGTATTGCCATAGTGCAATAGAATATTTATGAATTAAAAATCAGCTTCATCACAAGAATGATTTGGTCGAATAACACAAACCTGACGAACATCTTCCGTGAAAAACTTGATATTTCTCCACGACATTCCTTTCCTCAGAATTGCTGTTTTTTCTTTAACAAAAGTGAAAACATCTGTCACATAAAGGAAATCAACCATTTTACAATCGTAGTGTGACTTAAATGTTTCTTCGAAATATTATAGTCGACGGATTATCAACGCGGTTATCAATGTGGGTCAGTATATTGTTCAAATTGTAAGTTTACTTCGAACTGTTTTCGATTGTGCTTAAATTTGAATTTATGAGATAGAAAGCGCTTTAAATTTTTATTCAGACTCTTATTTGCACAACATTTCCCAAAAGGCCATACGTAACCAGCTGCTTCGTCATTCTTTACGATGTCGGCAATTTCTTTTTAAGGTTCAAAAGGAAAGAAATCATGACACAAACTGAATAAAAACCTTTCCTGATACAGTTGAGTTTAGCCATGAATCCACTACTAGCAATGAATTGACAATTAGGCTTTTTGGCTGACATGCACATGGTTATCTCCAAACTCTTGCCGTACTCTAATGGTTTTTTTCTTTTTTATACGAGATGAGTTACCGCACTTTTTGTGTGGGATTTCCCACACTTTGTCAAGGCCCTCGAAATTTATTTCTTTATTTCTTTATTTATTTGTCCACGAGAGAGAAGTGCTTGTCACGTGGTTTCTATCTGAGCCGTGAAGACTGGATTCCAGTAGATGTTTTTTCACTGTGTATTGTACGGCGGCCATTTCTCTTCTCAGATTTTGGGTTTTGGAGAACTTATACGGAATTTCATAATTGTTTCCTGGAGATTTTTGTTTCCAAGGTAAGGATAAGTCATATTCTATTTTCACGCGTTCTTTGCGTGCTTTAACTTTTCAATTTTGTTGTGGGAGCTTCACGATTAACCTCTCACGAAAGGCGATTACGTTTGTGCACCTGGTTTGTGTTCTTTCTTTCATAATCTGAGGCGTTTATTTCGTTATTTCTTCAGGTGTTTATAACAGAAGATTTTTTCACGCAAGCCAACACGCTGAAACGCGGCTTGTGTTCAGCGCAGGTTGCACAGGAGCTTTTACGCTTTCACAAGCCAACTTTTATCGGCTTGGACCTTCGGTGCGGGTTGTGCCAGATTGAAAGGAGTCATTGTACTCTCGCAAGCCAACATTTGTCGGCTTGAATATATTTGTGCGGGTTGTACTTCAAAGAGTCTCAGAGTGTCTCAAAATGTCACATACTGAAAGAAACTATTGTTTGCCTAGAACTGTCAAGAGTGTTATTTATTTTAATAAACTGAGTTTCTAGTTTATTGGATTGTTGTTGTTGCTCGCTCAAGAACACAAGTAAATATGGGGATCTCTATTGAACAATTCCGTTCAAGGATTGGATCTCATGACAATTTCGTGAAAACAAAGGATGCCTCATCGCGCTTTAAGGATCGGTTTTGGAATATAATGCTAATGACGTTTTATTTAAATGTATTTTATTTGCCGACACTGAAACAAGTTGTTGTGCAATACAAAATGTTGAATCGAGTGATGTTTTGGTTTACACAAATGATGTGCTACAATGTTTAAGTTCCATTGCTTATAAGACAAGCAAATGATGTTGAGGAAAATCCTGGCCCTACGATATTTGATATCATTGACCCAATGATAACAGTGTCTGCAGACTACAGTCAAGGAAATGAAGCACTCTTTGGTGAAAATGCTGGTAAGCAATGTGTAGCAATGTCACTTACTGCTATTATTTATCATCAAGTAGAACATATCAATGAATGGACTTCTTCCACTTTGAATAATATTTTGACCATTGGAAATAATCTAAATGTTTCTATAAGATATTCCGTGCAAACAAATGATTATTTGCTGTTAACTGATGTTCCATGTGCTGTTTCACTTTACAACAAAGTGTATACATTGCAATACAGTGAGTCGTTAACTGGAAGTTTGTTCATGACATCAAATAATGGCCCATACATGTCTCTTCAAAATTCACTGATGGAAGTATTTTCAAATTCTGGACTAAACTACCATTGTTGTTTCGCAGGTAATTTAGTGTTAACAACTGGGTTGAAAACGTAAATTAGCCACCGTAAAGGGTAAAAAAGCTGACGTTTCGAGCGTTAGCCCTTCGTCAGAGCGATTAGGAAGCTAAGCTTCGCTCTGACGAAGGGCTAACGCTCGAAACGTCAGCTTTTTTACCCTTTACGGTGGCTAATTTACGTTTTCAACACAGTTGTTAACACTAAATTACCTGCTATACTCTCCCACCGACGCAGCACCACAGTTTCTTTAGAAACTTACCCCTTTACCATTGTTGTTTGTTAACTGTTGGAAACAATACTGTTGCAGTGTTTAAAAATTCTGAACAAAGCTTTAAGATTTTTGACTCTCATTCAAAAGATTTTTATGGCATGCCCCATTCATTTGGGAAATGTAATTTGCTGAGCATTGAAGTCCTTAAAAACATTGTGTCATATTTGCAAATGTCTTGCTCAGAAGTAGGGGTTGTTCCTTTTGAAATCAAAGGTGTTTTAATCAGTGATTGTCAACTTGATTTGAAAAGTGTTCAAAACAGCCAGAAGAATGAAGAGTCACCTTCAAGTGACAAAAATAATCCAAAAAAAGCTTGTTAACAGAAAGCGAAAGTGTTCAAGTGAAATAGCAGACATAAGGGAAAAACGGTTGATTGCCCGACGTGAATATGAGAAAAAGAGAAAGGCAAATGAAAGTGAAGAATCTAGGCAAAAGAGGTTGCCACAACAGGGCAAAAATAAGAGAAAGAGTCGTGCAAGTGAATCTGTTGAATCTAGACAAAAAAGACTGGCTAGTCAATCTCAAAAAATTGCAAATGAATCTGTTGAGTGTAGACAACACAGACTGGCAAATCAACGTTAGTATGAGAAAGAAAAAAATGCAAATGAATCTGTTGAATGTAGACAACAGAGACTGGCAAATCAAAGTCAGTATGATAAAGAAAGAAAAGCAAATGAATCTGTCAAATGTAGACAACACAGACTGGCAAATCAACGTCAGTATGAGAAAGAAAAAAATGCAAATGAATCTGTCAAATGTAGACAACACAGACTGGCAAATCAACGTCAGTATGATAAAGAAAGAAAAGCAAATGAATCTGTCAAATGTAGACAACACAGACTGGCAAATCAACGTCAGTATGAGAAAGAAAAAAATGTAAATGAATCTGTTGAATGTAGACAACACAGACTGGCAAATCAACGTCAGTATGATAAAGAAAGAAAAGCAAATGAATCTGTCAAATGTAGACAACAGAGACTGGCAAATCAACGTCAGTATGATAAAGAAAGAAAAGCAAATGAATCTGTCAAATGTAGACAACAGAGACTGGCAAATCAACTTCAGTATGAGAAAGAAAAAATTGCAAATGAATCTGTCAAATGTAGACAACAGAGACTGGCAAATCAACGTCAGTATGAGAAAGAAAAAATTGCAAATGCATCTGTTGAATGTAGGCAAAAGAGATTGCAAACACATCAAGAGTATAGAAAAAATATTTCCAATAGTTTAACCATTGTTAATGAAATCCGAAAATTTCATGTGGCTGTTTCTAGAGGTCCACTGTACATTTGTTCTTGCTGTGACCAATTGTGGTATAAACACAGTGTTGTTAAGGCTGAAAGGCTGAGAGTTTCCAATCCTAATGCAGGAAAATATTTGCTGAGTAAAAAAAGTGTCAATGACATTGAGTACATTTGTCAGTCTTGTGATAAAAATCTGAAGAAAAACAAAATACCACTTTGTGCAGCTATGAATGGAATGACCTTTCCAGTGAAACCAGACTTTTTTTATTTAAACAAGTTAGAGTGCAGACTTCTAGCACCCAGATTAGCTTTCCAAAAGCTTATGCAAGCCCTAAGAGGAAATCAGTTGAAAATAAAAGGAAATGTTGTGAACATACCAGCAGATGTTAACAATACTGTTAATGTGTTATCACGGTTACCTGAGGAAAGTGGCACAATAAAAGTTCAGTTAAAGAGACGATTACAGTATAAGAGTTCTGCACTGTCCTTAAATGTAAGACCGTATAAAATCTTACAAGCAGCAAACTGGCTGGCTACTAACAGTAATCTTTATAGGGAACAAGGAATATCTTTTAGTAAAGACAGGATGGCAAATTGTAACATATACTTGCAAAATGAAACTGAGAGTGAAGATGCTTCTCAAGCCAGCTGCAATGAACAAATAAGTGGTACATGTAATGCTATCAAAAAGACTGCAGGCCAAGAAACCAGTGAATTTCATGATTACTGGACTGAAGAGGATGCAGAAATACCTTCAGGAGTAACCGATACTATGTTAACTGCAACTGACTTTCTTGATGACAATGAACAACAACAAATTTTACAACATTGCCCCTGGGGAAGGAAGTGTACCTTTGAGTATATTTAGGGACAAGTATTCTGAAGAGTTAGCCTATCCAGGAATATTTCTAGGTCAAAAGAGGCCAGAAAATGAACAGAGACTAGTTGATGTTCATTACAGTCATATTTGCAAATCAGAATTACGAAGGTCAGATAGACGAGCTGCAATGTCTACAGAGAATATATTTTTTAAAACTAAAAAATTAAACATGAAGATTCTGCTAGGAAAATCTCAAATAGCACTACGAAAATGTAAAGGCAATAATAGATTTCTTACAGCTGGTCAGTTAAAGCAACCAGGCACCTTGGAAAGATTAGTTCATCTTGGTGATGATGTATCTGAAACTGAGGTTAGAAAACACAAAGACACTTGGAAAAACATCAGTAAACATTTAAATGACATGAAAGAAGGTGAAGACATCACATTTGACCAATTGCTGATTAATCTCAATGTCACAGAACAAAACTACTACCTTGCTATTCAATCAAGTCTCAATTCTCCCACCATATTTTTGAGAAGAAATCCAAATGAACTAAGAGTGAACAATTATAACAGTGCCTGTCTAAAGGCATGGAGGGCAAATATGGATATACAATTTGTGCTAGATGTTTATGCTTGTGCAGCATATATCGTGTCATATATTTCAAAATCTCAAAAAGGAATGAGTCAGCTCTTACGAAGAGCATGTGATGAAGCCAGAGCAGGAAATTCCAGTATAAAGCAACAAGTAAGAGACATTGGCAACCAATTTTTAAATAGTGTTGAAATAAGTGCTCAGGAAGCAGTTTACATAGTTCTTCAGCTACCAATGAGAAAAAGTTCCAGACAAGTGATTTTTATTAACACCACACCTCCTGAGGAAAGAGTGCAACTCTTGAAACCAATGAATGAAATAGAAGAAACGGATGATGACTCAGAAGAAGTTCACTCTAGTGGTCTGTATAAACAAACAGGTATAAACAAAGACCTGCCAGTTTTGAGAATATTTCACTAGCTGATTGGGCCGCATTGTATGATTCTTGTCAAAAACCTTTCATGAAAAAATCCAAAAGTACTGATTTGGATAATCTCCCACTGGAGACAATAGATGATGATGAAAACAATGATGATGAACTCTTTGACTGTGCCAAAGAAAGCACACAGGTTGGAAAACCAGGAAAACCAAAACAGCATTTAAAACCCAGAATCATTAGGAGTGTGTGGTTCAATGTAAAATCTCAATCAGAAAAACACTACCGTGAACTTATTATGCTTTTTACTTCATGGCGAAATGAAGAAACTGATTTAATGGGGAACAGTTCTTCATATCAAGAGTATTACCTTCTTTTGAAAGAACAGATAGATAAACAAATGATGCAGTATGCTGTCTGTAGTGAAGATTTAAATGAGATTGAACAAGATTTACACAACACAGATTATAATGATGAGCAGTTTGATCCCATAGCACCAAACACACAAAATGTTGAATTGCAAGATGAAGCTGAGGGTACCGAAGATTTACATCCTGATTTTAGTGAAACTATGACCTCTCTGATGATCTTGGCATTCCATCAACATCGCTGAATAGTGAACCACTGATATTGAATGAATTACCAGATTGTGATTTTCGTCAAATGATCCAGACACTCAATAAAGAGCAAAAAGAATTTTTTTATCACATTTTACATCAGATTAAAACCTCAGAAACCCCTTTCTACTGCTTCCTCAGAGGAGGGGCTGGTTTTTCGCAAATCACATTTAACAAAGGCTTTGTATCAGGCAGCGCTCAAGTATTATAACACTAGAGCTGGTGATGATTTTCATCAGATCAAAGTTATACTATTAGCTCCAACTGGTAAAGCTGCATATACCATTAAGGGTAACACTCTTCATAGCACTCTGGCCATTCCTGCCAATCAATCACTGAGAAATTACAAACAGCTTGATTCAAGTAGACTAAACACTTTGAGAAGTCAGTTTGGAGGTGTTAAATTGATTTTTGTTGATGAAATCTCAATGGTAGGAAATGGTATGTTTGCAATACAGCTAAACAATAGGCTTAAAGATATAAAAGGCTGTAGAGAGGATTTTGGAGGTGTGAGCATAATTGCTATTGGTGACTTATTCCAATTAGAACCTGTTATGGATGCTTATATTTTCAAAGACCTCAAAAATGTAGATTATGCTGTTCTTTCTCCCAGTTTATGGCATAAACACTTTAAAATGTTTGAACTTAATGAAATCATGCGTCAAAGAGACAGCAAATTTTTTGCAGAACTACTTAATAGGTTGTGTGAAGGTAAACGCACAGCTGCTGACATTGCAAAACTTAAAGAGAGAGCTATACATGAAGACATCAACAATCCAATAGATGCACCTCACTTATTTATACAGAATGCGAAAGTAGATGAATTTAATCAAAGGGCTCATAATGCAGCCACAGGAAACAAATTCATAATAAATGCTCAAGATAGTGTTATTGGAGCTATCTCTCCAGAGATAAGAAACAAAATACTAAGAAAAATACCCAATGATCCAAGAAAAACAAAACAGTTAGCCTCAACCCTTTGTCTTGCTGAGGGTGAAAGAACAGATCTTGTTATGAATATACGAACTGAAGATGGCATGACAAATGGTGCTGGAAATGTTGTTAAACTAGTTCAGTTACATCAACAAACCAAACCATCTGGTATTGTATGGGTACAATTTGACCACTCAGATGTAGGTCAGAAAACAAGGAATGAAAAAAGACATTTGTATGTACAAGGAATTGAACACACATGGACCCCAGTAAACCCTGTGACTACACAGTTTGCAGTAGGTAGAAACAAAACAGCACAAGTTGTTAGAAAACAATTTCCATTGCGTCCTGCAGCAGCAAAAACAATTCACAGGTCACAAGGTGATACTGAAAGTAGAATTGTTGTGGATTTTAGTACCAGAAATACTATTCCACACATACATTATGTGGGACTCAGTAGAGTGACTGCTATAGAAGGCCTGTATATTTCTGATTTGTGTGAAAGCAAGATTGCTGTTAATCCAGATGTTAAGAAGGACATGGAGAGATTAAGAACAACTGCAAAACTTAAGCTTTGCATCTCCCCCCTCTATGACATAACATCTTCCCTTCTTAAACTGTGTTATCTTAATGCAAGGTCTCTTCACAGACACATAGAAGATATACGTGAAGACTTAAATTATTTAAGTGCTGATATCAATATTTTCACAGAAACAAGATTTAGTTCTCAAGATAATAATGACATGTATGACATTGCTGGTTATGTTCTCTTCCGTAATGATAACCTTAATTCCTGTAATGGATCAAGGTCTTATGGTGGTACAGCTGTGTACAGTAAAATCCCATACTTACCTGGCTACCCCTATTGTCACAATATACATGGTGTTGAAATGACAGTAATTAAGTTAGCAAGTCTTGAGGATTGGACAATCATAGGGATATATCGCTCCCCAAACGTGCCTGTAAGACAACTTTGTGAAGCAATAACTGAGGTATTGAATAACATTTCACCAGACAACAATATCATTACTGGAGACTTTAATATAAATTGGCTTGTTGAAACAGACAGAAGACCTTTGTATAATCTACTAGTGAGGGATAAACATTACAAACAGCTCATATCAACTTATACAACTGACAACAACACAATAATTGATCATATGTATACAAATATATCTAACATTGATATACAAGCAGATGTTTTAGAAACATATTTCACAGATCATAAAGCTGTTTGGGCCTCATTTCACAGTGTCCTATAACAAATTATTTTATCATGATGTACATTGTTTTTAAGTTAAGAAAGCAACAAAAAAGAAAGCAGTAAATCATTATGAAAAGAGTTGTTTCCCTTTTTTTCAGAGGAATCTGTAATGAGAAACTTGCAAAACTATTAATAAGGAAATGCTGCTTATTCATCTGGTACCAGAACAGGCCTTTTAAAATTAAGTTTGAAGTCATCTTTCTAAGATTTGTCCAGTTTAACAGCCATTTACAAAAGACAAAAATAAACTATGTAACACAGTCTTGAAATTTCAAGGCAGCTCCTTTAGCATTTTGGTTAATTTCTAACTGCAACCTTTATTGACAACCCTGCATTAAACAAATTTCCACAGGTAAGTCTGCAACCCCTTCCCCCCCCTTCCCCTCAACCTTTCTTTTTTTTTTTTGCCCTACCTTCCATTTGCAATCTTACAGTGACAAATTAAGCATTCTTGATCTCATCAACTGTTTTATCTTGTTTTCTGAAAATAACTAATTCTCAGAAACTTTCACTGTCATTAATTTTTATTGTCCTTTTCCTTTATTAAAACAGGTGAAGTAGTTTACTACGCACTGCGGACCTATTCCAACACGCAGAGTGCACGCTTGATGGTCATGATTTCTGGGATATATCGAAATCTGCCAATTACAAAGCTACACCAAACTTACTTGGCCAATCAGAAAACAGTATTTTCGATCCTCCAAATGATTATAAAAACGACGAACACTACAATTTAGTTGACTCAATCAGATCAGGATGTCAACAAGCAGGCTTGCGAGGGATACGAAGCAGAAAACGGCGAAACAGTCCCGAACAACTGTCAACCCGGTGGGCCATCCAAGCGTCTTTAGCGCAGGAGACAAACTGTCAGATAACTTAAATCCATCTTCCTTGTTCGCCTAAGATACAAGTAGAACCACCGGTGGTATAGAACAGCCAAGCGCCTTAGATTTCAACTTATCCTCGTCCTCGGCTAGTAATACGAGTCACACCAGTGGTAGCATAGACCATCCAAGTGCTTTGGAATTATCACTGTCTTCGATGGACGACTCCAGCTCCATGGGAAAAGAAGTCGGGCAGACAAGTTGCATTTCACAGCAGCAACAGTGTTCCAAAAAGGAGAGCGAACCGTCCAAAGCCACCGACGATGTTGTTATTGCCTACGTTCATCAGCTATCGCCATCAAAACGGAATAAGAAAGATCCTCTCTAATACTCTACTCTGTTGTTGCAAACCAGCGAAAATGGATGTCAAGATGCGTTGCGTTATCCCAAGCAGAAACATAAACTTCTAAGCGACAGTCAAAAGTCTCACACTCCGGTGAAAATTCAGCGATTCACGCATACAAGTGATGGCAAGAAACTTATCATCAATGACATAACAAAGATTTCTGTTCCCGATCAAACCGAGTATTCCTTCCAGTACTCCGTGGACACAGTGGCTACATCACTTATCCTTTCAGTTGCACAAATTTTGAATTCTTCTAGTGACTGGGATAAAGTAACCATTTGTGGAAAGATCGTTCACATGTGCGATCAAGAACTTGCAGGTCGAAACAAACTGAGATTGGCACGAGCCACCTTCGCAGATACAACTGAGACAATCGCAGTTGACCTTTGGGAAGAAAATATTGCAGTGATCAAAATTGGAACTGTCTACCGGATTGCGCCAATTCAGGTACGTGTTTGGAACGAAGCAAAAAAACTGTCAACCATGCGCAGTTCAGTTGTTACACCTGTAACAGATACAACAATCTCTCAGCTTCAAATTCCAGAAGAACAGTTGAAGTCCGGAAATGAAACTGTGACAGTAACCGTAGCAAATATTCTCACAATTGAGAAAGTAGAAAGATTCATTGCATGCTTCAACTGTGCGAAAAGAATTCTGCAAGGAACTTCCAGTAATGTTGTACACTGTGATTGGTGTGGACACACTATGAGAATTTCTAACTGTTCACAATATGTATGTGCAAAACTAGTTTTATATGTCAATGATCGACAAATCCATTTAACTGCGTTTCAGGATGTGCTAAGTAATGTAATTAAGGGAGACTTCGCTAAGTTTTCTGAGGCAGAGATAGCAGAAATGCTGCTACTCTTAAACAATATAACTGTCGAGTATAATGCGAACTCTCGAGTAGTAAAAGAACTGAAGGCAGTCTGTTAAGAGTTCTTCTGTAGTTTTTTGTTGTTTTTTTTAACTTCGAAGTTGGTTATTTGAACTCGGATGCAAAGAAACTTATTTCGTTCATGTTTACGCAACACTCGGTTCCCAGCCGTGCGGTTTCAGTTGTGTTTTTATGTCATGAGAATTTAATTTTCGAAGTTAATTCGTCTTTGTTTTACTATAAATTCATTAGGCTCAGTTTAAAGATTTGCGAATGTCAAACATTTCCTACATTTTATAATGTAGTGTTGTTACAGTATGGACAAGTTTTAATAAACTATAATAAACGTTTGAGTTTGAAAACAATTCTCTCTCACTGACCTCGTTTGCCATAAGGAGGGGTATCATAAATTCGTGGACGGATGGGTCGTATCTGGTACACTTTAAAGCGAAATGTGAGCGCTAAAGATAAATATTACGCACAGTGACTACGGCGCGAGTAAATTGAATAACTCTCAACACTAAATGAATAATCGTAGTTCGCACGGGAAGAAAGCTAAAACAAAGCTATGAACGAAATGTAATATTCGGAGACTTGCACAAATTGCATTTAAATCACGACCATCCTGAAATACTCCAGGATACCCAAAAAAAAAAACCTACAACAAACAAACATCAATGAAGTGAGCAAACAACCACATGCGTGACTTTCACGTAATCTTACATTTCCAACAAGCGTTGCATCGACGACAGAACGATACGAGATTCGGTGTGTCCGACCTAAACTTAGCTTGCAGCGAAAGTTTTGACTTTCGCAAACAGCTTTTCCAGTAAATTCTTCGCTTCATAGCTTTAGAATGATGCTCCCAAAACGAACTTGAAATTATTCCGAACTAATACGTTACCAACTCCTAAGAAGCTCTATATATTAGTGAATACCTTGGCAAGCTTTCTTTTCGTTGATGTTGTTCTTCACATTCGCTTTCTCTGTAATTACATAAGATGTCTTTACTACAAAGAGTGATCAGGCAAAATATCGCACATAATCACTCCACGTTGACAATAACCATTCTGTCTTGCACTGCCTATACCGTGATTGTAGCATTCCCACGTGCGTAAAGTGCTCGTAACTTATGGGAAACACGCATGTTACACCAAAAAAACCCGCGTGTAGCAGAAGAGGCCGATTACTCGCAATTTCTTGTAGTTTTGAATTTCCCTTTTGTTTTTCAGAACACGCATATACCTGTATTTTCTTACACGGATGCGATAGAAATTAATTGGAAAAGCATTCCTTGAAATAGGAAGTCGTCGTGTGTTTTCAGCGAAAAAGATCGTCAAGTGATCAAAACAACACCGGCCAGATTATAGTCACGTGCTCGGCAACGACTTGTAGAAAGCGATCATCTTTCATTCTTACCATCAAAACAGTCACGTTTGCATAAAAGAACAACAAAGCGAAACGATTACAACGAAAAGCCCCAAATTGGCGTAGAAAGAAATAATGCCGCAAATTAACATTTTTTTTTATGTCATGGGTACACGTTTCCTTGGGAATTTCCATGTCAACAGCTTGCTCTGTCACTCACAAACTCTTCGTGATTCTCGCTGGTCCTTGTTATGTTTAGCGCATGGACGATTCGAAGACCCTTCAAATTTGGTTTTCAAGTTGATCATAGCACTCATCTGAAACATTCGAAGTCCATTTCAATATAGCAAATGTCGAAACAGGCGTGTAAAGACAATAAATATCGCAACGATCAATGCAATCACACTGGCGCCAGGACTTTGGACTTCTTCGGAAGGATAAATCTCGAGTTCGAAGCCGACTAATTACGAAGAGTCCACGCTAATTTGCATATCCCAAAGTGCCCATTACAACTCGTTTCTACGCTATCGTGTATCCACGAGTTAAAAAGTAGTAGCAGAAACTTTTTAAATTTTTTTCAATGAATGTTACGAAAATATTTACTGCTCCAAGTATTTCCAGTATTGCCGTATAAGCAAATAAATAACCTAAGTCACTAAGAGGTAATTTATCTGTTGAAAATGATGACCAAACGTTCACTAACACGCCAAAAAGCTTCCAGGGAGGGACGAAAATGCATATCGCTTGATAAAGGTATAAGTTAATACCCCAGATCCCTCCTCTGAGTCTGTATTTGCTTAAATAATTCCCGCACAAAAATTACTATCCACACTACAGATTCCAGGCCTAATTTCACCCCTGAAGTATCGCTGACTCGAGTGATAGTTTTGCTTCCGTTCAAAAACCCCTTGCAACTACTTTGTCAATGAAATCCCACAAAAGTACGCATTGCGGACCTATTTTTTAGATACGTAATCATTCTGTCATTCTATGCAAAGTTTGCCTATATAGTGCGTCATGGCTAATGTTATTTGAAACATTGAAAGTAGTCTCCATGTTTTTATGCATCGCGCTTTTTAATATTTTTTTTTACAGTTGAATAAAGGTATAAAGATAATCACTGGCGTGTAAATTCATCTTTTTTTTGGCTCAAAGTGTCTATGTGCCTCACTCAACCGACCTTCCCTCGATTTTTGGTGAAGATTGTTGAGGGGACTCTTCGTGACTTTTCGTGTCTCCTTCTGCTTTCGCCTGATAACACCGTTTAGGTGTCTCTGACATCGCTAGCACTCGATTGCCCTTTCCAAACATATTTCGTGTTACGACCCTGAAATCCGGTTTGAGGAAGGCATACACAAAGGGATTTACCAGTGAAGCAATAGCTATTGTGTACATTGAAATAGTCGGCAGAACATTTGGAACGATGTCGAACCGACCAAAAACATCAACGGCGGTTGTCAAATAAATGATCGGCATCCACGAGAGTAAGAAGACCACCGAGATGATAAAAAACAGTTTCGCCACTTGAGCATCTGAGGAGATGTTTCTGCGTTCGTTGACTTGCTTTCTCGCGTAATCCAAATTTTTTCTCAATGCTAAGCTTTGCTTTACATCCTTAAAAATCCGTAAGTAGGCGATTGTAATGAAGAAGTACGGAATGATCACCCCAGTTAATTCTAAGCAAACAAGGTACACCAGGCGTATTATTTTTGAACGATCATCCCTCCAAAATAAAGGCAATAAGCTGTATACGGTTGGAAACAACCATACAGTGATAATGGTCTTTTTGAATATCTCAGGTATCCGGTAAGTGTAGTGCAGAGGCTTGATAATGGCAACGTATCGATCGTAAGTGAGTGCGCATATGTTAGCAACACCCCAGAGCAAGATCATACTGGACAAATAGTCTACAACGGCGTGTGTTGGCCTCATGATCAGCATGGGAAACAAAATGCCTCCTGTAAGTATGTCAGACACAGCAAGTGAAACAGTCAGCCAGTTTGTGTATGTTCGTGGGACTCTGTCCAAGCAAACCAAACTAGCAACGAAGAGGTTCGCGGCAACGATGAGAACGGATAACACACCAAGGGAAACTTTTATGTAGAGATCCATCCTCTGTTTAGTTTCTTTCAACTTGATATCCTTGGATATCCTACAGAAGGCCTCTTTTCTTCTGCTGGTTCCTTTAACTTCCCTGGCTCAAGAATAGTACCAACATGTGGCATACACAGCCACATTTAGGTTAAGTTGAATACACGAAAAGTTTTCCGCCGCCCAATTGGTCAAAGGTAGAAACTCTGACGGAAATGACACGACTTGTCAACTTCTGATTAGTTTTTGTCGTGTGACGTTACTTCTGTGACACAAATTATTTCACTTACGCTGTCAATTGCTTAGGAAACGGCTAATATTCCTTTTAATCTTGTCACCTTAATCAAAAGCTGCGCTTAACACCTGTATCCTGAACGCATTAGCCAGCGCGGAAATTGTTCTCCACGGTTTTAGCAGCAAGAATTCTTGTCAGAGAATAAACAGACTTGATTGACACCATGTCGAGACATTGTTATCAATTGATTGTAATCTAAGTAAAAAATTGGCATTGTAAGAGATGGCAGACAGAATAGAAAGAGATTGTTGAAGCGAAACGACTGCACGAGTGAAAAAGAAACAAAATCAAGTGAAAGGTACAGTCCCCTTATGTGTTTGAACACCAGCGCCGGGATAATTCCCGTACAATTCTTGAGACTTCAAATACATCCTGAAAGGAAGATAGTTCTATGTATTCATGAAAACCCTAAGTTAAGAATAATCCTCATCGTGTTCCATGCATACCTTCCCTTAAAACTGAATCTAAAGATAGACAAACAAACACAAAGCAGGGGTTTCACATTCAACATCACTGGATCGATCATTTTCTTTGAATTAATTACCAGACCTGACAGTTTTTTTTGTTAAATAAAATTTAGGCTGATCCGAGGGAGAACCGCTGATCACTTTCGTCGTTAGAATCTGCTGCCGGAAAGAACAAGTCTATGCAATATTGGTTGTATGGTGTCTGTAACTTCGGAGCGTTCCGTTTTTTTGTAAAGTGGAAAAAGCGGTCCTTTTCCTAGCGCCAGGATAGCATTTCTTTGGCTTAGATGTTGGTGTCAAATGCGGCGGAGTATTTTCAATAGGAACCTTAAATAGTCATGCATCAGCCAGAAAGGGTATTTAAAACCCAGAGAGGACAACCTGGTTTGTGCGCTTGAAAAAAGTAACTCTATGGGTAGGCGCTGTCGCTACGATGTTGGAACAAAGCTTTCCCGGTATGCATTCAGAAAATTGGTGTCACTCAAACAATACCCAACTGCTATCAACTCATGTTTGTCTTTAAATTCATTTAAGGGCCCTCGCCAGGAACTTAAGAGAATAGCTGACTGTGGCTCGACGTTTTTTTTTTTTGCTCTTATTTGACTAAATTTGGAAGGTTGATTTAGAATGATAGTGCAAACCAAATTGATTTGTCAGACACGTAACCTAAACAAAAAATGAACGGTTCCCCGAAGCTTAGAGTATTGTCTGTAGTTTGAGGTAATCTGTCAATCACAACACGAGTGCATTTTTCCATTACATGAAAATTAAAATAAAAGTCGAACAAAAATCGTGTCCTTTCAACCAGTCAAGGAAAATTGTGTTTCTTTCGATTCACGACATAAAGAGGCAGTACAAAATTTTGCAAGTTGGGAACGGTTGGTTTTTTCATCCGCACCGAAAACAGAACATTATGGAGGTTTGAACGTTAAATTATTGGAACTAACAATCGTAATTAACATCAACACACCGAAATGGTTTCCTCAGTTTTTTGCAACAAGGTTTTTTCTATGCATGCGAACGCCGACGTTTTAACATTATGACAACAGTGAAAGTGTGAAAACCTAAGCAGAAGTTACTGTTTGCAAAGCAACCCGACACGAGTAAAGAGGCAGTACAAAATTTTGCAAGTTAGGAACGGTTGGTTTTTTCATCCGCACCGAAAACAGAACATTATGGAGGTTTGAACGTTAAATTACTGGAATTAACAATCGTAATTGACATCAACACACCGAAATGGTGAAAAGTTCAAGTTTTTTGCAACAAGGTTTTTTCGATGCATGCGAGAGTAACAAAGTTCTGCCATAACAATTATTATGTTTGTTATGTAACATTATGACAACAGTAAAAGTGTGAAAACCTAAGCAGAAATTACTGTTTGCAAAGCAACCCGAAATAACTACGCCGTTGTGTCGAATTAAATTTCGACTGATGGAATTAAGTCCCATCCCATTTGACCATCTGACCTTTGAAAAAATTTGGCTTGAAAATATCAATTAGGTGTGTAGTATGTTTTGATATTACCTTGAGCACAAGGCTAATATCACCATATTAAATTCTAATTAGCGTTCAGCTGTACAAATCCGCATAACAACATGCCGGAATTAGCTGAGAAGATGTACGTGGTAGTAAGCCTTGGTGCACTTTTCAGTTCTCATTGTGGTCTCAAACGTGTCTGTCTATTCGTTGGTTTGCTTCAACAGAAGATTACGGACAAACACTAACTGGTTTACCTTGTCGCTTACTGCTTCTGACATCCTAACAGGAGCCGTCAGTTTTAATACCTCTGACACTCTTCAAACCCGAATCGGTGGTCGTTGCGTATTTGAGTAGTTTGATATTACTCTGGGGTGTTGGTAACATCTGCGCACTCACTTACGATCGCTTCGTTGCTGCAATGATGCCTCTGAAGTATCCTTGTCGCATACCTAAGATATTCAAAAGAACTTTAGTTGCTGTGTGGTTAATCCTAACAATTATCAGCTTACTTCCTCTGTTCTGGGCAACAGATTGTGCATCAATATTCCACAAGTGGTACATTGCGTGCTTGGAGGTGTTTGGCGTCGTCATTCCGTACATCTTCATAAGCGTCGCTTATATTCGGATTTTAAGCAATTGCGGCACAGTTTGGCGTTGAGGAAAAAATTTGTATCTGCGATAAAATAGATCAACGAACCAAGGCGCATTTCACAAGATGCTAAAGTGGCTAAAGTCTTCTGCATCATCTCAGCGGAATTCTTATTTTCGTGGATGCCGATAATTTATATGACAACCGCCGACATTTTCTTCGGTCGTTTCGATATTGTACCGAGTCTTGCGCACAATCTCATACTGCATAATAGCAGTTGCCTCCTTAGTTAATCCCTTCGTGTATGCTTTCCTAAAACCGGATTTTAAAGTTGTTATTCGCAACATCTGTCGAAAAAGTAAACGAGAGGAAGCGACATCCATGAAACCTCTACAGCCTTGTCAGGTGAAAAAAGAGACAGCCAGTGAGAGTTAGAGCTCCTGAAACGTTTTCCGCGTACTAGTAGTACGTAGACATTATAGAGACGATTATCCGCTCTGTCGCTCTTCTCCTTTGACTAAGAACTAAACGTAATGGAAAAGGTGGTTACAGATAAAAGACAAGTGACACATTTTAACCAGATAGAAAAAGATTTATATTTAGCATGGCTTTGACAAGACAAGAAAACTGGAAAAAATGGAAAAAAAGAAAAGCACCTTCTAGAAGAGGGAGAGACATCGTTAGAGTTTTAGAAACGAAAAAATGTGTCAGCCATCAATAGTGTATTTACGAGAGCACCATGCAGTCGTGAAACTAGCCATGCCATTTCACCAATTCAAAATGAAAATTTTTTGCCAGTTTAAAGGGTCTACCCCAAACTCCCAGTTTTTCTTGGTTTTCATCAAGGAAATCGCTTCAAAGTAGGTAAAATGTGAAGCTCTCACTGAGATGGTATTTAACTGAGAAATTTAACTCTCCGTAACTGAGAGTTTGCATAAATATAGTGACATCCTTAATGAATGTACGACGACGCAAGCGACGGCTTGTCAATCAACAGAGGCAAATAAATGGCTGTGTTCTCAGACTTTTCGATTCATCCAAATATTTGATAACTTTGAGGTCAAATATCTCTCCTTGCCAGAAAGCTACAACACTAATCTTAATTCTCCTTTATAAACCATCATTTCATCTCTGAAAACCATCAAAAAAATATTTGGGCACTGCCGTATTTTTGTCTTGGATGCCTTTTAAATGTGCGACTGTAACAAACTTCTATCTGGCTCTAAGCGGTAACTTGAGGAAATAAACCTTTATTTTATAGCTCGTTATACATGATGATTGATTGAGGAAGCTAAGAAATGTGAATAACTTTCGAGATTTCTTGTAGGAATAGAAAATTTAATGTGCGTAGGCGAAATAGTGATGGGAAAATCGTATTGTTTCTTTCACCTGTCGTTTATCACTTTGGATATTTGGCAAAATCAGAAAACATGGCTTTTGTACGACACAGAACATTCATTAGTCTATGATTTGATTTTTTATTATCATTACCTCACAGTTCACAATAAGAAAACTGTAAGCATCCAAGATGCTTATTCTGAATAAAGGATCTCCTGCTCTTTGCCTGGCCTCAGGCAATTTCCCTTCCCATGCAATTGGCGTGCTACACATGCAACAGTTATTCTCTTGGAATGGGTGGGTTGGAATGGGTGGGTGATACTTTTCGCTACATCTCTCACTTCCGAAACGTAGAGCACATGCTTTACACAATCGATAGATATCGGCAGCAGTTTCGTTTCCACTCATTACCAGGCCGACATTTGCGGAAATACAGCAAGAGCCGGGGAATTTATCGTTTCTAGACGGCAACAACAAAATAGACGTCGAACAGGTTAAGCTTGTGAAGCAAATAAAGTACAACTTCGCTTTAAATTGAAATTAAATAGAGACACTCTCTGTGCGATGGTATAATTGACATTTCTTTTGACAGTTTAGAAAGCACAAATTGTGACATTGATGTCTATTAAATTTCAAAGAAACACAAAAGTCGCATTACCGTCGTAATATAATTATTATCCTTTTTAGGACAGATGTTTCCTTTTTAGTAAAGGAGAGCACTCAGTTTTAAATCCTTCCGTGGAAAAAAAATCGTAATATATTTTTTGACTGGAGCGCAAAAATTAGAAAAAAAAAATTTTGATGGAAAAATATTAGGTTTTCTTGAAAAATATGGTTATTTAATTTGACTGTTCTCATGATTAAGCTGCATTTTATTCATAGATAATCAACTGCACTTCTGCAACACACATGTGTGATTAGCGTACGCACCACACACCCTTACACATTTTTTTAGCATACACCTTAATTTAGATTTGCTAATGCTGTCTTTGCCGAAAGGAAAGGACCGCTCTTTCACTCTATGGAAAAATCATGTATGGAACACAGGAATGAGAACTAAGTCCGTAACTCTTCTCCTTTTAACCGATATTGCATGCGACATGTACTCGCTGGCAGCAGATTCCAACGACGAGAGGTAACGGTAATTTTTGTTTTTTTTCTTTACGAAGCTTGCCAGGCGCAAGGGTCCCTTGAGTCAGCATGAATTGTTGCCAATCAAAACCTTTCAAGTCTGGCAAGTACTCTGAAGGAAGAATCAATTAAATGAGGTTGATATCCGTTTTTAATGCGTTCGGATCTGGATTTTGTACGTCAGTTTTGTATCTTTTGTCTCAATTCAAAGAGATAGGTAGGAGTGGAAGAGCACGTCAGGGTTCGGAGATAACCAGGTGCATGTCAGTCAGATAAACAGAATTATCGAACCATTTATGATAATGGACTCATGACTGAACTCACTTGTATCATGGAAAGCTTTTATTCAGTTTATGCCATGCTGTCTCCTTAACGATTCTAAAACTTTGAAGAAAAGTGCTGATATCATAAGGAAGGAAAAAGCAGCTGGTGACGTATAGCCTTTGGAAAACGTCAAAAAGAACAACGTCGAAATAAAATTCAAAGCGCTTTGTATCTCGTAAGTGAAACAGCACGTATTAACTTTTAATTTAACTTCAAATGTTATTTCGTGTCTTTGTTTGCTTTGGTTGGTTAGATAACTGAATGTTGAATTAGTAAATTTTGCAACCTCCGTTCTTTAGTCTTGATGTGTCATAGATGGAAAGGGGTAGTTTTATGTTTTAATATCATTTCAATCATCATCATCATCATCATCATCGTCATCGTCGTGGTCGTCGTCGTATTAACTAGATGATGAATTTGAGATTTCTTTGTTCCTCGCTCGTAACAAATGTTCAGCATCTTTACTCAACGACCGACGTCGAAGTGTAATATGTGTTCTTTCTTTTAATTTATTTCAAACGTAAAAGGTACTTTAAAGCGTTAGGTGAATTGGCGTCCTTCTTGATGGATCAGAAGAGAATGATTCTTCCAATGCTTGCATTGTATTTTTTGGGTAGTCTCGTGCAGCATGTCATTCTTTAGTTGAGACTTGCCTTCTGTTTAAGCGCAAGCCAACGAATGGTCTTGTTCTTTGATTGTTCTGCTTTAAAAGACCTGACAGAAATCGACTGTTGTTCAACGCATCTGCTCGAACATTTCTGATATAAATTCCGAAGAGCCATCTTGAAATCAGGTTTTAGAAAAGCATACAGCAGAGGATTTGCCAGCGAACCCGCCGCTATGGTGAAGAACGAAACCGAGGATAAGATGTCTGGGACAACTTGAATCCGTTTTACAATAAAAGCTGTTGTCATGTAAAGGATTGGTAGCCAAGAGAACAAAAAGGCCAGAGACACAATGCAGTAGATTTTGGCTACCTTGGCATCTGCGGAAATGCGTCTGCGTTCGTTGATTTGTCTCGAGACAGATTTCAAGTTTTTCCTTAACGCTAAGCTTCTGCGCACTTGTCTGAAAATTTGAATGTAGGCTGCAGTTATGAAGATGTACGGAACGACGACACCAAGCAGCTCTAAGCACGCCAAGTAGACTCTATGAGCTGTTTTTGAATGATCTGCGCCCCAAATCAAAGGAACAGAGGCATATATGGCCGGAACTAGCCAAATAATCGCAATTCCTCTCTTGAAGAATTTGGGAACGAGATATGAATATTCTAGAGGTTTCACTATAGCAATAAAACGATCGCAAGTAACTGCCGAAATGTTGATAACACCCGAAAGTAAAATCATTGCGGCGAAGTATCCTTCGACGACATATGATGGTTTGAATAGCGTCATAGGAAAAAGTAGGCTACCAGTCAGTAGGTCGGACACAGCAAGGGACAGAATCAACCAATTTGTGTATGTGCGAAGGGTTTTGTTGAAGCAAACCAGCGTGACAATAACAGCGTTCGAGAGAACTATAAGAACTGACAGAGCACCGAGAATGATGGTTAGATAAATACCTTCAGTTTTTTTTTCCATACGGTTTTTCTTTCGCTGATATGTTGAGCGAAAGTCGGTTTACACGGGTAGTTACTTTCACTTTGAATTAGATCTTTCTAAACTAAACGGAACCTTCGTGAAGTTGTACTAATGCGTCGTATTAGGTTACTTGTTCCGCTGTGAGCGGAATGAATCTCTAACAAACCGGTATTTTCGATTTTTTCATGTATGTTTTATTCTAAATTTTCTGTCAGTGTATGACAATTAAATGGATTAAAAAGTAAACATCAGTAGCGCGCGAAATCGATCAGTTTAATTCAATCGTAGTTTCTGGTCAGTTTATGGAAAAGTGTCGAAGTGAGAAATTACAAGACGAAACGAAAGCTCTTTAATTAATTTGATTCAATGGCAGTTTCTACAAACAGCAAATACAATTAAAAACCTGGAGGGAGCCTTTTTAGGGTCTGCATCTAATTTAAACTATTGCATCGAATAAGAATAGAATTCATTTCAAAAAGTTTTTTGTTTTTTCTTACAGTTAGAAAACCTACTGGGTCTGAACTCTTAGACTGGAAATATTAAATACAAATTTTCAAATTTTCGAGTGACTCATGAAGTACCAGGAGTTCTTCTGTCTCTTGATTGCAAGTTCTTCACCATGCGTAATAAATATATGTTCTTGTCTTTTTATGCGAAAACGTTGACTTTGTCTTGGAAACTGGAAAATATAAGCACTGCTTTTGTGCCTTCATGAGCGGCATTTTCACTCGCAACTTCCCCAAAGAAGTGTTCAACTTTTATTTTTTGTGACAGCAAATGTTCTTGTTTGGGGAAATTGGGAACAGAGAAAAAAGGTTGTTCTTCTGTGCCGGATGTTGAATGACTTTTCGGAAGGCGCAGTTTATATGCAGGTGATAACTGGGAGCTCTTGAAATTTGTTTTCAGTGCATGTATCCATTTTAAAGCACCACACATCCTGCTCTGCGCATAACATCACCCAGAACTCCTTGCGAATACGCGCACATGCAAGCCGATAACAGGGCGGATTTTGATTTTTAGCTGTATGGTGGTCTTTTGTTCTGAAGGACTAAAACTGCGACCTTGAAAACAACGAATTTACGCCGTTTGAAAATGTGTATTCTTTTTCCAATGTATTTATGTATTACATTGTTAGATTTGCCATTTTACCTAGAGTCGCACGTGCGATATATTGTCCACTACATCAGAAAATTGTGATAGGAAGGCTTGAGGTGTAATATGGAAGACTATGTTTTTTACAAAAGAATAAAGGGGTAAGTTTCTAAAGAAACTGTGGTGCTGCGTCGGTGGGAGAGTATAGCAGGTAATTTAGTGTTAACAACTGGGTTGAAAACGTAAATTAGCCACCGTAAAGAGTAAAAAAGCTGACGTTTCGAGCGTTAGCCCTTCGTTATTACAGATCGATAATTTTTCGCCACAGCAATTAGATGTCCCGAGAACAATAGGCATTCTGCGCGATAAATAATTTGATGGGTGGGGAAGGAGGGGGGGGAGAGATTGCACTATCAATTGTCTTTTTATGCGGTCCTTGCAATGTATCTTCTTACTTTTCTTAGAATGTTTTCCGCCATATAGGTTGTGGAGATTTCAAACATCAAAGTCTTTTGAAGTAATTCAAGGTAATCGTGATACAAATTGACAACGAATTTTTCAAATTTCAAATACACGCACAGCAAAATGACATGAGCAATACGTGCCTCATCTTATAGATAACTTTGATGATTGTTATTTGTTCCACAGTGATTGTTAATGATGGTGAGATATTTTGCGTTTCCACAGAAACTGTCAAGCCGTGCGGGATTGTGGTGGCCTGAAAACGATGTGTGAATTGGTCACAGTGACTTACAGAGAAAATGTTCTAGAGCGCACAATGTGGGCGCTAGGAAACTTAGCTATCGACAATAAGTAAGTCGATCCTTTTTTTCTTGTTTTATTGTTTGATAACTCAGTCTTCATTGATTGCTGATTGTAATACAGGGTTAGATTGGTTCAAACTCCCCTTTGTAGTATGATTGGTCGTGAAACCTTGCACCAACGTCAACCAATCAGATGCAAAGTAAAACGAGTCGAGTGTTCGTCACCCACGTTTTCCCGCTTTTCAGTTAGTTAGGTTGCTTTTACATTGATTCCTCATTTGCTTTTCGTGGTAGATGTTTACCATTGTTCTCTCTGGTCATTTATGTCCATCGAAATGCGCTTAATTTTCAATCATGAATATGGCATGCAATGCTAAGGTTCAATGATGTCAGATGCTGTATTTATTTCTTGTTTTTCTCAATGCCATCGTCATTATTTATTTTTATCTATTTGTTTTTGTTGTCTTATTTAGGAATCGCAATTTCATTCGACAATATGGAGGCCTTGAGAACATTTGCAAAAAGTTGCAAGAATCAACCTCACAGCAGGTGAGATCATAAATATGAACAGAGGGACCAAACATTGAAATGAGTACTGCTATACGGAAATGTTGGCTTTGGTCAAAATTGAAAAAAATTTTCTCAGATAAATTTGTCTACGTATATGTCCCTTCTGTATTCTCGGAGCTCATAGTTTTCATGTAAACTTCGCCTCGGCAGTGTCAGACTACTCTCGGCAGTTTTAAGCCAATCACGCAAAGTTAACAGCTCTCCTTCTGAACAAAAGGCCATTGTACACTTTTTTCTTACCAGATCATAAAGCAAGGTGCCCTGACGCTTAAAACTCTGGCGAGTAGTAATCAACACAATAAGGATGTTATGGTCAGACTGGGAATGATTGGTACACTTCGAAGGTTTGTAACGCAGTGTTCTCACGGGGGGACTCAGCTTCTTCCTTGCTCCACGTTCTTGACAATGTACTTTTACACAATTTTCTGTCTTTTCTTTTTAGTTTAATGACAAATGAGCAGCAAAGTTTAGGTATCATTCCGCGCGGTGTGTGTGGCGATCTACTGCAGCGTCTTCTTGGCTCAGCAGCTGGAAACATCCATACAACAAGCTCAACCACTACAGCACCTGACGATAGAACCCAGGAATGTGCGATCGCTTCTGGCATAATCGTAAAGCAAGAACCTGAGACGAGATCAGTCAATGGTCTGGTGCAGAATGGTGATATTGACAGTGAAGATGACGATGACTTATCCCCTCTGCGTGGGGAGGACAGTAACGAGAAAAATGAGAGGATTCCGTCTGCGATGATCACACCGGCCCCAAATACTTCTGAGAACCTTTCCCCGAGGGAAAATTTCTCTCGGCCGGAGACGACAGGAAATGCTGCAGCTAGGTCTACTGTAAGCATTGGGCCTCGTGCAGAAGAGAATGATTTAGACCCATTTAGGTGAGCTGGTTTTAAAAATTGCAATTGTAAGAAGACTGTTTTTGAATGAGAACAAAGCTTTGGACGTCGGGATTGAAGAATCCATGTTTGGGCTGGGGTCTCCAGTTACCGACTTTCTGAACCTTCCCCCCCCCTCTTTAGTGAGCACCGCTCCCCCCTTCCCATCCCCTGGGAAAAAACTGTAACATTAAAACACTACTGGCAATCAATCAAAATATCAATGCTGTAGCCATGGTTATACCGCAGTAATGTTCTTCACTTGGGTTGGGTAGCGTGTCAGTTCCAAATATTTTTTACAATTTCAAGCATGTACCAGTTTCCGTTTGAGACATTGGTAGGTTTAAGGAACAAATAAATACAAATTGCATGCACTTGCATTTAGTCGTGAGTGGAAACCTGGAGGAGTAATATATCCCGGAGGCTTATTAAATGTATTGTGTGTTTTTTTTTTAGGACATACTGTATTTTGTTTTAATATTATGTTCAGCGTCAACTGTTTCGTTTTCGGTCGCGGAGGACACACAGTCTGTAAAAGGTGGCCCTTATCCTACGATCAGTTGTCGCATCATGTTTGAAGAGTCCAATTTATGAGTAGAGTAACACTTCTGTTTCCTACAATCAGTTGTCGCATCATGTTTGAAGAGTCCTATTTATGTGTAGAATAACACTCCTGTTTCTACCAGGCTAGAAATTACTGACAAGACCTCCCCTCCTCTATTCAATGTTGCCTGTATGAAGCTAACGGTTCATGGAATCACGACACAACATTTTTATGAAGGGGAGAGGGAGGGGGCGGCGAATAGGTAAACTTAACGAGGGCAAAAGAGATAAAATTGAAGTAAGAGGGTCTTGAAAAGGTCAATGTGTCAGCAATTTTGTTGCCAATTGTAGGTCTAGACCATCGCAATGTTCACATCCACCCCGTGAAAATAACTTGGTATTGGCAGATAAACAAGGTAACCTGACCGATCTTGGAGTATGGGAAGGGGAAAAACTTCTGATTGTTCTAACATCTCACCCGTGGGTAGGAAAACTGCTCTTAACTCGCTTAAATATACATAAGTAAGAATCCTTTTAACAATTTGAAATTAGTATTTTCTTGCCCCTATTTAAAACCATGATGATTTATATATTTTCCAGCGTGCATCCGAAAACAGTGTGGTCACAAACGAGAGAACTGGTGCGAGTTTGTGTGAAGCTGCGTGGAGTGGAGAGACAGCAGACCGAGATAACTGCGAGCAGGCTCAAGTTTAGGTAAGATGACTCTTCGATTAGTCCACTTTAAGCAAATAGTCACGAAAGACAAGGAACGTCTTTGAAGAGAGAATTTTATAATTGGGTCAAAACTACATTTTCACAAGTTGTTTTTTTACTGTAATATTCGAATCCTCAGGGGACATTCTAATATTGTTATGTCGCGCACATATCCCAATTTACCATGCACACTTGTTGATCCCAGCAATATGCAGTTCGCCTGTCATATGCGAACTTAGTAAATGACCAAGCATGCTTCCGAGTATTTTTGAATGCAAGAGTGGAGCATTCCACCGAGAATTCCGACGTTCTGAGCAGGGTTTAACGAAAGCCGATTACAGGTGATCTACCGCCGCTCAAACGACTTCTCATCGCCGTGTGGTTCAGTAGCTTACGAGAAGGTTCTCGTGTGTGGGTTTCTCCTTAGGGGGTAGCCGCCTGTTACACCATCGGCCGCCGTTTATGGAAAAGGTCCTTGAAACCCGTACGAGGTTCGACCCCCACACGAGCTGGTGACAAATGGGAAATGTTTTTTTTAATAAACAAACTCAAAGTTTCCCCACTTCGTAACCCTGTGATAATGCATTTTGGTTGTGTGTTTGTATGTTTTTGCTGTAATATGATTAATGTTTTCTTTCACTGGTACACAACTAAGACACGTAGTTTATGAACTGGACATGGAGCTATTCGAGGAGATTGATCCTGAGGTAGGTCTGATGTCTTTTCATTGACAGTCTCTCTGTTTTTAATTTGCGGTGTTGTTAATTCTGTTCTCTCGCTGGATGACTGCAGCAAAGTACTGTAATTGTCAAGGGTTCGGAGGTACAAATTTTACTCAAGAAAAGAAACCATGCCGTGTGGACGCGGTTGTTGAAGAGCAAAGAAAAGGTAACATATACAGTAGAACATGTAGTTTGTTCTTAGTCAACATGGATTGACCCTCATAGTTTCTCTTATTTCTTTTTGTTCGTTTATTGACTTATTTTTTGTTTGTTTGATTTCTTTCAGTTGCCTTACGTCTCCATTGACTTTGATCGTTGGGAAGTATGGTCGTCATCGGAGGAGGACTTCCGAGCAGCGCCAACGAACCCGGACCATTCCCATCACACCTCAGAGGATAGTAGAGAAGGAAGGAAACTATTATTATTGCCTGAAATGCTTGTCAGTGGTTCGGAGTCCGATACTGATGAAACTTTGCCATCTGATGTGGATTGCTTAAAATTCTATTAGCCAAAACACTGAGAAAAAACGTGTTATCGTTGAAATGTAACAGTTTTTTGACAGGTGATCAACTCTTTCAAGAAATGGATTAACCAAGAACGTCACATGACTAGTCGCTAGTATTTGTTATGTTATATGAAAGAAAGTCAAGTTAAATATTGAAATCGAAGTGAAAGTTTTTCTTTATTTAGATAGCATTATTTACGGTAATTTATTACATTGTTTTTACATTTTCTAACATCTAATAAAGCTCTAATTTGACGGTAACTTTTGGTAAAGTTACTGCCCTGTTTAGCTGTACAGTATGTTGAAGTGTCGTTAAACTTAAACCAAAATAATTTAAACGGCAATTTAGAACAAATCTAGAAACCAAAGAGCCAATGAGAAGCTAAGGCAGATATATGTCAGCAAACTTAAGTACATGCGCCGACGAACGCGGCATTAAGGAGTCGTGCATGTTCTAATTTCAATCAATCGCTTCCAGGTTCCATGCGGTGGATTAAATAGATTCTCGCGCTGTGATTAGTCGCGGTTTGCATTATATCTCGTGAGGTGATTATAGTAGGGGTGATAAAATGGCTGCTTTGCATTTTGTCAAAATTACCGAGGAAGTGATAAACACGATAGAAGAAATTCAATTTCGAAGAGCACAGAATCCAACAGGTTTTGTGGAACACTTTTCAAAAGTAAGATAAGAAGTTTTTGCTGATTAGATTGATTATGGAAACTGGTTGTTTATCTCGATACGAGTGATCAAAAATTTTGTAAGATATATGCACACTGCCTTCTTTATTTACACATAGTTTTAACATAAACGAGTTTGCCATAGAATCCCGCGAAAGTTTTTGTGCAATTATACAAAGACAATCATTCACATCAGGCTCAGTGAATATGAACTCCATATCCGACAGTTCAACCTATAATACGCCGGGATATTTAGCGAGTTGCGTTAGAAAACGTTCGAAGAAATAACAAATGAATGTTTCAGACATTCGAAACCAATTATTTGAGAGAAGAATGTCGAGGTTTACTTATTACTCGTTCTGCGAATCAAAACACTTAAGACTGTGACAATTAACGAGTTTTTTGATTCCCTCTCTTATGACTGAATTTCCTTTGTAGTACAGCACAGGATTCATACTCGAACAAAGACTCGCCACTGGAAAGTAAAAGGGCTCTACAAATAGAATGAATTCCCTTTGAAGTACGTTTGATAAACCCACTAAAATGGCAATAGGTATGATGCATAACCCCAGAAGACTAACCACGTGACGAGTAGTCGCCGCCAACTGCCGTTCGATTTCTTGAGAAGCTAAATTTGGATTCACCCGAGAGCTTTCTTCCATTTTCTGTGCAACGGCATTGTTGTGCTTGCGGAGAGCAGCCAGAGTACACAACTGGATGGCAATTACAATCGTGGAGAAGCAAATGATGTATCCGCCTTCAAATGTCTCAACAGCCCTCCTAGGAAACAACTTTACCTGCCTCAGAACAACTAAAAAAATGGACGTCACCCACACCGTAGAAGAAGCAGTAATGGCGTACTGCATCTTCATGGCAGCTTTGTACCACCATGGTTTAATGACGGCTAAGTATCTATCCACACTCATGACTCCAAGGGTTCCCACCATAGCAAACAGGCATAAAAAGAAAGAAACCACCATAACAGGCGAGTCCCAATCACTGCGATTGAAACACGCTTCACCGGCGATCAGCTCCTCGATTCTGAATCTAATGTACAACGGTGTTACTACCCCACCCCACAGAACGTCAGTCAACGTCAAGCTGCAAAGATACAGAAACCCCGGGCGGAATCGAAGTCCACCCCTCAGAATTGTGACCAGGACCAACCCGTTTGACAGGAAACACCACAGACCTAATATGGTTGTGGCAGGGGTAAGCACCAAGCTAGAATAATAACTAAATTGGGATTGGACAGAACGTGGAAATTCAGAGATGAAGCACGGTCGCCCCTCTTGCAACGCTTCGTACTGTGTGTCATTTGTAGTCAAGTTTGGCTCCATGTTAGCTCGCTTAATCCTAAAAAAATAGGAAAGAAATGGTTCTTACATGTCCATCCTAAAATGAAGTAAGTTTGACGTTTTAGATGTACCGTTGAAGCGTTGAAGCTCCCTAAGCATTTTATCTAAGGTATGCATAGTCTTGAGCCTCCTACATGTGTTAAGATAATTTATGGCTATCTGCGATTGGCTATGAAAACCAATTTTAGTGGACACAAGTTTGAACTGAACGAACCACGGACTACTTGTTTAACGTCAGGGACTGATAGTTAATCGGGAAAATACGGTAGTTCGGAAAATTATCTCATCGTTGAAAATGTTTTACTGTGCTTCACATTTGACTTGTGAAGGTAAACACAAAAGGTAAACGCAAATGGTTTTCACCGTTTTAATTTGCTTGCTTTCGTAGACAAAAATATAAGGCTAATGACCATTTCCGTGGAACGTTCCGAATGGCAAAATACCGACTAATTAAGAAACAATCAGAAGGCTCGGATCTACCTCGGGACTTCCTTGCCATATAATAATGAACGATAATTTTAGGAAATGTTGACAAAACACTCAAGGCTTAGTTCACAAAGATTGTTTTTATGTGGAAGGAAAATAGAGTACTAAATTGCATAATGATGTTTAACCTCGACTTTATATTACCCTTGAGAAGTCTGGTAAAGTCTTGCCTTTTCTTAGCCATGAAGCCTAGAAGTCCCTACCTATTTTTTGTTCAATTTCCAGTGAAATATGTCTCATTTAGATAAATTAGATATGATTTTAAGAACGCAGATAAGAAAAAAAATTTCAGCCTCAGCGAAATCAGCTTAGCGGAGTTGACGATGTTGACGAATTTTTTAGTCAAATCCGTCTAAGTGAAGTCAGCTTGGCAGATTTGACAATTTTGACGAATTTTCGCCATTTTCGTTACTGCATGCACTTCTAGACATATCTCCTTAACTCGGCAGGAAAGTCCGTATAAGCGAGAGTATCCAAAAGAGGCACCCATGATAAGAGCATTTAAAAACTTTAGCACGCAGCGGTGATTAGAAACTGTTTGCGGTGCTCGATTTGACTAATGCGCTTTTATGTGAAGCTTACCCCTCTGTTATCGACTATATTCTAGGCAGCTGAATTTGCTGCTCAACGGAGCGATTCAATTTTTGTACATGCCACACCAGTTTTAAGCATCTGCACATGCAAATCGATTACTATGGTTAACTGAAGGTTAAATTTCTCACAAATTGCCTTCCGATTTCACTAATTTGACGATTTTATCGCGACCCAAACATGCGATGATCGCTTCATGGCACTAGGCAAATTAATGATTAGGACTGATTCTTGAAAAGTCCGTTGGAAGGAAAAACGCGAATATAGCCGACGAATATGGTACATAGAATGTGTTACGAAGGTGGTTGGAAATTCCGGGCACTTTAACTGCATGACCTGTAAACACCTTCTTTCCTTAGTTGTGGTATCTTTATCAAAACTCTTCTCTAGCGAAAATTCAACCACAATGCTAGTTCAATAACGACTGCGAGAACGCGACGAGATTACATTTTTTTTCGTGAATAATGTATCCGCAACTATGCAGCTTGAATCATAGGAGAAGAATTCTTGTTACCTGAAAAGAGGTGACCGGTACCATCTTTATCTGTTTGGCTCGCTTTTTACTAAACAAGTCCCATATCATTTAACTACGCCCAGTCAACTGGCCCATTTATTTATACCTAAAAATTTATTACATTTCGTGGCGGCAAGAAATGTTAAATTGTTAAAAGCAACAATGCATTCGATTAATCGGAAAACAGTTTTCTCCAAAAGTTTTATCATTACAATCTCAGCAGCTGGAGGCTCTTTAAAATCGCCCCACGCTTCTTAATCAAGTAACAAAAAACAGCAGTTGGTAATTTGAAGTCTGGAGATCCTTTTCATCATACGTACTAATTTTGGAGAGCCAAACAATAATAATAATAATAATAATAAAAAAAACTTAGTGGGTGGCAAAATATACTTTGGCAGACGTTTTTTTGATGTTCGCTCAGTGCTAATAACGCATTTTAAACTAACGTACTTAAAAATAGAAAGAAACGGATATGTTGACTGCAACAATCAAACAAAATTTTTTTAGGGATGGACTGGCAGGAATAGTAAGTTTTAGAGCCTCGCTTAAGCTAAAGCTAGTCTCTTGCTACTCTTCTAAGATATTGGTTTGTCCATCACAAGTTTCTGCCTTCCCCTCCCCCTTCCTGCTCAACTGCTGCGTCTAGAGTCCATTTGCACGCAGAAGGAAGATATTGCCCTGCCCAAAAACAGAACAGGAGTTTGACCCCAGCCACAAAATCTCTCGATCCGAATTTCAGCGTACTTAAGTGAGACCATCGTTTCTCAAATTTATTTTCCTATATTGAGAAGGTGCCAGAATTTTGCAACACTATGGTCGGTAAGAGAGCCGGAAGGCTTTCAAGTCCCTTAACATTGATAAAAACTTCGCCAAATATCAGACTATCCGAATAATTATGCTTTGCAAAAGGTATTTAACAAAGTGGTGAGGCTTTTCGTGGGGTGTATCTGAATTTTAATTTTTTTCTTGCACCTTAAGATGCATTTAACGCGTAAGATGGATTAAGCGGTCTATGCTTAAAAGTGGTTTTAAAAATTCACCTATTATTTCTTCTTAAATCTCACGAAACTAATCCGTTCAAGTCTTTTCATTTTCTCTGCATGCATTTAAAAATTAAAAATTAGTTATAACTACAGCTTGCTAAGTCGCTCGCCGACACGGAAAAATCTCCAGGTTGAAAGATATTGGCATGAAAATTTCACGATAAAACAAACTCAAACGAAAGAGAAGATACAATCGAAAAATGCTTCGACTTCGCGCGCAAGGACACATTTGTGGACATGTTCGAGCGTGAAATAACTAGCAATATATAAAATAAGCAATATATAAAACTGCCTTTTAATTAAACGAAAGTGATCATGAAGTCCCAATCTTCAAATAATTATGGCCGCCACACTTTCTTTGTAAGCTGTTTTACCGTAAAATGTATTTGCACTTAGTACAAACGTGGTTCTATTTCTCTTCTTATGGAAATCGACCAACCAAGTCTGATCGCATGTAAAACTAAAAGAATTATAACAATTAAGTTCGGCTTCCGATCTTTGAGCCACTTTTTCAGTTTCGCAACTTTGAATCATTACCAAGAGAAAATAGTGAGTCATAAATCTCTCTTGTCATTACTTGGAAATCGCAATCATTGTTTTAAACTAAACTCACAATCTAAATAAAAATAGCTTTGTTGTTTTCACAAATGTCATTATTCAGAAAAGTTCTTTTAAGAAGCGAAAAGTGAGAAATATAGACCTAACTAGAATATCAGTGTGTAGAGCTGATTGAAATCACTCAGCACGATGATAATGGCCGCAAATCTTTTAATAGACAACATTTGCATTAGCTAACATTAAGCCCGAACTATTTCATAATTTTCACCTGACTCAAACTCCAATTTTCTCGATGATGATGCTAAAAACATAATCGAAAAGTCGAAACGCTTTCTTCTTCGTATTTCAATTAAATTGCTTTTCAAAATCTTTGACTCACGCATTATACGCTTTGATTTATTTGCTCGGTAGTTGATGTAAATCTTTCATTACATGCGCAATACTGTCATTATAAAATCTTCTGATTCGAAGCGCCAGGAGCCCATCTGTGAGAATTACGGGTAATCGACAGATTTAACAAAGCCAAAAAAAACAAGAAGAAAACAGAAATTCTATAAAAATTACTATAATGCTATGAAAGGCGTTCGTTTTATCTGTTCACCATCCAGTTCTTGAAGATTCGTTAGAAGTGATTTAACCGTATCTCTATAACCTGGCAACAGACAACATGGATTTCCTCGTAAATCGAGCTTCCGTAGCGATGTGCAGTGCTCGAGACTTCTTAGACAATCTAAATTTGTAATATCTGGAATTCTTATCAAGGAAATCTTATCACAAAATTGCCGTTTAGCCTCCAACAAGATAATTTTCCTCGAAGCACTTGCCAACTAAAAGAAATAAGCGACTACTCTAGAGTCACTTGAGTGTTCAGATCTTCTTATGAACCCGCAAACTTCGCGAGAAGCCCGCGAGATTCTGTTACAGCAGCATCAGGCTGCTACTCTAACAAGTTACTCTAGACCCATACCTTCTGGGTCAGGTCTACATAAAACAAACAAGGCTTCAGAAACAGGGAGCCATGTGCGTACCTCATGGCACTTGATGGTACATTTTTAAAACAAAAAAGGATACTGTTATTTGAAAGAGACAGCTTCTCTAGAAGACAAAGTTTCAACGCATGCCGTCTAGTGATGAACCGCAGGTTATTATTACTGACGTCCATGGTGCGCACGCATTGTAACATGTTACACTCGTCGAGGGAGGTAAGCTGGTTGTGACACAAGTTGACGTTTTTCATAAGCACTAGCTGATCCATATGGGACAAAGACGTCAAGTCCTGCAAATAAATATATGTCAGTGATAAAAGCTTAAAATCTAAAATGCGCAGAGGATGCAGCTAAAGGAAAATTTCAATTCGGTTAACTCCTTGTTAACTTAAACCATTCGCACTCCTTATTGGTCACCTGCAAATTCTTTCTCTTACTTACATCTTACGTCTATCAAAGAACAGCGTCAGAGCGTATTCGAGTGAGTATCGTAACCCAAAAAAGTACAATAATTACAATAGCCTCAAAGTAAAAACAAGGGAACTTCTGAAGCACGGAAAAACGTGAATGATCAAATCCCGAATAAATGTAGTGTTCCACTGTTTGGTCGGGACGGTGGTGCAAGTTTTTTGGACCCATCACAGAATGAAGTACAGCAAAAGTTATTTCAGATTAGGTCGCCATTCAAATATGAATTATTCTGAAGTCTGAGATTTTAGTATCACCTTAGAAGTTTTACAAGTTGTATAATAGATAGTATAGGTACCCTTGGTACCGTATATGTCTGAGTTGCGACAGATGTTTATTTCACACCCGATATCAGAAGTAAGCCGAGTTGTAAAGATAGTTGGAAAAGTGAAAAAAAGTGTCGAGTACTTACCATGTTGGAAAGGTCAATTTCCCTCCTTGTCTCTTCCTAAGAAGAACAAACAAACAAAAAAAAACGTCAATTGAGATAGATTTAGAATGAATTTGTAAGCAACTGCGTCAATTAAAAATATTTCAGTAAGTTTCTCTCGCAATAACGTCGTTGCAAAAGCTAAAGCTATTTATAAAATTTCACTAACCTTATTTGAGCGGTGTCTCTCAATGGCGTTTTCTAATTTGAATTTCCTTTCTAAAGTTGGGAGAAATAAAATCTATAGGTGAGTTTAAGTCTACGGATGGACCGTTAATCGTTCAGTCAGTTAGTCAGTCAATCGACCGATCAACAATCAATCAGATAGGGTAAAACAGTCAGTCAGACAGAGCTCAGTAAGCTTTTCATTCAGCCATACAGTCAGTCGATTAATTGACCCAGATATGAGTCCGCCGGTCGCCGACTGATTCAATTAGTCTGCAGTAGAGTCAGACTGTTAGTGATCCAGTAAATTAAATAATTCAGTCAGTTATTATGTTCAGTCTAATCGAGTTTTCAATCGGTCAGTGAGTCAGTCCGTTCATCAGTCAGACAGCGGATTATTCAGTCAGTCAGTCCATCTTTCCGTTCTTCCTTCCAGTTGTCAATCTGTCCGTCGATCTATTAGTAAGAGGGTAGTCAGTTACTCAGTCAGTCGGTCACTTAGTCAGTCACTAAGTCAATCAGTCAGTCAGTGGATCTGTCAGTTAGTCACTCCTCCATTCTTTCCGCTCAGTAATTTGGTCAGTAAGTCAGTAGACCAGACAGCCTTACAATGTAGTCAGTGAATTGATCATTCAGCTAATCAATCCATAATTTAGTCGGTTGGTTGGTCGGTCGGTCGGTCAGCCAGTAACTCTCTCAGTTAGTCAGTCAAGTTGGTCAGTCAATCAGCCAGTCAGTCAGTCAGTCGCTCTCTCAGTCAGTCATTCAGTCTTTCAGTCAGTTAGTCAATCACTCTCTCAGTCAGTCAGTCAGTCGCTCTTTCAGTCAGTCAGTCAGTTGCTCTCTCAGTCAGTCAGTCGGTCGGTAGGTCAACCCGATCATTAAGTCAGCTAGTCAGTCAGAGAGCCAGGGAGTCAGACGGACAAGAAGTCACTGACCAGTGCCCCAAGTAATTTGTAGCGTGGGATGATACTTACTAAGATCTTTGTAATACCCCCGCCTGTAGCAATCCACCTGAGAAAGTTTTTCTAAATACGACTCTGTTTCCTTTTCGTGTGAAAGCGGATCCAATGCACGCATCAACAAAACCATTGTTAACATCGTCCCTACAAACATATCAAGTTTAGCCGCTTTGTTTCTCAGTAAGCACTGGTTATGGATTAAACCCTTCTAGTGCACATTGCGACAAAGTGTGATATATCCAAACCCCAGTAAACACAACTGCTGATCAGTGCAAAGAAAGTTTTCACTGTTACCTCAGGCAAGCTCAGAGAAAGCCACGAAACCGGCGCCAAGCGCATAAAATTCTCGCAAGCATAGCACAGAAAAAGAAAATCCACAGTAACTGTGAGCTAGGGTGGGGGAGAGGGTTATATTCCGCAACTTTGTCATATTTTTTCAAAGGAATGACGAAATGGCGGATCTGTAAGAGAACGGGCTGAACAGTAAAGGCGCATCATCGAGACTGCTTGCCTCCCACAACTGTGGCCTGAATTCCACCTTGAACTTGTGGCGTACTTACACTTGTTATTCGGTTCCTCTTCCAACAAGAGTCGACAGGACTCTAGCTCCTGTTGAAGGACTGAACTGTGGACAGCTGTGAGCTCCGCTCTGATGACGAGTAAAACACAGCACACAAATTGAAAGTAAATCACTGACTTGCGCTACAGTGTTAAGTGCAAGGAAGCTAAAAATGGTGTCAATAAAATTGGTTTAAACCTCATTAAACGACGTCAAAGATGTACATTTCTGACAAGCCTCAAGCCTAAGGGTCCAACCCCTAATCATTTTGACCCACGAGACATGTGTTTCAAGCTATAAAAGTTGATGAGCAAATAGAGACCAGAGTATTTTCAGTACCTAAAGAGATGCGACTCAGTTGCAGATGACCAAACCTCAGAATCACCTACAATAAATACACAAAAGGCATTTAGCCCTTGTCATCCTAACATCAGCATCAATAATTTCCATACTGTTTTATTACGTTTCCTATGGTACTGACAACAAGAATTTCGTTAAAAGTCAAGAGCTTACCGAGTTTGCGATCATTTCCCTAATTCTCACAAGCCTAATATTTGATTTAGAAGTGATACCTTTGTGGGAAAATAAATGCAAGTCACACTTTCCTGACCCAGTGTATCTCTCCACCCAAAGACATAGAGAGAAACCTGATGGAATGGTGTGTATAACTTGAGCTAGGTTAGCATCACATCCATGTAAATAGTGTAATAATCTTCTCATTTGCTTTAAACCTGAGGAAACCAAGATTTTCCCTCCTCTAACATTGTGAGCACCTTGGCTTGAGTTCAAGACACTTTTAAATTAACTCTCCTTGAAAGTGGATCCTTCTCATTCTAAAACCACTTCTCTGGTATAAGAAGAGACAGTTAACTTAATACTTTTCCCATAGCAACAAGCTTGAATTTTTAACTCATCACAAACCTTCTGGTACTGCCACAGACCTCTCTAGTTTACCTCCCATGAATTTCGCCTCAATTGTTGTTCCATTTGGAAAATTTGATTGACCATCCCCACAGCTATAAATTTGAATACTGTCAAGGAAAAGTGGTCTGAATAACAATTAGAGAAAAACCATTCTTTTCTCTTTGCAGGAAAGGGTAAAATTTTACAAAAACTGTTAAATTATGTGCAACTTTAATGCAAAAATAGAGAGTGAAAAAGAAAGAGAGAGAGAGTGATTTCAATTATTAACAAGGTATAATTCGCAATGTGTGAGCCAAGCTTAATTCGTATGAAGCATAAAAGTTTTTCAATATTTTAAAGCTTAATTACCATTTCCATTTAAAGTTCGCTTATCAAAAAGTCCAACTGTTGGATAGTGTTGTCAGGTGCACTTTTGATAGCCCTTGAAATTCCACGGAAAAAAATAATTTTTGCATCACAAAAAAATACCCATGTAAAATTACTTCCCAGAAATTCAGAAGTGGGGAGTTTCAAAAGCAATGGAGTTTTGAAATGAATTCAAAGGTGAGATGAAAGGTAGGACTTTTTTCCGAGGAAGAGAAATTTGTATTATCAAATGAAATTAACTTATGTAGTAAAAAAAAAAAAAAAAACCAAAACAAAGAACCAAATCAAATAATGTGTCTCATAAAGTAGGATATCCAGACTGTAGAAGGGTGATTGTTGTAGTAACAGTTGTTCCATTGACCTTGGACCTCATCTCCGCAAATAGAAACATGTGGATCTTCTTTAGGAACCTGCAGAGACAGAATCAAAGCATTATTGGTTCATCTCATAAAGCACAGTGATGTTTCAAGCACAACAGGTAAAGTAAATGTTCAAACCCTTAGAGCAATCCTTTCAGCTGTTGAATTTACAAGAACTGTAAGGTGGACTGCAGGTGGCTAATTTTACCGCTTACCACATGAAAAGGAAAACATTGAAAGCACAGGTCTAAAAAGCTCTAAATTTTGGTCAGGAAGTATAGATTCAAACACTTAAGTTAGAAGGTTTTGAAAACTTGTCTGGAGAGTTCAGTTCCAGTAATAAATTTAAGAGTAATTAGTTTTCTTTCTGACCTGGATTGGCTGTGTAAACTTCACAATGACTGTTGCATGTGTATCATCACACCTCACATACAAACACAAAATATCCATCTGTGGTCTGGCTGTGGAAAATATAAAACAATAATTTAAATAAATCACTCATAGCTTATTAGGAATTTGATGGTTAAAGATCATCAAGGGCAATCAGGACAATTTTTAAACCAAGAAAATCAAAAGATTGGAAGGTAGAAAGGAGAAGTCTTTGTTACTCCTCACTACTGGAGCTCATTGAAACATCTGTGGTATGGAGAAATTTTTGAGTATTGCTGTTCCTCCCCTTAGATATTGTTATCCCTGATAGGTAAGAGGAGATAATAACAACAAATGGATAAAACCCAACCCACAAAATGAGAGGATTATGAAACAAAGATTGGTTGTTGTTTAACAAAACTGCATTCTAAACAATGCTCAATTTAGCTGAACCTTTTATCTGAACAATTTCTTTTTGTGAACAGCATCAAGAGAGCCAAAAGCTATTATTTAATAAAACTGTAAACAACCATGGTTAAGGTTGGACGTCATGTAAATAACTGGCCCTAAGTGTTAACAAAATGTATTGCATTTTGACCGCATAGAGATTCATCCAGCCAATAGCATATTAATCCACCCTTAGAACAACCAGGGTCAGGTTTCTGTGAATGAGTTCACTAGCACCCATTTATACTCCTGGTTGGAGAGAGGTATTGTGAGAATAAAGTGTTTTGCCCAAGAACACAATAAAGTGATCTAGTTGAGGCTTGGACCCAGACCTCTTGATCCACAATTCAGTACATTTGTCACCAAGCCCCAGTAGTTCAAAGAGTAGATAACTCTATCCATTGGATAGATCTCTCCGTGATGGAAAGAACAGTTGGTTTTCTTAATACTTAATCCTCTGGATAGCAATTTATCTATTTGCTAGCAATATCCACCCTTTTTATAAACAGGCCCAGGGCACCCGATTTCCAATTCAAACAAGGTACAGTTATATGCAATACTAAACACCAACTAAAGATAGAGTGTATTATACCTCTCCCCAAAAGCCATCTGTGATAGAACCAAGCACTCTGATCATAGGGGTCAGTGAAATAAGCATTTTGAGCTAGATCAAATTCTGAAATAGAACATGACAAAATCAACAGTACTCTTAAACCCTTTAAACCCTAAGAGCGACCAGCATCTCATTTCTCCTTACAGTAATACTGCTGAATCATTCACTAAGATCATGAGAATAAAGGAAATGATTGCCAAACTAAGAGGCTGAGATCTTGAATGCGTTCTCCTTGTCAGTACCAAAAGAAGCATATGGAGGAGAGTAAGGAGAATATGGATACTGATGTTAGGGTGTAATTAACAACAACTGTAAAAACCCACAGATAAACTGCACCCTTAATATAGTGGCTCAAATTTTTGGAAAAAAAGTTTTTTGAAAAAAATTAAAAGAAGTCCAAAGTTGAGTCTTAAGAAGTCTTCTTCATCCACTGTTCATTGAATGTAAACTCACTATTAACATTGCAATGGAAAATACTTCAAAGTTTTGCCCACAATTTTAGCACTTTAATATAATGAACATTGTTTCTATCAACTTTGACATATGATGGATCTTTTTCTGGTATTTGTGGACAGGAATTTCTTCATTCAACACAGTTTTTCCATAGATTTTTGCATTACAACAAGAGCATGAGTGGAACATTCCAAGCTTAGTAACCAGGCATTAAATTGTATGCAAAAATGGAATGCCTTTTTCAAATGTTCCTGCAGATAAGCTGCACCCCCGATTTCTAGCAATGGTTTTTGGAAAAATGGTGTGGCTTATCTGCAGGTTTTTAAAGTAAATTAAAATTTTTATCATATTTTCACAAAGAACACCCTGGCTAATAATTTAGAGGGTAAATAACGCTTTGTATATCACTTTGTTCATAATGGTAACAGCGCCTCTTGTCATTCAATTCTGTCTGTAACCATACTCATGATTAACAAATTGGATAACCACTTTGCGGTCTTCTGATTATGTCAATCACTTGTTACCAATTAGTCATAACCATTTCAATTTCCAAAAAAACAAAGTAACACACTTAGAACAAATATCTCAAGTGGAGACAATGTATTTAGTTAAAAATTCCTCCATTTTGGAAATTCCCCAGTTTTCCTTCGGATAAGTGGTTGTTTCTATGGTTATTTTGATCATTTCTGTGATTGGTTGATTAGCTTAAGACGATTGGCTGCTTCAACTGTCTGATTACTGGTGTCTTATTACAGCAAACTGTCCGATTACACTGTCTGATTAAAATTGTACAGAATGATTAGTAAAAAATGAAGCTGCAAATGCACCCAAAAAATTTGAGGAATTTGTAATGGTTATTATTAAGTGTGGTAATAGTATGCTATAGCAAGCAAGTCCTGTCAGTGAAGTTACACCAGCAGTTGATTGAAGTGCTTGTCTAAAACACCAAGAAAGTAAACTTGCCATTTACCTGACACTGTTTATAAGTGAGTTGAGATTTAAATGTCTTTAACTCTACATTTCACATATGTATTTACTGGATTTGAAAAGGTTGGAATCTATTGTTTCAGTTTTGTCCTCTGATTGGTTTTCATTCATTTGCCTGGGTGGTCTGGATTCCCGTCAATGTATTGTAAGTTACTTCTTTCTGAGTTTAACAGTATATTAGTTATACCTTTCATGAGTGCTCCCTCTTCCACTCTCTCTCTGTCTCCACTCTGATCAGGATGAATCAATGGAAGAAGTTTGCTACGGTAATGCCATGAGGAATAATTGGAGAAATTCTCTTTGATCTTCTCTGTGCTAAAGTTGAATTCATCATGCGGTGATACATTTGCTTTCTGTACTGTGTATCTTCTGTAATCCCAACAGTGAACTGGGTAAAATGAACAAAATCTCTCAATAAAATTGACCAGAAGATGTTAAAAGGTGGCAGAATTTATGTCAAACTATCAAAGAAGAGGTTTAAAGTGTTCTTTACTTCTATCACTCCATAAGTGACCAGACAGAGGAGTACTGGAATTTTAAAAGGAGTATGTTGAACAAATTATTTGGATTTAACACCAAATTTCTAACACTGGCCAACAAATAATAATCAATTGGAAGAATCATAGCAAATTGGAAGTTGGTGCTATCACCACTATCTGAACAGACATTAGCACAGGACAGACTGTTCTGCAGAATTTTTATATTTCAGTTGATCTTGTTTAGTGTTAAGGCTAAATGTATGTGGTACATCAATTATTGTAATAATGAGTGATGAGTTAACCCCTCAAATCCCGTGAGTGACCAAGACAGAATTTCTCATTACTATATCTATACAATATAATGCAGACAAGTGATGAGAATAAAACTAAGAAAAATATCAATTATGGGATTACTAATTGATTTGATACCAAATTCTCCAAACTAACATAATGAGAATCGTTTGGTAGACAATAAGGAGGGTTAAACAACCAGGAGAACACAAACAATGAAGACCATGCTCTAGAAAAAAGACCGTTTTCAAAAGACATCAGATTAGAAGGTGAGAATTTATGCGTGATTGTCTCTTTCTCAGTATCTTTGATAAAATTGTGGTGATGAACTTACAATTTCTCTCATCATATGATAGAAACTTATTACAAAGTTGCAATTCTTCCTTCCAGTTAGGCTGAGGCATGAATTCCATGATCCATTGTCTGTGGTGCCAAACACCATATGATTTTGGGTTCACTTGGAGACAGTTCTTGAGGAAATATAACTCCTTCGTGCAAAAGTCTTGTATTACATCTGGTGGACTTAAAAATTAATCAACATTACATTTATCAAATGGTGAAACAATATTGATTTATATACCAACAGCCAGTAGTCAGGTGGCTTTCCTGTCAATTCACTCAGTATATCAATTAGCAGTGCCTACTTCTCATCTCTCTTATGGAGGAAAATCTCTCTCCTGAAGTTCCACAGAGTTGAAAAGTCTGGATTAGCTGCAAGGACCTGTTCAGACAAAGAGAGAGATTCCTTGTCCATTTCTCCATTTTTTCTCTGAAAAAAATGGAAAACCGGATCAGCAAATCATTATTTATTTGTTTGTTTGCTTGTTTGTTTGGTACATGATTGCTCATTTTTCTTTGTGGTAACCTTAAAACATTTGTTTCTATTGCATTAACAAACTCCATGTGCAATAAAGGTGCTTTTAACACAGTGATCCAAATATTACATTTTGAATAATGTATTTTGAGTGTTCTGATTGGTTCACTTCACTAACACTGCATTGCACCAACACTTTTGGAGTGGGAAATTTGGCTTTACATTTATTCTCTAATTACACAAATGAGTAGGATTTAATGAAATTCAATAAAATAATTATTCTATATTCCCTTGTTGGATTCAAGATTGGTTATAGCCAATTCACATCCAATCTGTACTCATGAAATATTTGTTAAGTGAAGATATATGTATGTACAACAAACAAATTAAAGGTCTTATTCTGTTAACTCCTATCAAAGTAACCAGCAATCCAGAATCAAGAAGGTATTGAAAGTGCCAACCGCAAGTCCTTTCACATAACATTGAAAGTACAGCATGTTTTAAGATACTTCAATTGGCACTTTCATGATGAATGTGAATTTTCATTTCAAGAAGGGTTCAACCCTTAAACCCTCATGAGTGACAAGGGAGAATTTCTCCTTACAATATCAATACAATATCAAGCAGACAAGTGATGAGAATAAAGAAAAATATCAATTAGGGGATTGTTAAATGACCTCACTTAAACATCAAACTCTCAGAAAATACAGAGTTTATAAAAAATGTATGACAGACAGTAGGAAGAATTTTCATCGGAATGGGAGTGAAAAAATGGGTCAGGCAATGAAAAAAACATATCACCTTTTCATAGATGCGGCTTGTTGTTTCTGTGTAAATTTTCAGTTTCTTTTCCCTTTCTTTTCTCTTTGCTTCAGCTTGTTCAGCTGTTGTACGTACTTTGATTCTTCCATGCTGAGTAAACAAAACAATCATATACACCACCTTAAATAAGAGATTTAACAACAAAGATTTCTGCTGAACTGCTAAACTTTCCTTTAATTCTAATGGCATTAATCAAAAATAGACAGTTAGTCTGCTGTATTAAAAGAATCTGAATTTAACACAACGTAGTCATTAACTTAAGGATTACCATGTCTTCGCTTGTAATTTAAAAATGTTATGTTCGTCTATGCTTCAACCAATTATCTGGCCGCCATATTGTTCCAAACCGCGTTAGTCCTGGGAAATACTTGCACACGTAGTTCTTTTGGACAGTGGAAGTTAAATTGTTCTTGTAAGTACATGTGAATCTTCCAAATTCCCAAAATAACTTGATAAACCTCTTTGGCGGAAGTTTCACTTTTGATCTGTAGTATTTCTACTTCAGTTTTTACTTCAATTTTTTTCTTTGTAACAAAATGAGAAAAACAGAAAATTTATCCGTGTTGATATCTCTTTAAAGTTTTTGTAGCCAAAATTAACTCTGATAACGAGGTAGGCAGTTCGCATTTGTACGCGATTTACATTAAGGAGAGACACGTCAGCGCCTAAGAGAAAAGAAATCTTTGTGGCAACCGCCAGTGAACCAACAACTGAATTAACTTGACTGATTCGAAACCGTCAAAAGCTTCTTTTAATAATTTAGACATTAACCCTTTATATTGGCTCGTATGGATTCCGACGTCGACGCTTTTCGCAATCCTGTGGATACAAGTGCACAATTGGAGAACATGGGTATAATTGCAATGATAGTTCAAATCATCTCATGGATCTCGTCGGTTACTATGGTCTTTGGTGGCGTCGTACCGTATGTACCTCAATACTGGGACATTTTGCAATCTCGTGATGCAGAAGGCTTTTCTATGCACGTGTGCTTAGCTCTCCTAGTTGCAAACGTACTCAGGATATTCTTTTGGTAAGTCGTTGTACGATCCGGTTACGAATTGTTGCCGAGAATTCGTTTAACCGATTTGTTAATTGCATTCAGAAACTAGAATACTCAAGTTTATCGGAACTGCGTTATAGATCGCTTCGTCATCAACAGTTTGGCTGAGTTTGTTAGAAGTGTGGTGAAAACGGACGACGACATGGCCGCACAAGATTGCGAAATTTGAAATTTTACTTGGTGGCAAGTGTGTACCCCCCCGCCGTCTTCTTTAGTTTCGCCAGTTTTCAGAACTATATTCTCGTTAATTTATATCCAATCAGCCTTAAAATTGGGAACGTTACCAGTTTTGAGATGCTTTTTTTTTTTCCCTTACCGTGTTTCTGCTACTTGTAATTCTTACTTTGTCGGAGGGTCCATGAAACTTTATAGTGAATTTACTTTTTACCACGGAGATATTTTTACTACAAGAAAAGGCAAATTTATTCCAACATTGTTTTCTTTGGTACAGATTAATACTTAATATGTTTTCTCTGATCTTTAAACGATCTCTTTGCTTGATTTGATCAGGTTTGGTCGTCGATTTGAACTTCCGTTATTAGCTCAAAGCTTTGTCATGATTGTTGCAATGATGATGATGTTACAGCTTTGCACCAAAATAAGAAGAGAAAGTGACATGAGTGCAAGGAAGAGATCATTTCTTGGTAAATATAAATCAGTCTCCCAGAATCATCTTGAGAACTAATAAAAGTGTATTTAAAGAGGATGCATTAAAATATCAATTTGTAGAAAACGATAATCTAACAAATTTATAGAACTGATTGGTAAGTTATTTAAATGTCAGTCTGACCTACAAGAGTTCTTTCCTAAGCCATTCTTACCTGGATAATTACATTTATGAGGTATCTTTGGTTTAGAGTTTGCTATTTTCTTGCATAGGACAACACAGAAAGCCTTGAATTATTTGTATCTGTCAGGATTTAAGACTTGATTGGTCTATTTTTACCAATATTTGTAATCCAAAAATTATTCAAGAAATATAATATCCTATTTTGCCAGGAATTGGCAATGAAAGTAGTTGGTCCTTGTGAGCAAATTACTTGTACAGCTCCTGGTTATTGTGGTGCAACCCTCAGAAACAAGCTACCCTGTAATTTAAGACAATCGGACCAGACAACCATACTACCCATTAGATTTTAAGATAATAATCACATATCTTTTGCACCATATGTGTGATAAAGTTATTGATGTTATTTATCCATTCAACATTTTAGTGTCTTACCATCATGTTTCTGCATTTTTCTTTACACAGATTTTCACAGAAGACATTTCTGGGACTGGACACATTTTTCTGACTATGTGTTATGTGTCCTGATATTTGTGGCTGTGGGTGGTTATGTCACCTACTTATTCCTTAACTTTCCAACATTTGTGGAGCTTATAGGATTCTTGGCAGTGTTCACAGAAGCTATGCTTGGAGTTCCTCAGTTTTACAGAAATCATGTTAATCAGTCCACTGTAGGGATGAGGTATGTGCACTTGGATGTTTCCATTTCTGGAATCTGCATGCATAAAATTTCTGCTTATAGACTGAGTGGAAAGGTTAGAAAGGAAAGTATTTGGGTCAAGTGCACTTTACTTGTGCATGATGACTGAAAGCCAAATGTTTTCTCATTTGCCCCAACCATACTTAGTCAAAAGGTATTTTATGATGAGACTGCTGCTCTCGCTTTCTGTATCCCTCAGTTCATGCATTTTGCATCACATAGGAGCAGCTTTTTCCATCCCAGCTTGTGCTATGTGTTTTACTCTTCAATACAGGAACTTTGTTCTTCACTTTTTTCTGTCACATAAGTCACACGATGCATAATTTTAATCCAGTCATCTGAACACACTCTACCCCTCCCTTCCCTTTGCTGGTTGTACTAAGTGTTTCAGTAAAGAATTGGGAACCCTTTTATTTGGAGATCTTGTACTATTGCATCTGAAATACCACAGGGGTTGCTTGGTGAATCCTCTGCTCTAATCCTTTGACCCCTCGGAGTGACTACATGTAATTTCTCCTCACAATAGCACCCCTGAATCACACATTGAGGTCACGAGAATAGAGTAAATGATCTTTAACCAAAGACACTTTTGATTGTTAAACAAATTCTCCTTGACAGTACCTTGGGATATGTATAGTTAGCCATATGGAGAAGATACATGCTAATGTTAGGGAATAAAGGGTTAAACAAAGCTTCTTTTAACCAGCAGCAAATTGAAAAACTGAAGCATGACATTTATTTTTTTCTGTTTGCAGTGTAAAGATGGTTGTAATGTGGCTATCAGGAGATATATTCAAGACTTGTTATTTCCTTGTAAAGGTTGCACCAGTTCAGTTTTGGATTTGTGGTTTGCTTCAGATATGTATCGACATTGCCATACTTGTTCAAGTTTATAAGTTTGGAAAACAGGAAAGAACTCATTTAAGATAATGAAAATTGTTTTAAAATGCAAGTTATCTCTATGGAGTGCACCATCAATTTTTATTTATACAATACATATATTTATATCCTTAAATTTTTATAGAAATTGGGTAATATTACATTGTTTACTCTAAATGCAAATTCAAGAGACTATTTTCTTGAACACTAGACACTATATTTACTGTTAGTGACTCTGAAGCTACATATGCCAAGTGGCACAATAAAATTGAGAACTGAAAAATCTGCCTGGTGGAAAATTGTCTTTCTAAAATATTTTTTTTAGGGGTGACTTGACCCTCCCTGTTGATTCAAAATTGACTGCTTATTATTAACAAGCGATCATTTCAGTGTCGATATCTGACTTGTGGAAATCAACATTTTTGACATGATTTGTTAGATACCCACCTCCCCACCTTCCCTATGAAATGCCTGAGAGGTTTTTAATCAGGGAGTATGGTGCTGACTCATACCCAGTTGTCTTCATAGATTGGGTGGCCTGTGTGATGCTGGTGGTCCCTGTGAATAATTTGTCACAGGAATTTCACCCTGGAGCTGGTGTAATACAAAGATTATTGGAGATGACCCTAGTCATAGTTGACTGAAAAAAGAATTGATTCAAGACTTGGGATTCTAGAGACCTGCAGAGGTTTAGGAAACAAATTTTGCATTTCCTCTATTTCTCTGTCCAGCACCCACAGCTCAAAACATCAAAAATATATAGACGAATCAATTGATAAATAGAAAAATAAAGCAAAACACAATGGAGCTATTCTTACGGCACACGCTGAACCCTTGCGCAACCAAGTTCCCCACTCTCCCGTCCCTTTTGGAATATTCCAGAGGAGAGCTGGGTACGAATATTGGGAGAAATCGAGTTCAAAGGAGGACAGAGGATCGTAATATGCGAGTACGTGTGGCACTGGTGGTTTTGCGAGGAAAGAGACGACTATTCGGCCTGAATTTCCATACTGAAGTTTAATTTCAAGCATTTAATGCGCAAGGAATCGATCAAGTGGCTATGGAGGTCAGCCGAAGGAAAGAAAATTTATTTGTCTTGATCATTTTCGCGGAATCTTTAGCATGTTTTCGCGGGTAATTTTTGGACGGACTGCGCGTGCGCTTTGGAGGCTCAAGCCCTTATGGACCAACCAGAGTCCACTATTCAGAACACACGAGGGTTCAGTTAGGTGCTCCAGCATGGCGGATGCCGGTGGCGACGGAAACATTAGCAAGAAGTACGTTATATTTCTCGTATAAATTTAAATCAGTCGACCTCCAAACTTTTACTGAATGTTTAATAATTATCTCTGATAACAGCGAGCTAAAGAGAAGGCTCAAAGCAGAGAAGAAAGCTAAGGAGAAGGAGGCGAAACAAGCGGAGGTAAGGCTCCGACTATATTTTGGATTCAAGCGATTTAGTCACGGAAACACGTGGTTACATTCGACCCATTCCACCTTTCTTTGTTTTAAAGGCGCCTAGCTCTCAAGCAGCTGAGAACAAGAAGAAAGATGAATTAGACGAAGAATCATTGGATCCAAACGTAAGAGGAAGTTACTTTCGCTTTTTCATTCATAACCTAATTATTTTTTTCCATTGATTGTGTAGGCCTACATTACTGTACATTTGATATATTTGCTTCTTCAATTCCTTTCTGAAAACTAAATTATTTTATTTATTTTAAAGTAGTCCATAAACGATTTGTCATTTTTCTGATGCAATCCATTCTCAGAAAAAATCTCAACTTCCGTATAAATAAGTTGTTGCCTCATTATTTCATCACCCTTGACCGAGGTTAAAGTTTCACTTGAAGTTAAATATTACATCCATGCAGAGGGCCTTTAAATATCGCCAAGTGAAGTAATCCTCACACCTCTTAACTTTTGCTTTCTCTCGATTCTCGCGCAAGAGAAACGCAGCCTGGCTTGAGTTGAGCTTGACCTTCAAGAACATAAAAGGGTCCCAGTTGCTTTTCCATAACGGGCTTCCGATGGTGTTTTAGGCGGCTTTGCCCGGAAAGTAGCCGTGAGGCAAATCCCATACACGAGAGCTTGCTCACAGGCCATGAGGTTTTACTGGCAGCGGTAGACCTGCCTTTTTTGAAAATCCCAGCATATGCTCCTTAAATTTTTCCTAAAATTTTTACTTTTTTTCATTGCAATTTTTATACTTAACTTTTTAGGTGTTAAATTTGTAGGGTATGTCAGTGACAAGTCAAGTCTTTTTTATAATTTAAATAACAATCGTGGCTGCTGTCAATGGGTGATAATATTTGATTTATAGAATACAGCTTGCAAAATGTTGTTTCTTTTTTGAGAAAGTGTTTTGCTAATCTTTGCTTCGTTTGTCTTGTAGCAATACTTTAAAATCCGAAGCCAAGCTATACAAGCTCTGAAGGCTAGTAACGATTCTCCATACCCTCACAAGTTTCATGTATCCATCTCATTAACGGAATTCATTGAAAAGTACAAAGATGTCGCTGATGGGACATGGTCAGATGATGTGGTTTCTGTTAGTGGTGAGTTGGAAAAAGTGATACTAATTGATAAATACTTGAAACTTTTTTTTAAGATATTATTTCCTGGACATAATAGGTATTTGTGGAATTCCTTGTTAACATCACTGGTTTAACATCTTTTTCAAGAAGATTTCCTCCCCGATATAAAAAGAAAATGCTACCGAGTCTGTATCACAAACAAGTCACAGACTTCCACTCATTCCTCCTTTTTCCATTCTCCCTCCTCCCTTTTAATCTACAGTTCAGGTGTTTGGAGTGATTTTTTTGCTTAATATTGACTCCCTGTCCCTTTTGATTTAACCTTTCTTTGGGAGTCATGGGTCTAGAGGTTGTCTTGCTCAACTCAGGATCCAAGATCTGAGTCAAATTTGGCCAAGGTCATTGTGCTGCTTTCCTGAAAAGACATTCATGCTCACAGTGCCTGTCAGGGATACTTGTTGGATTGATATTGGGTAACCTGTAATGAATTCCCTCATCTAAAGGGACTTTTCACAATTCCCTTTGTTGCTTCTCCTTTTTCTTCAAAAACAAAGAACAGCCTTGGCAGCTGTGAAAGCTAGTCTTTACACAGGCTTTGCCCTTTTATTTTTCTTTATTGCTTACAATTGTTAACCATTATGTATAATTTACCTAAAGCTACTTAGATCTCCCCATCAGAATACATCAATAATCCTTCAGCTGCAGCTTGCTTTTAAAAAATTGAAAGTTTCTTGATGGCTTTACCTTATCTTTTTTTCTCAACAGGTAGAATCCATGCAAAACGTCTGTCTGGTGCTAAGCTAATATTTTATGATTTGAGAGGAGAAGGAGTGAAGATTCAGGTAATGGCAGATGCTAGAGCTGCTGAACAAGATTTTGTCGAGGTCCACAATAAGATTAGACGTGGTGATATAATTGGAATCCGTGGAAAACCAGGTATCTTAATTAGTTCAGTTTAAATTTCTTTGTTTTGTATTGTTTTTTTATATACCTTAGCTTTGATAAAGTGCTTGATAAGGAATTTATAAACATTCTTTTTCAATAATTTCTATTGACTAAGAGTAGTTCTAGTTTGTATCAGGATTTTTAACTGTCATTTGATTGCTTGATGTTAAATTATGGCACCTGAATATACAAAAAACTGACCCCCAAGATATTCATTTTCCATTAGGCAAAACAAAGAAGGGTGAATTGAGCATCCTGCCATCAGAAGTTCAATTGCTATCACCTTGTCTGCATATGCTCCCTCATCTTCACTTTGGATTGAAGGATAAGGTATCCACTCTAACATTTCGCATTGCAGAATTAAAGCTTTTCTTATTGTAGTCTATATTAGAGTTTGAATGCCTTTAGCTTTGGTGTGCTTCAGAGATTTCCTGTGCCTATAAATCCACCATTGTGAAACTGGAGTACATTGTGCTTAAGTGCAATCAAACCTACGTTCGACCAGAAGAATGATGTAAATTTGATTAACCCCTAACAGTTGTTTTGGCTTAGCTGACTCAATGTTTAGGGTGAAGATTGTCCATTGTTTTCATGTCACTTTTGGGCATACATTACACTGTTATGGGGGAGAGAGAGAGGACACAAGAGTTCTGTGGGCAGATTATTAGTTAGGTGGCAAAATTGCAATTGTTGTCATAGTTTTCTGATATGATTAGAGTGTTACCAAATGTACAATTTCTTCTGTTTTTTTTTTGTAGGAAACAAGATATAGACAGCGTTATCTGGATCTCATTCTCAATGACAAAGTGCGGCAAAAATTTATTGTCAGAGCAAAGATCATCAATTACGTTCGGAAGTTTCTTGACAATTTGGGCTTTCTTGAAGTAAGTGGATTTCAATGGTACCATGCCTTAAAATGCCCAGATGAGAGATACACCCATAAGATATAAGGTCTGCAGACCATTTTTACCTGGGAAACCTTGACATTTCTGGAAAACTTTTGAAGAGTCACTTAGTATATAGCATTACTGAATTACTTTAGATGTTTGAAATATGAATTAAATGGGTACTTTGTATATGAAATCATAAACCACACTGCAACTTATTCATAGACCAGATGATTTTATGATGAACTGAATCTAGATTTTGAACATGTTGCCTTAAAACTTAATATCTATTTGCCTATCACAATCAAAAGTCAGCAATTGCAATTGGATCTCAAGACCACAAAAGTATGACTGTTCCTGCATGCTCAATTGGCTTTTGCAGCCACACATTTTAAAATGGTTTTGAATATTCCTGATGTTCATGATTTTTCGAGTTTAACAATAATTTGTTACAGTCTTATGATAAAAGAATGTGAATGAAGCAATTATTATAAGCAATCAGTTCTTGCCACTAGGTAGAAACACCACTGATGAACATGATTCCAGGAGGAGCTGCAGCCAAACCTTTCATCACACACCACAATGACCTGAATATGGATCTCTACATGAGAGTTGCTCCTGAACTGTATCACAAAGTAAGCAAGATAGTGTCACTAATTTTCAGCACTGCCTGGTACTGAACTCATGAGGATTGTGGATTAAGACATCCCAAGGGTGTTGTCCTGCTCATGAGCCAAGTAAACTGCATCAGCTTATTTGGGCGTGAGATACATGTAACTAGTGGTACTGATATCCCCTGTCACTGAGGCTACCCTGGACGTTCACTTTTTTGTATTCATACACTTAGGTAGAGAGAGGCACTATGAGAATAAAGTATAGTGCCATGAGTGTTCATGAAGAAATGTTCTTGCTTGTGCCACAAATGTGGTCAATTGAATGTGTTTAAGAATTGTTCAGCAATTTTTTTTGGAAACTTGGCACAAGTGTTTTGTACAATGTTGTTATTTGCTATAATTGATCACTGTATCCATGGTAAGGAGTTAAACTGCACATGTGTTTGTGTCATGAGGTGTTAAATAGACTGTTTGGAACTGCTAAGGGACCACTTTGAATGACATATGAATGACTTGGATGTTTTGGATCTTTTTGTTTATTGGACTATTTTTTAAGAGAAGACCTAAAGGACAGGTGTGGTTTCTGAAGGAAAAACTAACTTGTTTGATTTTATCTTCTCTTTAGATGCTTGTTGTTGGAGGAATTGATAGAGTGTATGAAATTGGAAGGCAGTTTAGGAATGAAGGTACCTGATGAGACAAATTATTTACACATCTATATCAAACATGTTGTGCTTCAGCACTTGTTAAAATCAAAGTGAAAACAATATGTTAGACTTGGGTGTTTCCTTTCTCAAGAATGTTATACTGTAAAGCAAAGTGGGTCTAGGGTAAGCTTAATAACTGAGTTTTGAGACAGGGCTGTGTCTGCATATTAGGTCTTCTAGCTCAGAGCTAAGAAAGTGGTCATGTGGTGACCTCAGAGTCAGAATAAGGTAACCAGGAAAAGAATACTAGTTGTTAGGGATGAGAATGGAGTGCTTTGTTCTCTCATGTAAACACACCTATTGACCAATGAGAGCATGTTTAATGGTTATTTCATGTCTTTGTTTCCTGCAGGTATTGATATGACTCATAACCCAGAGTTCACCACTTGCGAGTTCTATATGGCCTATGCAGATTACAATGATCTTATGGAGCTTACAGAAGTTATGTTGTCTGGTAAGTCGCAATGCTGACCTATTCTCTTACTTTCCTTATGTTAACTTCTTAAAAGTATGCAAGTAAGTAATTCTGTAGAACAAAATATCAAGTATCAGTCATCTATACTGAAAATATTTTGGCTTATCTAAAAGAATATAACTACATAAGATGGTATTTCCGAACTAGTTCATGTAATGTTGCTCAGTTTCTAAAGATTATTATGGAGCATATTGCACAGAAAAAGGTTGTTAACTCAAAGAAAAAAAACAGTTTGAAAATGCCCTCATAGATTGATGACCAAGCATATATTTTATTATGTTTTTCAGGAATGGTCAAGTCACTAACAGGGGGTTATGTGGTTACATATCATCCGAATGCAACTGATCCTGAAAACCTTGGTGAACCTCTGACAGTAGACTTTACTCCACCCTTTAAAAGGGTTCACATGGTACCTGATCTTGAAAAGGCATTGAATGTCAAGCTGCCTCCCCCATCTGAGTTTGGCACATCAGGTAACACTTCAAGACTTTTGACTTCATCTAAATAACAATCCTCTCTTTCTGTGAATGCCAGTTACACCCCAAGAAAGTTATATAATTTTACATTCTGCTGTATGTTAAACCATGTAATTTGCATTTATGATATATTACTGATTACTTTCAGAGACAAGGCAGATTTTAGATGATTTGTGCATCAAACACAATGTGGATTGCAGTTCTCCGAGAACCATTACAAGACTGTTAGACAAAGTTAGCCTCAATTCATCTCTTTGTGATAAATTTTATACTTGTATTTTAACCGTATATCAAATGTGTTTCAGTTAGTGGGCTGGAGAATTTTTGAATAGGGAAATTTTTGCTTGTAAGTGTGGAAATTTTTTTGTTAAAGCAGCAGGGAGGCAAAGAAAGATTATGATTTCCAAATGTTAATGTGAATACTGGTTGAGTTTTCAAGGGGAAATGCATGATACATGAACAGATATTATAAATGGAATAAGCTGAGCTGCTGTAAGAGATATTCAGAGTATAATGTTGCTGCTTCGTGTAAAGTTATGTTATGGTAGTACACCTTGCTGGGCAAGTGACATAGCTACTCAGCTGTGACTGTCAACATAATCATGCGAGGTTAGATTGAATTCCAAGTTCATCACAGCTCTTCCGTTATGATGGAATTAAGCTGTTTCATGCCTTGGAGACAAAACATTCAGTCATGCACTTGTGAGAAACTAAGGACTCTTGTGACAAGCGTTTTTTACAAGATGTTTTATTGGTCCTAAAGAGCTTAGCACAGTGCAACAAATCAATATTCAGACAATTAGCTTGTTGTTGGATAAGGATGCTGAAAGATATTGGAACTCTGCAGCCTTAGAACCATTACAAATGACTTACTTCCTTTTTTCATTTGACAGCTTGTTGGTGAATTTCTGGAAGAGACCTGTGTCAATCCAACTTTCATCATTGATCATCCTCAAATAATGAGCCCACTTTCAAAGTGGTAAGTAACATGCATAAATCAGAACAATTTTGATATTTGGATTTCTATAAACACTCAGTGAGTAGATCAATAGACTGTCCTCTCCTAGTTGCATGATGTCTTAAGAACCAGGGTAGTGTCAGTGGGTTTGGGCCACTTGGCTTGTGTGCAAGACCTCTCTTAAACCTCACCAGGCATGTTTGCTGTAGTTCAGTTACTGCAGACTATTTCACGTGAGGTGATAGGATCATCCTTGTTGCATTCATTTGCTGCCACCTGAAAGCACTGAGTAAGTGATGGCTTGGGTGCTCATGGGAACATATTTTTACAACTAGAAGAAAACTAAAAACATTACTAAACAGGGCACATTATTGGTGACCCAACCTCAAAGCTTTTCTTCTCCCCTGCTGTCCAGCAACGTAACAAATTTTTAATAATTTCATTATTTCCTTGTTTTCTGGTCAGGCATAGATCTGTCCCTGGCCTTTCTGAGAGATTTGAGCTCTTTGTTTGCCGTAAAGAGGTGTGCAATGCGTACACAGAATTGAATGATCCTGTTGTACAGAGGGAGATGTTTCAGCTTCAAGCCAAGGTAAACAGAAATTCTTTTTCTTCAGCAGAGCGCTTCTGATGGAGTGTCGTAAAACCAAAACCAAAGTAATCACAATGGCCAATCAAAAGAAAGGAATATACCTTTAACCCTTTAACTCCCTTGAGTGACCAAGACAGAATTTCTCCCTACATTATCCATACAATTTTGAGCAGACTAGTGATGAGAATAAAGAGAAATATCAATTAGGGGACCACAAGTTGATCTAACACCAAATTCTCCAAACTAACATCGTAAGAACTGTATGGGAGACAGTAAGGAGAATTACTAATAAGATCTTGGAAGTTAAGGGGTTAAGAGCTAATGAGAACTTGAAGTAAAACCAACCACACTGCCTGGATCAATCACAGAGCGAAGTAAGCAAAACCAAAGGAATCATGTATTGACTTCCAACACTCAATTGAAAATTGCTCTATCCAGGGAAGGTTGAGAAAGTCAAATCACTATTTTTTCAAACTATTTTACCATTGTGATATTTTTTGATTGTGTAATTATGTATAACTCCAACCTTACTTGGGCATGTATCATAGCTTAATGGCAATGATTGTCAACTAAATCATGTGAGGTCAAAGTAATTTCCAAGTTCATCACAGCATGTTCTTTGTAATGGACATAAACTGTTTCATGCCTTGGAGACATATAGGAAATTTTCCCATTGTGCCTTGAATGTCTGAGACTTATCTTCTAGTTGGGAGGTGAACTCAACACACAAGTGCAGAAGATGGGCATCTTTAATGGTGACGTTTTAAAAACTGGGTCGTCAAATAAAGTAATCACAACTTCTTTCCAAATACAAGAAAATAACTCATCAGCATGCCTCTTTTTTTTTTTGTTTACATATGGGCAACAGGGGGAAAATTGTTCATATTACACTTAATGTCTGACAGGAGTTGTGCTGGCCTGTCAGCACATTTTACTAGGCTTAAAGAAAGGAAAAAGTGAGAATATTACACTTTCCTGAGAAAAAATGCTGTTGGGAATTTGATTGGACTTAATATTGATCCTTTCACTATACAACACTTTTAGAAAGTCTAGCTGAGTTGTGTCCACCTTAGTTGCTTAAATTAATTTTGTTCCTGTAGGATAAAGACGCTGGTGATGATGAGGCAATGTTCGTGGATGAAAACTTTTGCACAGCTCTTGAGTATGGCTTGCCACCCACAGCTGGTTGGGGTATGGGGATAGACAGACTCACAATGTTCCTTACGGATTCAAATAACATCAAGGTTTGTTTTATTTTGTTTATTTTGCCTTTTCTTTTTCCATCTTTAATTTTGATACCCTACTTCTGGTGTCATCTCACTCTGGAACTAAAAATAAAGAGACCTATACAGCTCTTTAAACAAGGTCGGGGGGGGGGGGAAGTCTAAGAGTGCACGTTACCCTCCTTCCCAGCCCAGTAAAAAATTGAAAACCGTAGGAAAACAGCTCAAAGTTTTCTTTAATCTCGCAAAAATGCTTTTCGAGACTCTCCCCCTCCCATAAAAAAAAATTGCCCTTGGGATGCTCCTTTCCCCAAAAACATGCTCTTGGGGCCCTCCCCTCCATAAACGAATGCTGTTGAGGCCCCTACTTGAGAATTCTTGCCTCTCCTTGAAACACTGGCTACATATTTTCTTTTTATTATCATTATTTTTTATTATTTTAACTTTTTTTTAGCATCTTTCAAACCTGCTATACTACAGAATGAGCAACATCAGTTAAAGTAACGTGTTTATTTTAATTGCACTGTTGTTCTGTTTGTTGTAGGAGGTACTATTTTTCCCAGCTATGAAACCAGATGAGAGCGGAACGGCAGATCAGGATAAACCAGGAGCCAATCCCGGAGAAAACGAGAAAAATTGATATTAAAACTTTTTTCCCATGCCAGAGCATAAACAGTTTTACATCAAAAAAGAAATCCATGTAATGGACACTTCCAATTACAATTTTTAGACAACACGAATGTATGGCGATCAAAAGAGTAGATTGAAATCAAACAGCCTCTGATGAACTCCAAAGCTCTCTCCTACGGGGATAGAGTTAAAGGATAATCATTTTAACTTTTTGTAGTGTGCTACATCAGCAAACAGTTAGGAATTCTCTAAATTTTGTTTTTGCACGTCAAATTCTCGTTAAGGCTGATCAGTGTTGTTATTGTTGTTTCCAATATGAAGTCGAAAGTATATCAAAAGATACTTGAAGTTCCTCTATGGAAATGAGGATAAGAGTGACCTTTGATATAAAATTAATTTTTATTCCCATGCAGATGAACTCATTTTCATAATGTTCAAGTTTTGCTCTTGGCCTCATTTTGTTCAGACCTTTAAAGTGACCTATAAATTGGAGCCAGTCCGTTTTCCAATCTTGAAGCTTTATCTAATTTTTCACGAAATTACTAAAATCAAACTATAATGTCAATAAAGAGGAAATTTGAAGAAGGCAGTGGTTCCAAGTTGATTTTATTCAACATTACAGTTAAGCCCCCCTACAAGATCTGATAACTCTCTTTCGCTTCCACAAGACTCTTTAATCATTGATCCGATCAGATGAAAGCTTCATCAAAGTGGAAAAGAAGCAGGTAAACTTTGTCAAATACTCACCTTTAATTAAAGGTGCTGTCGTTAACTAAAGCTTATCCACTCGATTCAACTGGTCAAATAAGTTTAGATGACGGGATGGCTCTCGGTTACCGAAAGGCATATTCGACAAACAAATGTCACGACGTCTAATCTTTTATTTAAATGACCACTATGGGTGTTCTGGTACACATTGATAGTCTTTTGATTGTAATAAAACGTTTTCAGCGCGTTCAATGAATCATTACTCTAAGTGCTAGCTGTCAAAACATTCTTCTGTGGGAATGACTGAGTTGTAATGCTCTCCCAGACCGTATTCATGGTGATGATATCTAGAAAACAACAAGCAAATCGAGACAAGAATTATGAATGAACACCAACAACAATTAAATCTATAAAGAAGCTGTAGCGCAACTAACGAAAGGCAGAATTTACTGACTCTATACTCTAGAGTCGTGATCTACGAATCCTGGGGCCGACTTCCAACCCCCTCCCTAGAGGGTCTTAAGGGGATGTTAAATTTTACGGCGAATGGCTAAAACTTTGGCCAATTTTCGGCTAACGGCAGCCGGGAACCCATCACTGGGCTCCTGCTAACGTTTACCATCTTTCTATTGTTGTCACCATACATTGTATTCACGGTTAACTTTTCTTGCGACTAACGGGTAAAATTTGTCAAATTTTTACGCCTGATGGCTAATTTTTGCCCATCTTACGCCAACGGTTAATTCTATTGAGACCCACTCCCAAGGTCTATTTTGTTTCCATTCCCTTAACCCTTCCACCCGAAAGAATGACAAGCATATAAATTCTCCTTACAATATCACCTCTATCACACATTAAGGTCACGAGAATAAAGAAACTGATCACCAACTAAAGAAGCTTTTGATTGTTAAACAAATTCTCTTTGCCAGCATCCAGAAAATGTATAGGGAACAGAAAGGAGAATGTGCATACTAATGTTAAGGTGTAGAGGGTTAAACGAGAGATCGATTCAGAGACTGCTAACTCGTCCTTGGTCGTCCTGACTTTTGAAACCAAGGCCGCGGGGTTGCGATAGACTAGCATTAAGACGAGGGATCTGATTATGGAAAGGATAACCTTTCTCATTCCATCCCGTAACGAGGCCCTTTCCCTCGCGCATCTCTGGTGCGCTTTTTTTCGTTGGTATTTCTTCCACTTACGATAACAATAATGGCCGGTCATCATAGTCCTCTCCTATTCTTAGAACTGGGACGTTAGCTTGATAAACTTCTATAGGAAGCTTTAGAGCTTGAGACAAAGCCTGGATCTGTTGGGAAGACAATTGTGTTTAAATGTCAGAATACGGCAGGGGACAATAAAAACACGGGGACGAGGTATATGACACGAAAAGAACCCAGGCTCCTGTGAAACCTCATAAGTATCGAAACCAACGGGACATTTCAATTTGTCCATTTTTTGCCCCGTAATAAATTAGAACAAATATAATAAAATAGATACTATGTTCGATTTGGCGGAGGCGCACCGTAATCGTGAAAGCCGTTGGAGACAAAATACGACTCTCAGGTTGGTCTGGACTTATAAAAGGACTGTAAAAGGGCGGCACTGAAGATAAAAACTTCTGATGTGACGATCATTGTTTTTCAATGCCGCCCTTTAACAGAAGAGTAGAATCTCAATAACTCGAAACCTCGCTAACTCGAAACCTCGCTAACTCGAACCCTCGCTAACTCGAACCCTCGCTAACTCGAACCCTCGCTAACTCGAACCCGCGCTAACTCAAACCAAATTCGATTTCCCCTGGATTTCCGCCAAATATATGCTGCAATTTTACCCTCGGTAACTCAACCCTCGATAACCCGAACCTTCCGCTGACTCGAAGCAATTTTCGTTTCCTCTCATGTCATTCTCTATACTGTTTATTTTTCACCGCGATAACTCGAACCACGTCCGACAATACTTGACAAATCAAAACAAATAGTGCACTGCAGTCCAAAACATTACATTATGTTGTGATTTCTGCAGTAACTTCAGTGTTCTATTTTTCCTCGAATTCTCTACAATTAAATTCAAATAAAATGTATACTGTAAGTTTAGTTAAAACGATCACGGCGAATGAAACTGTAAAAACCTAAAAAAATCCCTTTCGTCATTGACTTTATAAGCCATGACTCTTCAGATGACTGTCGATGGACACTCGAGTCTTCGAAGAACCTTATTCTTAGCTTCTCTTTCATTTTCTCCTTCCTCTTTCGCCCTCACACGGGGGTTAAAGGAAGAAAAATAATGGCAAAAAGCTTTTCCTACAAGTAGACTTTTACGGGCACTGAGCTAGGCCCTTCACCCCGAACCAAAAGTCACATAAAAATAACTTCGAAAAAAACAACAACAAAAACGAAAAAGAAAACACCACGCATCTCACTGAGGTTAGGCAATAAATCTGAGTAATGTAAATGCGAAACAAAGAATTTACCTCAAGGTGCCCTCCCCATGAAGCAGTCGCAGCGATTTCCTCGCAATACTGAACGAATTGATCTGCAAATACAGAATAAATAAAAAAAATCACCGTTGAGCTAACTACTCTCTCTCTCTCAAAATAGTTGGAAACCAGTTAGGTCTCGATAGCATTTCTTCAGCTTTAATTACAGGATCCTAGTCTGCTCTACTGACTTCAAGCTTAACTGGGTACAGCAGCCTGAATCGAACTTGGACACGCGGACATTTACGGCGAGAAACAGGCTATCAACCCAAGGCACCGTGCTTTAATTGCCTTCCTCTTCTCGGGTAGTTGCTCTGTTCTAGACCTGCCTGAAGCCGTCTAGTTTAGCTTTCAGATCACCTAGAAGTTCATCCCTTTACTGAGCCGGAGATAGCGTTTCTTCATCTCACATAAAAGGCTTCGCCCTCTTCAGCGGTGCTCTTTGATAAATGCGCTTCATAAGAATTAGATAGAAACATTGACAACATTGGGATCTAATATCGTCCAAAATCGTAGCAAAAACTTGTCCCTATTCATCCAGCAAGTAAAGCGAAAACGTTACAATTTTTACCTGGTGTGTACAGCTTCCCAGTTTTCGCATCGGTCAAAAATGGTAAAAAATCATCTTGATGGCTCAACATATAATCTGCTGCAAGTTTTCGTAATGTTTGCATACCAGTCTAAAACACAAAAATGATTGACCATCAATTGGCAATAACGTAAAATTCGCAGTGCGGTAACTTATTATATTGTATTTATTAATTATCACTTCCGTTGCGTTTCTTCTGAAAGCCAATTTGAAAGAATGTGTTAAGGATGCTGGTTACCAGGCATAAAAATAACATTCCTTTATTCCCCACAGCAGAAGTGTGGCTGTTTTCTAAAGCAACACACATTTCATAAGCATTTATTTCACAATGTTGACAAAAAAGGCACAAGTTAGAAAAGAACACTAAATTTCATTTAACATTTTAGACTCTCTGGGGAATTCTTCTACATACCTGTTGATTTCTCCTAGACAGCTGATCAGCAATAGCATTGTACAAGCTGATGATGAAGAATTCAAGGTTAAATTTCTGCATGCTGTTAAATGTAATTTAGCAGATTTAACAACAAAGAGCATCAATGTTCTCTGTAGTCAGCAGTTTATTGCATATGCGCATACATCAGAATTCCATATGCTCTTTGTTTCAGGCATTCTTGTGTGTACTTTGAGTGTGTGCTTGCAGCGTTGTGAGGAGTGGCAGTTCTTCACCGAGGCAGTTTTCCCCACCCATTCCCTCCCTCTTTCCACTGTTTCTTCAGTGTGATGGGTGCCTGTTTCCCTTTCCTGTGTGGGGGCTCATGGCTGGGTTGCCAGGATTTACCAGCCATGGGAGAAGTCTCCATCTAGGAGCTGGCTACCTATAGTGGAAGCTCCTGGACGTTTCAGGCACCCAACCTCCATTTAGCAATGTAGTTGTTAAAAAACAGATAATATATTGATATCATCTACACTACACGATATTTACACAATCCTTTTTCATCTTCTTTTGGCTAATTAGGAGCTTAAAATAAAGTATTGCATACCAGTGTCCATCAGGAGTGATCTGAAAACAAAGCAAATCAAGCAAGTTAGTGGATAAAGTCAAACTTCTGATAGCAGTATCACATACAGTGTGCTTCATGAGAAGTTTGCATATCATTGTACTGTGACCTTTAGTACTTCAGCTAATCACCACAAGGGGTTACTCTGCCCACCTAAAACACATTTATTGTGGTCATTCTCTCTACACCAAACAGCCTGACTTGAAAGGTTGCTGATATGCATAGGTGATTAGTCACACTATCAACCATACATGTGGCCATTTTTCATGGATACATTCTTCCTGAATTTGTCAATCTGTTCTCCAGCATTTAAATTAACTATTTTTGGGCAATAAACCAAACCTTGTATAACAATGATCCTAGCTAGAGACATGATTGGTAGCACCTTCCTAATAAAATATACCTCTTTTATGGACAATCCTCTGGTTGCCAAGATTTCTTTTAGTTTCTCAGCTTCCACATTACGTGCACTATGCACATTTTCCAATTCAGCTTCAGCAATTCTTTGTTCTCTTTCCTTATCTTTAGCAGCTTTTTTGTCCTAATAATAATGAAAACATTGATGAGTAGTATCATTTATGGTCATGCAAATATATAGATTGCACAGAAAAAATTAGCAGTATAACATATTTTGCCAGTCTCCCCTATGTGAAAACTTACATAAGTAATTCTCTTACAGGAACTAGAATGTTCAGCTGTTAGTTAACCCTTTAACTCCCAGAAGTGATTAGCATGAAACGTCTCCCTATAATATCCATATTATTCATCAAACAGGTAATAAGAATATTCAATCTTATCGCATAGAAGGTGCTATCTTGATCTAGCACCAAGTTCTTGAAACTAATTTACAATGAAATGTGTAGCAGCTAAAGGGGAGAATTGATAATCGGACCTTGGGAGTTAAAGGGTTAACATTAATAATAAAATAGTACATTTTTACCCGTCTTTTTTGTGCTTTTGAAACTCGAGAGTGTGTTTCCCCTTCACCCGAGGTTATCGAAATGGATTTCATCTCCTTTGTGACATCTAGTTCCTTATGATTCTCTTTCTACAAAATAGATAAATAAAATATAATCAGCCAAAAAGCATACTTCAACCATTATAAATGAATAGTTCATCTAAAAACCTCTGAACCCACAAGTTTGTAAATTTTCTTCTTTCTTGTTCTACCTTACCAAAAACAGAGATTTGCAAAATGGACTTATGTAGTCCAAAGAGACAACAAATTCTTACAAACAAGACAATTCTGAAAAGAAGATTTTGCAAAGTGTGTCAAGGTTGGCAAAGGGTTTATATGTGGCATGAGATTAAGGTAAAAATGAATATGTGACAAGTGAATCCAACTGAAACTCAAACAAGATCTGTGAATGTGTGAACCAGCACAAGGAGTGATTTGCCTCCTGAAATATACATGACCCATAAAATTTCTTTCATTTTGTGAAAACCTCAAGATTTCCCTGAAACCTCACACACAAGGAGAGACTTGAAGTTTTCCCTTACAGGTTTTTGATGCATGAAATGCTGTATAAAGTATACCTGACACATGACTTTTTAAAAAATTTGTGCATGAAATGGAATCAGGATAACCTTCCCCCCCCCCCCTTCCCCTTTGTATTGGTGAACAGAAAATTTGTGCTGCATCTTGGAGACTCTGGAACAACTTGAGAGTTGGGTTATTGAATCATTAGGAGAGTCTTATCTTAAATACTGATTTGCTTCACAAAACTGGATGTTGCTACTGTAGGAAGAATGTTCCATCTAATATTATTAGGTCCAAACATTCATGAAAAATATTTTTTAAGTAAAAAACAAGGCGTTGCAAGGAAGGGCAGTGACACAATGATTTAGGAATATGTTTTAAAAATACTTATTTGCAAGAACTAACACTTGAGTCACTCTGCAGCGAGTCCAGCTCATTCTTATGTCTCACGGATAAATCTTCCTCCAGCTTTGCAATCTCAAGAGCCATCTCTTTTTTCTTCTTTTTGTCACCTTTTGGAACAGAGTGTTTCAACGCCTGGATTTTGGCTGAAAAAACAAACAAACAAACAAGTACAACAAATAATTCAATGAAACATCTTACATTATTTTAAGTTATCTTCGGTGGAGTAATACAGATCGAATGTTCTTTCAGCCTCATTCAACAGATATGAGATAAGGATAGCCTCACAATGCACAGTTACCTATGATCTGATGGGTCGTAACATTCCACAAATATGAGAGCAAAAGTCCGCCTGAACCGATTGTCATAAGCGTGGGAAATAGTAAAAAAATCTGAGTTCCCTTAAAGATTCATAACATGTCAGAAAAACAGTATTAAAAAAGGAAGACGATCTTATACCCTGAAGATCTTTCGCTTCCTTTCTGTGCCTTTGAAGAACGCGTTCTAACGATGAATCCTCGTCTTCTTCCGCCATGTTGTTGAAACGTATTACATGAAGCTCAGAGAGACCGCAGTTGAACTAGCTACGGACTCGACTATGCCCCAGGTTTCACAGGTCAAACGTTTAACTGACGTTGGTTAGACGTTACTTGGACGAGGCTTGAGAGCTTGTTTGTTCTTAATTTAATTGTAAGGTCCACGTATGGACCGTCAAAAATTGCAAAGCCGGCTGTATTTCAAGCCGTCTCGCGGGGTATTGGGAAAAGTTTTCAATCAGCAATAACCGCGCCTCGGATAAACCTCACTGGCTACGGTAATGCCACTGCGCAAAGCTAACTATTAATGGGTGTCTCCGAATATATAATGTAAGGTAGACATTGAAAGGCTGTGGGACAACATAAAATGACACATCGCCATGACACTTCTTAGACAGTGGTAGATCGATAACTCGAGAGCCCTTCAATAAACTGCATTAAAGCTAAAATATTATTGAAAATTTTTCATATGTAGTTGAACTCGGCTGGAAAGAAGATAAACTCGTCTGAGAGAATAAGACACCTCATCTAATCGACCGAAGTTACAACAGCGCCTGCGCATTGCCAACTTCAGCTACCGGTGCTCATTGAATTCGCTGGTCAAATGTCTTGGGAGTTAAAGGGTTTAGAGAGAGCGAAATACTCGACTGAGTCTATCATTTGAAGGCAAACTATTTGCTTGGATACTTTCGTCGGCCCATCCTACCACAATCATGGACTGAATCATTCTTGCGGGTATGGTAAAGAAAAGGAATGTGGAACGGCCGTAGCGTGCTTTCAAGGGCTTATCCTGCCACAGTCGTGGATTGAATCATTCATGCAGGGAGGGCAGAGAAAGATACTGAGGAAAGGCCGTGACTGAAACCCTATTAATCTTGGTTGGCCTGTTGATAGTTTCCTTCTGAGCAAAGTCGGGAATCTTTGTTAAATTTTTTTGCTCATTTGCATACACGAACTCTTCATTTTCCTGTCAAGAAACAAAAATTTTGGAACTCGAGATTTAGGAGATATTTACCTTATCTAAAATTTTTTTAAGATACACATTGTTAAAAGTAAGAAATTTTAAAAAGAACGTCTTGTGTCAGTTTCACTCTGAAAGTTGGCCGTTTGCAATGGCGCCGGAATATTTCAGTAAGTTTTACTCCCAACAAGTTCAAGATTTCCCCAAAATGGTGAAACGTTCTTTCAATTTTGGAAATAGTTTCTCCCTTATATCGACTTCTTTTCTTTGGAAACATGTATCAGTAATGAAGAATAGTGTAAATAGTGAGGTCAGCAAGGATTCCCCCTCATCTACAGGCAGATCTTATCTAATTATATATAAATTAACTTAACGTCAATCAAAGAAATGATAATCGAAAATGTAATAAAAGCTGACGTTTGCAAAAATAAATCCGCCAACGCCGTGGGTTTTTCCCTTATAGATGATAATGTTGCCTTACATCATCTTAACAACAGGCAGAAAAAATCTCACATTCTCTTGGAAACCAAATGACTGCTACACTGATTGATCTGTTGCCAAGACATCAATAAAAATTGGTTATTTTCAACCTTTATAAAATGAATTTGATTGACCTTTCGCAAAGCTGTAAGGTTTATTAAAGCTATTTTTAGAAAGTAATATCAAGAAAATTACCGCTGACCTTAAATCGCGCCAAATATGGAATATTACGTAGTTTAATGACGTCACATAAGAAAATAACAAAAAGTCACGTGTTCAAACATTCTGAGAACTTACGCAGCATAAATCGATATTTGGGAAGAATTGCTTCCATCAGAAGAGCATTTATTCTAGGCTACTTTGCCATTGACAATGAAGTGGAGTTTTAAAGAGGAACATTCCTTAGGTAGGTTAAGTCGTACACCTTAATTTATCGCTTTGACAATATTCTCACCGCTGTTTCTCTGTTATTGTAGAGTCAAGATGCCACGAATCTGCCAAGATAAGGGCGAAGTATCCTGACCGAATTCCCGTGAGTGCTCTTGTCCAAACGTTATTTTTGGTAGTATCAAGCAAGATTGATTTACTATTATTATTGTTCTAGGTCGTTGTTGAGAAAGCACCTAAAACCAGCATTCAAGATATCGATAAAAGGAAATTTCTTGTTCCTTCGGATCTGACAGGTAAGCTTGCCATTAAACGGGAAATACTGTAAACTGAATGGGCTAAACTCGACGTAGTTTCGTCCTTTGTTTCAGCTCGAGGATTTTGTTTGTTGTGTCTCGTTGATAACCATTAAAGTGTTTAAATTTTTGCCTATTTTACTGTGTATTATCATATATTGTTCCTATGTGACAAAAAATTTGTGAGCTATATAATTGTGTTTCCTTTCAGTGGCGCAGTTCATGTACATCATCCGGAAGAGAATTCAGCTTCCTCCAGAAAAGGCGATGTTTCTTTTTGTCAACAAAGTTCTTCCACAGACAAGGTTTGTTGCAAATATGTTAGCAAGCTTTTAAAACGAATGTCTCGTTGTAAGTTTGTATCACATTAGTTACAGAGCAGATTAGCGAAGCAAAATCACCGTCTTTTTCCTCAACGTAGTTATTTTTTGCGACCGTTTTGTTTACATCGTTAAATCTGCCTTCCAAAGAAGAACTCTGGTTTCGAGTGAGTTTGTCTTTTAAGCAATATCGTATTTTTTTTTCGTCTACCAAACTAAAACGGAGATTTAGTTCTTAAATAGTTCGGTCTTAATAGAGGAGATTCGAAAGTGTCCCAGAAAGAGAAATTCAGACGTCTTTGCAGTTGCGGCGCTTTTACTTGTAATGGCCGCTCTCAGATTCCAAACTCTTTCATCGCTAACCCGTATCTTAGTCTCCTATCGACGCTTTTCCTCGTTTCACAGCTGTCTTTTGGAAAGGCTTGTATGTGCTTTGTTTATTTTCCCCACGGATCCCTTTGGTTTTTGTGCGAAAAGAGGAGCTCGTTCCTTATGCCAAAGAATTTCGCAATTTTAATTGTAAGTCAACAGAGGTACATAACCAAGAGCGGAGGTTTTGTCGGGGAATAGATATTTCTTACAGCTCCTGGTAATTTAGGCTTGTCCGAATAGTACCAAGAAGAAAGAAAGCTGTTTAAGTCGTAATTTACATTTGCTGGTGGCAGAATATATAATTCACCAAAATGTGCTACCTTGTTTATACTGACAGTGCGGATGGGTCTTTGATAATATGGTATGCTCCTACCTTGTGCATTTGTGTTTTTGCGTGTACATAGAGATTTTCCTTTTTTTTTTCTTTCTTTTTTTTCTTTTTCAATAAAGAACATATACTTTTCCAGAAGAATAATTTAACATAGAAACAAAGGTCAAATTACAGTCTGTTGATCAATTCTACATCCAGTTTGCCTGAGTCTCATGTGAACTTAAAAGTTGCCGTGTGACTTACCTCATGTAACAACACCATCCAGTTAACTTATCCGGGAGGTTTCTGTATTTCTGTTTTGAGATTCTGCTTTCCCTTCTATATCACTCTTTTTCAGTATCTTATCGTTACCCTGTAGTTCACAACATTTAGCAGTGGTATTGCATGATTTTCAGAACCATCTTTCTTTTTCTAAGAACTCAGCTGTAGTTTTTTTGTTTAACAATTTGAGAGGTTCAAAGTCACCATGAATGCATCATACAGATTTTTAGCAATTGAAACTGTTCACTTGTGAAATTTAAGTCAACAAAATAGACCAAAAAACCAGCCAAAACAAAAGTACAAGTGCATAAAATTTTTTAAGTTAACAGACACTTTTCAGAGTATTTGATAAGAAAAGTGGGGAAGCAAGTTCTTTGGTTGTGTGTTGTAACTGACCTGGTTCCATAGTAATTCACCCAACAATGCATACTCACTGTTTGTACTTTTCCCTTTTAGTTCAACCATGGGTTCTATCTACGAAGAACACAAAGATGAAGATGGCTTCCTGTACATTGCCTATAGTGGGGAAAACACTTTTGGAATGTAAATGCTTCAGTTGAAATCTCTGGATTGAACTCAATATAAACTCTTGGATTGTCAATGTACCTTACAGATTGGTTTTGGGTTTTATTAGGGTTAATAGTCTGGCAAAATATATTGTGTTCTAAAGGAGATTAAACATGCTGAACTAGATGTTACTTTAAGAAAAGATTGACCTGGCATCTTTGTGTAGATTTCAGTGTTTTATTGTAGGATCAATCGGGTGCATTGGAGCTGTGATAAAAAGTATGGATTGTAAATTAGCATAAAAACAAAACTGCAATTTTGTAAATACAGGTATATGCACAATGTATACTACCACTCAATCTTCAGCCAGAGAAAAACAGAAATATGAAATCCAGTATCCTTGGCTGAATTTGTTTATGAGGTTGAATAGAATGCTGTCTTCGGGTTTGCTTAAATTTCTTATGTGTACTCCAGCTTCTTAATATTCGTTTTATTTTGATTACTGTGCAACTATTAACAGAGTAATAAAACTGATTCATTCTCTTGACACTAGTGACAGTGGCCAATCGGCTAAATGACTATACAAATTTTGAGTAATGACCACAAATAATCCATATCTCCTACAAGTTGCAGCTAGCATGGCTAAGAACCACGGAAGATCTTTATTTTTTCATTCTGATCCAGTGAAATTTGATAGGTTGTCAGGCTTCAGGCACCAAGTTGGAAATGCAATGAGGAATTTTTCCCTGACAGCATTATATATTGAAGCTTGTCTCTTTGCATTGTGGTAGCTTGTTATTTTCTTTTGCCTGAAAATAAAGTCAGATAATTTTGATGTAACTTGTGGTAAATAAATTTTTCATTTTATTAGTTAAACAGTGTACTGCACACTTTGTTCATATTTCTTTTAAGATCAAGATGATAGAAATTGGTGACAGGTTGACCATTTCACTTCCAAGATCTCATTAGTAATTCCCCCTATTTTCTGTTATTAAATTCTTATGATGTTAGTTCTGAGAATTTTGTATTGTATTAGCTATAATCCTCTAATTAATATATTCTATAATCCCATCACTAGTTTGCATGATATTGTATTTAATAGTTGAGAGAAATTTGTCTTGGTCACTCATAGAAGTTGCAGGGTTAAACTTAAGGCATGAACTTAGAGGCTCATCCAGCCAGAGAGTAATCCCATTTCTGAGTCATGATACTTCCTTGAGTGTTGCCTCTTGTCACTATGAGTTGCTTCCCAGATCCTTATTCAACACCAGAATTCTTGTGCCAGTTTTGTCAACCAAATTAAAAAAAAAAAAAATAAACATTCCATACTTTAAATTACCATATTTATGAATTAAGGACTTCCTTGGCTTTAATACTGCTAATGCAGTTACCATTACATACATAAAAGCTCGAATCAGTTTAAGGAGTGTACCATGTACCACTAGTTGGACTAACCTTAATGAGGACGGAAGCTTCCAGACAGGAATGCTACCAACCAGAGCTTTGAATGTCTCAAACAGACTTGCTTTACAAATGCAGGTTCTAATAAAAAAAAGCGTGGATTTTTTCTTAAATACCTTTTAAATGAAGAAAATGAAATGAAATGAACAAAACTAAATGATCTTGACAACATGGAAAAATTGTACAGAAATCTTAGTTTTTCTGGTCTTTTTTTACCTTGCTTTTGGTGATGAGAGGTTCTTTTTAGTAATGCCCTGTCGAAGTCCATTAACAGAAATTTCATGGTAGAAGGGATCTTTAATCCAAATAGTAGCTAATAGTAATAAATTTGGAAAAAAAAGAAATTGTCAGGGGAAGAAAATCCGGGAAAATCAGGAAACATGCTTTTATATTAGCTTCTTGCAAAAGACTGGTAATACAGCAGCATCAGTGGAAATACAGCATGTAACAGACAAGACTCTACAAATCCTCATTTGCTATCTTGCATGTAACTGACACAGCTGGAAACATTGTACACATTAGGTTACGAAAAAAGAATACAAGGCACAAGTTGATAAAGGGGGTAAGTTTCTTAGTTGATAATACTAAGTTACCAGGTGGTACAAGTTGTCTTTAGCTTCTACATAGACCTCAGTGTGCCTCAATTTTCAAAGTGAAGGCCTCCTCACAAGCTATCTCTAATTCTCCATGTGCACAAAGGAAGAGGGAAAAGGAGTGGTGAAAAACCGCCCTAAGAAACACCAGGAAGAAGTCAAATCTCTTCAAATAAGGCAGCTTTTCTACTTGGCTTTGCAGAAAAAAATTTACCGATACTTGAAATACTTGAAATGTAGTGAGAGAAATTAAGTTTTCATCTTTTTTTACCTGTTGAGGATGAAGATACTTTACTCTGACTCTGTTCCATGACTTTATATTTGCTGTATTCAAACTGCACATCTGCTTGAAAGGTCTTGGGCTTATGATGACAAAATTCACTATACAAGTCCAATGATACAGATAAAGCGCGTTCAAAGATTCCTCTCTTCATAGCAGTGCCATCATAGGGGCACATACCAACCACAATGGATGACAGGTACACTGGAGTTGTTAAAAAGTAAGACAACAGAGCTCCTTGGATACCAAGAACATTCCATTTCATTATTTTGTCACTGCATGACATTGATAATGTAGGATCTCCACGCCCTGGTTTAGTGCGTAAAATACCCACAGTATGGTATCCAATGCCAGGTTGAAGAAGATCCTGCTCACCTCCTGGCACACACTTTGCTCCTGTTCTATGCACATCTTTGTACTGTTTACCATTATTTTGTATCTGATTGACATTGGCCACCACATGTCCAGTCTCATAATTATTTATACTCACAGGATCTGTTTGTGTTCCATTTGCTTTTTGTTCCTTACAGTTGATGGTGAAATTTTTTAGGTCATCACATTTTGATTGTGAGTCTGATAGGTACAATGAGAATTCTGCTGAGGTTTCATTTGTGTGGTTACCACTATGCATGCCAGTAGCTTCTTGAGGAAAGATTTGCACAGTTGATAATACAATAGAGGTTTCAATCAGAATGTCAGAGCTTAAATCATTGGTTGTTTTCTTTTCAAGACAGATTTTCTTTGAGGAATCCATGGGTGTGACAATTTCAGAGGGTGAGTGACATTTTCTCTTTCCAGACTTAAGGCTTTGACTTTGTAATCCTGAAACTACCAAAGTATCATCTTCTGCTTTTGGAAAGATTGAAGCATCACCACCTGAAAAATGAAATTATGGTTGGTAACTTTTAAATATCACTGAGGTTTGATTCAAGTTTGATTCAACCAAATAACTTATTAACTCTCTACAAGAGTTAATAAACAATCCTTTGCCCAGTTTAAGACTTATCTAAAAATAATTACGGATAAAAAAAGAGTTCAATTAGGTACAAAGTAATTTGACTCAGGTAACAAAAAATGAAATACTTACAAGGTGTATGGGAAGTAAAAAGATGAAAGGACACTCCATCTTTAAGCTTGCATAAATAACTTTCCTCTTGGAAAACAAATATACTTTTCTCCTCTTTATAAACATACCATAACTGCTGGTAAAGATACCTTGAGAGAAAAAAAAAACATTGATCACACCTAACAATATATTAAGTATGGTCCTTGAAGGCTAAACATTGGTTTTCACAACAATTATATATTAAAATAAATATCCAATATATAAAAAGACTCAAAAATAGATGAAAAAAACAAACAAAAATAATTTTAAAAGAATTAAAACAAAGGATCATTAGCATTCAGACCTGAGAAAACTTCTCCTGGCAATAACTTCTGCATGGCTGTCATTTAAAATAGTTCCTGCGGAGATACATGCTATATTAACCCTTAAACTCTGACCCAAGATCTATGATTGATAATTCACCCTTTAGCTTCCACACATTTCCCTGTAAATTAGTCATGAGAATTTGGAGTAAGATCAAGATAACAACTTAAACCTGATAAGTTTGATTATAATATTTTCATTACATGTTTGCCTGATTATATATGGACATTTTAGCTTACAAAGGGTTAACCCTTTTATACCTAAGATCCACATGTCAATTCTCTTCACTGTTTGATATACATTTCTTATAATTTTGGCTCTGAGAATTTGTTATAAAATCAAACAATTTCCCTGAGTTGATGTTCTACTGTCTTCTTGACACCTTTCTTCAGGACAACGTAATAATATTGTAAAAAAGAATTATTAAGTGGTCACTCCTTAGGGTTAAAGAGTTAACCCTTTCATTCTCAAGACCTAATTACTGTCATAAAGTTATTGTAAGGTTAGTTTGGAGAATTTGGTATTGGGTAATAATCCCCTAATTAATATTTGTCTTTATTCTTATCACTCATCTGCTTGATATTGTGTTGATATTGTAAGGAGAAATTCTGTCTTGATCACTTATGGGGGTTATTAAGGGTTAACCAAGCTGAACTTAACTGAATACTTGGGAAGTGACAGTCATTTGGCTCATTGTAATTTTAAAAGAAGAACTGTATACTAGTGGAGAAGAGTACTTCAGAGACTGATAAAAGATGCTCTGGAGTTGGAGCCACAGTTGAACCAGGTTTACAACTTTAGATAAGTTAGACACATTGTACTAAAAAAATTGTTTAAATGGTTACATTATCATCACATGTAAAAGCTACGTAAAAATTTGTTTGTATATGTCCTTTATTACTCATAAATAGCATAATACTCAATTACAAACACAACATTTCTGTGAATAATTATTTGATGACTCTTTCACAGCTTTAAATTTATGGTCTGCATCTCCAATTTTTTTAAGCAATTATAAGGCTCTTTCAATTGTACCAAATTTTTACCTTGATTGTTCATTCTGTTTCTTCCTATGCATTTAGAACCAGTTCCCATTGCAACCACCTCCATGGAATATTTTGTTGTTGAGTTGTCATCGTCATCTATAGTATTTGAACTACTACATATCATTAATAAATTTAAGAAATAAATCATAATTAACCTGCATACGATGGATAAAGAACTGATTCCCAGAGGTAAACTATAAGAAAGAAAAGTCTGCGAAGCCTTTGCCTTGAAATCTTGTAACGTGCCGAAGTGGAATCTGTCGACACTCGCAAACAGGGTTTTTGTTAAAAAAAAACATAGGAGCAAGAGAATGAAGTTAAGCATCTGAATGAAATTCGCTCAGGCCACTAGAATTTAGCAGGAGAAATTTATGCGTTGTACTCTTAGCATTTTCCGACCCTGTAGATCTGCGTGGCAAACTCTTCAGATTTGTTCCAAGCCTTCCGGGTTGATCCCTTAATTTCATTAGCCATGCTTATCCGAAAAACATAGGTATTAAATAGAGGTAAATAGTTTAGCACCAAATGGTTATTTCATTTCAGAAATAATAGGTTTAAATGTTTTAACCTCTTTGCTGAACAAGCACAATAGCAGCCAACAAAGTCCACTCGCCATCTATTTGAGGTTTTCCCTTCTTGATCAACTTGTTGAAATGATCACAACATAAACGAGCTAGCTTGTCTGCAAATATTTCATCTTCCTTCCAATGAGCCATAGAACAACAGAGCAGAGGTATATAATTCTGCGAAATATCTAACACAGTACAAAAATGTCTTTGCCGTCCGCCATCTTGAACGAGATTTAATTCTAAGGATCTGGGCCGAATACATAGTGCAAATTTTAAGAAGCAGGGGAGGGGTAAGGTAATTCTTTTTGACCTGTTTCAAACACGGAAGTTCTTGAGATCAAAATGGAAAAGATGCTTCGAATATGGATACAACGTACTCGATTATTATTATTTCATATCTATAATAATTTTAGTTTCTTTTGTACCATTTCAACAAAGAAACATTTTGCAAAAAACTCGATCAGTCCACCCCATTGAAGAAATGTATTTCTCCTCTTTACATTCGCGGGCTCAATCTACGAAGGGAAAAATGTGAGAGAGCGCCAATTTTTGTTTATAAAAGTTCGTCGCTAAGCAGGAATATTTCTTCGACATGGTGATGTACGTAGTTCATACGCATAATGTACGACAAAAATACAAGACTCACATTTGTAGCAGAGCGACTCTTTTCCAATTCTTTGTCATAAGTTTGACTTTTATACCACCCCTGATTATTGCCTATGTCACGCACGGTAAGCAAATTTTCTGATTATTTTTTCGTTTTTTATTCAATACTGTTCTACTCTAAGCTCTTAACTTTCTTGTAATTAATTGTAAACCTCATGAATCGTTGTGAAACACTGCAGGTTTCTGGCTCAAGGAAAGTTCTTTCAGAGAGCAACCCGATGTTCGTTTTAAACACGAACTGCTTGTCGTTCTTCAAGGAAATACCCCAGGTTCATTTATGGCCTACAGTACGTTTCAAAACTTTAACCATCTTCTGCAGGAAAAGCTTAGAATTCCACTCATAAAGGTGATTAGAACTGAATCTGAGATATTAGTTTTCTACTGTGATTTCAAATTTTTTCCTGTGATAATTTAGAACTGTAATTAGGAGATAGTTGAATCGAATTTTCCCACAATTATCATTCACACTGTAAGTAATATGTTTTTTTTCTTGGATTAAGTCTTGGGAAACAGATGGTAACCTGGATGGAAAGTATGACAGCCTTCACTTCAATATTGAGATACCCCTGTCAGACTCTGAGGCAATACATTCTGTACAACTGCTGCTGATATTTGATTACAAACTTTATGTAAGTTACACTGTACATTTTGAGTCGTGTTGCAGTCTAAGCGACCCATTGCAGAAGCTTTTCATTCTGGTATCTTAAGCACAAGGATAACAGTTGTGCTGTAATGTCTCCTCCATGTAGATGCTTGATTATTACAGGTGGTCTCCATTGCAAATCTTTGAGTTTCCCTGTTAGAGTAGAGAGTGGCACTATTGTTAAGAATGCTTCAAGAAAAGGCAAATTCATGGCTTGCTTGTTAAATCACAGTGTTTTCATGTTGGAGATACTTGATTTAAGAATCTTGCCAGTCAGTATGCAAGTGATGTTTTGAGTAAGATTCTTTTGCATTTCTCTTAATTAACCCTTAATGAATGACTGGACTAGCATCAAAATATTGATTACAGTATATCCCCTGAATCAAACATTAAGAAAATGAGAATGTAGGAAATAGTTGCCAACTAAAGAGGCTCCTGACTGTTAATAAAATTACTAAGTTAATAGTATGGAGAATATGCATATTATGTTCAGGTGTTAAGAGTGAATTAAGTAATATGAAGATCTGATATGATCAACAGCTGTCCTGATGTCTTTCTTTTTCTTCAGAAATATGTCAGACTTCAGATGGAGAGCATGGCCTACATCCATCACTCATCTCCTCTAGCTGGTGCAGAGTTTTCAACAGTTGGAAAACTGATTCTTCAGCAGTCAGGACCCTTACCTTACAAAGGACAACATGTCTTATATAACGTAAGGAGTACAAATGAATCCTGAAAGAATAACCTTGAATAGAGTAATGCAATATACTGGTATGCACAATTTGCTTCTTTCATTGTGGCTATGGGTCTCCAGAGCCTCTTAGTAGGTCAGCAGTTATCTGCAAACTCTGTTATCTGCTCTCCTTTAGTCTGTGCTTTACTGATTTACAAAAGACTCTTGTGTTTTGACACCATCTGGTGTGAGTTCTTATGCCAGTAAACCAATTTTAAGTGTAGACAGTTATTTAAGCCAATTATTAACAATTTTCTGGTTGTAGGTACCAGTTATTGATGGTTCAAGTTCTAATGTTGATGCTTATAAATTGTATGACATATTTACTGCATACACCCAACGTAATGGTAGGTACTGATAAGCTTTTTACCTAGTGAGAGGTTTTGATAGCCTCTGATAAAAGAGCGTCATGTAAAGAAAGGCTTATTAGTCCTGTTTTTAAAATTAATCAATGCAAACTATGTATTATTCATATTTTTTGATGGTTCAGATATCTGAAGTACAGACAAGACTGACTCACAAAGTTGCAGGACCTTATTATACTTTCAGTTAAAAGCACCACTAGGTTGCAAAGATTAATTCCAGGTTACCCTGCTCCCCAAACTTATCAGGTTTTCCTCACCTTTTAGAGGCAATTCTTCACACCGCTAGTGGAATGAAGGCAATATGAGAGCAAAGTGTCTCAAATCTGGACCTTAAAATCTCTCATTAAGCCTTGAGTGGAGTTTATTGATCTCCTTTCAGTGAAATATTTGAATTATTTGACCAAACCAGTTGACTTTAAGTGAATTTGTATTTTTTGGTAAGTTATGAGATGAAATTGGTGGAAAATTTACTTCATCCTTGTACCAAGAATTTAACTTGTGCTGTTGTGGTATCTGCAGAGAAAATATCTATGATTATCCAACAAAGGCTAAAGAGAAATTTATTCTAGTCCTGTTTTATCCTTTGTCAGTCACCACAGAATATGTGTCATTCCATCCTGTGTGGACAACTGGTAGAGCAGCTGGGCAGCCATTTGTTATAAAAGGAACTGTTTATTACCCAGAGGAGACAATCATGTATCTTTTAGTAAAACTTTTAAGTGTATCAAGGTTGTGCTAATGTACTGCAAGCAATCATTACTAGGATATTATTCAGGGCCGCCACTAGCTTTTGTTGAAAAGGTAAAGTGTTGCTCTTAAGTTAACCCATGTACACCACTGGAGCTGACATCTAAGTTTTCATTGCTTGATACAACCAAACTGGGGTTTCAATGAGCTGTAAGTCTGCAAGATGTCTCACCACCATCTGTTTAGCCTACAAAGAGGCTCTCTTGGTTATTTTCACCTTAAGGCATGGCCGCCAATTACACCAGTGGCAGCCACTTATGGAAAAAGTTATTGAGACCCCTCTGACTGAGAGTATTTCAATCTCCTTTCCTTGGATGGGATGATATTCAATGATACATTTACACCTCGCATATTTTCCAACCATTATCAAGGTTATAAGAGATGTGTTGCAACTGTTTCTTAGAATTGTGTTTGAAGATTTTCGCATCAGGAGTTGTTCAATTGCAAACAGAGTTCACCTTAACGTTATTTTCAAGATACCGTCCAGGATTTTGGCAGCTCATCAAAATGGCTTGGATCCAATACTTGGCTATTCTGTTCATCTTTCTCTTTTTGTTTGATAGAGTCAAGAGATTTGTGTTTGAAAACCAAGTGGTGACTACAGTTCCTATGAAGATAGAAAAAGAACACTTAGACTGATAATCCAGGCATAAAAGGGGGCCAGCTGCTAAAGATGATGAAAGAGCTAGGGTCTGGAGAAAGGCCTTAATACCAAAGGAGAAGTTAAAGGACAAGGAATGAAGGTAGGAGTCTTCAAGGAACAGGTCTTCGAGGCGCAAGACATCAAGAAACGAGTCATATACAGTTAAGTCTCTATGAGACAAGCTATCAAGGAACAAGTCATTGATTGACAAGTCATTGTTGAAAGCTACTAGTCTGATAACAATAAACAAATAGTTTTGATAAGAGCTTTAAACATTGGGAGAAGTCAAGCGGGTATTGTAATACAGCCAAAAGAGACTGAAAAAGGAAAACTCGCGCAGGCATCAACAAAACGTATAGAACCTGATATACAGATATACACAGAACAGGCATTTTTTGTGTTAACACTTTTGTCGTAGTCCAAAAAATAGCTGATAACTGCTCCTAAACCATGCACCATATGTGCTAAAACCGGAACATGCGGGAACTCCGCGGAATTTCAAAAAGATGAAATAACCATAAAATTTGAAAAAAAGTTTACTTTTTTCAATTTTGAAAAAATGATAAAAAATAGTAAAACTCAATCTGTGTATAGCACTGTGCACTTTTTGAGTTAAGTCTGCCACCCTGGTTTTCGATTACCACTAGAGACAGCGGATTGCAATTTCAAACGACACGAACGTAAACCCACCATTTTCCATGTTAGGAACGAGGTTACTGGTTAGCGAAAACCACGATGGTGGACTTAAGGCACGAAGAGCGCGAGCTACACACAAATTGACTTTTTATATATATAATGTATGTATAAACTACTTTTTATCAATCTTTTTTTTACTTTTATTTTTTTAAATTTCGCGGTGTGCCGGCATGTTACGGTGTATTGGGTTTTAGCTCATGCCATCATCAGACGTCTGTCGACAGAACTATCAAAAGAAGGAACTTTTTCTTCAAATGACAAATTTCTGTAGGTAGCTTCATGGAGAAATGTCGTAAGGAGACGCATGTCCTTACTGCTTAGGATCCTCACCCCACATAATTCTTAACGCTACCTTGTGCTGTTTGTTTTCTTTATTGCATAGTAGCGGAACTATCGTTCCATCTTTACATCTCGTCAGTGTGTAGCGTTGTAGAGCATACTTAGGCGTACAAAATAAGGTCAAATGAGGGATATTTTATTTCGCTAAAATCTTGCATCGTATTAATGTACATAATTTTTTAAAAATAACGGTGTAGCATTTTTAATAAACATTCTCCACATCGTATTTCGCTCTTCAAGATGTATATGTTAGTTACTACTTTTAAATTGCACGCAGCCATGAGGTAGATGCGAAGTAGTTCGTTGATAATTTATTTCATTTTAATTTATGCGGTCTTATTTCAGTTTTTATCGATATTTCTTAAGAGTTGTAAACAGGTATTAAATTATTGAAACTCTTTAGCGTACATTAAATGTCTGGAGACTTATTACTCTTTTAATGATATATATATATATATATATATATATATATCTCTTTCAAATATTTGATATTCACATATTCACAGTCGCTCAAATACATTTAAGTTCATGATCTCGCGAAATTTCAGTTTTACCATTTCTGTTGAGACAATCCTCAAAAGTCATTACTAAGCTTAAAAGAGAACACAATGTGCTTATCTCAATGTTCAATGATGACGGGCTGTGTTTTCGAACCCAGACTGGAAGTAGGTGGTTACAAAGTAGCCCCAAACTTTTTCAAACTCCAGATCCGTTTCGATCTTTTAAAATGCAGAATTTTTTTATCATCTTTTTTTCTAACTGATCTCTTACGATGAGGTCGTGAGATATAAACTTTAGAGATGGCTGGGGTTATCTCTAATAATATGATGTCGAATTCTAAAGCTGAATTTTTTATACAGATTCATAAACTGGGCCATTCCTTTTAAGTCAAGGGTTTCGAAAGAAAAAAGAGTTTAAGACTTCCCATGTTGGGAAATACTCGATCGTGTATTGTGGCCACGCCGAAACAACTCAGTGTAAGACCTTTAATTCTGTTTGCACTTAAACTAATTTGAGACACGCTGGTGAAGGTGCCGTCAAAAAGCCGAACATCTTCACAATGAATCACACATTCCTAAAGAGATTGTGTTTTAAAATTAATCCATAGCAGATATTACCCATAAACGAAACAAGCGATAAAAATTGAAACCATTTAGAATTAATAGAGGAGACAAACAAGAGCAGGTATCCCAGCGACGACCTCGACGATTGGTAGGTTTGGACAGTCACGTGACTTGGTGCAGGTGTCCAGTCAACAGGTGGTTTGTTAGCGATTGTGGTACACTTTGGGCGTTGTACTTCCGTGCAGAGATGAAAATTTTTAAACTAAAACAAGCTTTTGTTTTATTTTGCGCAAGATGGGTTCAAAAATGGAAATGCTAATTGTCAGTTGATCATTCGCACGACCTGTGAGAATCAAAGTTTGGTGAAACTCCTCTTGTTAAGATGTTGCTTGTATGTTCGTTGATAAAATGGACAATTGACACTGTTACATTTATCAAAACATAGCAAAAGCAAAACCCTAAAGAATTATTGGGAAGGCAGATATTGATAGTTTAAAGGGTGTGGTGGAAAATTTCGCGTTAACAACCATTTATGAGATCATTGTTTCTATTTTGCTTTAGCGCTGAGACGGGCGCGGCTCGCTTTGTTTATCAATTTTCAGTTTACACGCACAAGCAAACCGCTTGATTTGTTTAATCTTCAACAGAAACGCGAAAACGTAAACTTAAGGCATTCAGTGCTAGATCCAAACATATCAGTACTCTTTGAAAAAAAAAATCGGTCAAGACATATTTGGAAACGGACCTAATGGGCCTCCTCTCCTTTTTCTAATGTCAAGTTGCGAAACGACTCTCTGAAAGGATTTGCCAAGAAGGTATTACACTTGAATACTTGGAAGAATTTCAAAGAATCACAGTTAGAAATCAGAAGTTTGCACTTAGCAATTACTGACTTCTGTAGTTCTGGAATGAAGTCAAAGCAACACTGAATCGCCTGTTCGAGACGCGGTTTTTGTACAGAAATTCATTGCACAAGCAAAGACATGCCTGGATATGAAGTAAAATTCACTGGACCGTTAGACAAGGCATTTGAGTGTCCAATTTGTCTGATTGCACTTCGGGACCCAGTTCAAATAACACCATGCGGACATCGTATGTGTAACACTTGTTTGAAGCCGATTTTAAGGTAAAGTGATCGAAATGTTTATCCTCCATTTGTAGTCGCTGCGGCAATATCAGTTAGTAAATCATAGGATTAGTTATTTCATGCACTCCGACAATTATTCCTCAACTTGATGAGTTCCTTCACCTGTACTCCCTACTCTATGTCAGTATTTTAGGAGAGTTTATCATCTCATCGTTCTAACCAATATTCTCTCAGCCTGATTGGGAAATCAACCTTGAACTAATTTCTTCTTAGTCCTCTCGAAATCAAAGGATTTAATATGTTGAGCTTTTTTTCATACGGAAGCGCAGTCCAACAAATTTTGATGAGAGAATTTTTTGTCATAGGCGCTTTCTTTTTTCAGTATGATTTTATTTCAGCTCGATAGGTAATTTGAAAACTTTGATTTCACTTCGATTTCGATTTTAAATCAGTTCAGTTTTTATTCTCCACGATACCTTACATTTGTGCCCCACAGTGCGTTTTGATACACACAACTTCCCTCCTCCCCCCTTCGTTGTAATGTCACTGAAGGGTCCCCTCTCCGATGAGGCCCATGTTTGTGAGCCCAAGGATCTAGACCTCAGCCTTTCCCCCTGCTTGGACCTTAACAAATTGTTTAAGATGTTAAAAACTTCCTTAGCAGTAGTATTTTGAGTAAAACTCAATACCTTTACTAAGGCATAAACCTCGTCTTTCTCTTAATTTTATATTGGTTCTTTTTTTTTTGTATCATCATAGAAACAAGAGGCCTCGCTGCCCCCTTGATAACCTGAACTTTGATCCATCAAAGGTGAGAATCCCATATCCAATGTATATAATTTTTAATGATTGATATAATTCTAATAATTATGAATAAATATTTTTATGTTCAAGCTGCGTAATTTTCTGTTTTGTTATTTTCATCCTAAACAAAACAGTTCTTGTTGAGGCATCGAAAGAGAAGCGCTACGTTAGTTTGTTTCTTTTTTTCATTTTATGGAAAAAAATGGTGGAAAACACCAAAATGGAAAGGAAATAAAGAGGAGGACCGAGAAAAGCTAGGGATGAAGAAGATTGTCGCGGATTGCGAATGAAAAAAGCTCGGATGTTAGGATTAATTCTTCACGATGCAAAAAATTAAAGAGACCATAATTAGTTTGTGTCAAAGCCTGCAATCTGCGTCATTTCATTTTTTGCTGCTCTGACCAATTCTTTTCATTCTTGATAATGTATTTTCATTCTTAAGCAGTTGTCATAAACCTTCTGATTTTAGGTTTTCCCAGATAATGGCTGCCACAGACAGATTCTAAACTTACAGGTTCTTTGTTCAAACACAGAAAAGGGTTGTGAGTGGTCTGGGCCGCTCAGTGAAATAGAGGTGAGGTTCTTTTTTTTTTCATCACCGATACGCGTTTGTGTTCATTAACATGTGACGCAATAAACGAAAGGAACCGCTGTCAAATAAAATAACTTTTTCCACTCGTATTTTGCCTTTTTCATTGTGTTTGACGACCTTTCAGCAGCGAGGAAATCATCTGGTTCTCGGCTCGAGTTGTCTTCGTCGCGTTCATCTTTCTCCATTCGTCACTTGTCTTCATCTAAACTCTCGGAGAAACCAACTCAAAAGTCTGGGACATCTGCTTCAGAGTTTTGTTCCTTTTCTTCGTTTGCGTACTTTTCCTGTTAACGTGTTTCAAATCTTCCTCAAGGGACACTTGCCAATCAAAACAAAATTTTCAATTTAGCGGGTTGCACAGTGAAATACGGCCCACCAAATAGACCAATCATAGCGCACGCGCACGCATATGAAAAATATAACTAGTATACTTTTAAAAACTCCATTTAAATGCTGATTATTAATAATACCTTTTTAGCGACATCAGGACGTGTGTAGTTACGCTGAGGTATCGTGTCCAAAACGTTGCGGAGTATCATTAGAAAGGAGAAGAGTATCAGAACACAGTTCACATGAATGTATTAACAGACTGACACCGTGCGCTCACTGTGGAAATCAAGTTGTGTTCAACCTTATGAGTGTAAGTACTTAAACTTTGCTTGATCGGTGACTATTCTTTATGAATGTTTGAATATGACAATAGCAAGTTTGTGCAAACGAAACCCACTACTGCAGCCATGATTTTGTGTAATGCAAATTTATCTAACCCTACTTCTCCTCATCGATTTTCGATTTTCGTAACAGAGCTTGCTTTGAGAGTCCACGCATGCCCATACTTCTTTCCGCCTGTTCCGTGTTTGCCACCTAAAACAGTTCCCGCCGCAGTGCCCTTGTAGTCTGATTCACTCATAGCGTGCTCTTTACTGTCGGATTTTACCTCTCCACGCGCCCTTTGTGACACTGTTGACATGAAGGCGCCTTGTGGGCAAAATAATACTACTCTGAAAAATTTTGGTATTTGCGTCACCGATGCTTGCCATTCTAATGTATTACGTTTAAATTTTATTGCAGTTACACCTTCAAACTTGTTCCTCGTTCCCTGTGTCTTGCCCAGCTAACTGTGGTGCAACTAATCTGACCAAAGAAAAGGTTTGTGAAGGCTTCCAGTTCCCTTCACCTAAATTATCAAGTGTGATTTTTCAATCTTTTTCTTTAAAACTTATGCATTTTGACCAAAGCACATCAAAATCCAATATTTTGTTGTTTCTTTAACATTGTCACTGTTTATGTTGCTGATTCAGTACCTATGATAAATCATGCAATCATGTTTCTATTTTCTTTCTGTGCGTGTTCTGTTGTATTTGCCTTCCTTTGCTTTGTAGGTGTGTTCGTTTGTTGTTTGTGCGTTTTGCTGCGGTAGGACATCCCAAGACAGACTTTATTGTGAACTGAGAACCATACAGACGTCACCAGATATGACATAACAAACAGATTGTTTGCGCGAAGCTCTTAAGGAGCAAGACAGTAGTATAAATCAAGACAATTAATTAGATAAATCTTGTATGGATTTGCAATTTAAGAAAGTTCTTAGGAGCTCTAGCCAGTCTAAATGTTATTTCATTAAAGGGAAATTGGTGAAGAATATCAAAGTGCTTTTAAGCTTGGCATATCTGATAAAAATCACGGAGCTCGGATTTCCATAAAGAATAGGTGTGCACGGCTGAATGTAAATGTACGATTTCCGCTACACTCTTGAATCTGGAAATGGCTTGTTTTCCTTTGATTTTTGTTTAATTGAGTCTATTCAACGGGTTGAATGACTGAAATAAAATGGTACATGTATCATATTACGCTAAAAGTGGACAACTACATTTTGTCACATGTGCGGGTTTTCTTTGCTGAGTGTAAACTATAGGCTCATAGCCAGCCAAAGTTTTCAACTCCTATTTACTTGCTTGTTCTTTCCTCTCGTTTTTCCATGTAGTTGGTGGTTCATATGAACAATGAATGTCTCCTCATTGAAGTACCATGCAAATTTGTCGAGGCAGGCTGCAAATTTAAGGTAAAAGTTGTTAAGCATGCTTTTGTTCCTTACAAACATTGGTACTTTGTCATTACACTAATTTTGGGGCTGAGGCTGAACGTTCTGATCTTTTTTTGCGGTTTGAGCCTGAAAACGTTCCTAACATGTTCTTAAAGTTGTATTTCAAAGATCGATTAAGTTCGACCACAAATTGAGTTGTTCTACAGTGTATCGTGTCTGTCTGTATGTACCTAATTAAATGTCTATTCGTGCGTCTGTTTTCTGTTCATTTGTTTAACTGCGTGATAAAGTGTCTTACATACTGAGAAACAATTGGAACGTTTACTAAGCATTTATTGGCCCGTCTGTGTGCGTATCAAATATCAAATATTCTGCCCAAAACTCTACGCTTGCTTGGCGTAACAAAGTATTGCCAAAGTATTGTAATTTATCTGATTTCAGGCGGAGAGATATAAAATGAAAGAGCATCTGTCCAGCAACATGGAGTCTCATTTGAGCGCTTTGAGTGATTTGGTGAACGCTCAAAAGAAACAGCTAGATATCCAGAGAGAAAGAACACAACTTCAAAAGGAACACATTCAGCTTCAGAAAGAAACCATGCTGCTACAAAAACAAGAAATCATCGACGCGCGAGGTCGAACTGCAAATGGCGAGTTCATCTGGAGAATACCGGATTTCAACCGGAAATTGATGGACGCCAAATCCGGGCGCGCGCCCGAACCGATGATTAGTGAGCCTTTCTATACCCACCCCCACGGGTATAAAATGTGTGCAGGGCTGTGGCTCAATGGAGTTGGTACCGGGAGAGGTAGATACATATCCGTGGGGCTTCAGGTTAGTAAATATGACGGAATTTCTTTACGGGTTTTACTACTTTCATTATCAATGTTCCTGTGAGCTTCCATACGGTTATGATGGGAAGTCAGGAGCAAAACACTTGCTTTTCCCCACGAGCGATTAAGAATAAAACTGCGTAAAACTTGTCATTTACATAATGGCACAAAAACCTGACGCTGAAAGTACAAGGGTCATGCTCTGAGGGGGATTCTGGCTGTCAATATTTTTCTTAAGTGACCTGTTGTACGAACACGAACTGTACGAACTGATGAAACTTAAGAAAACTTTCTTTCAGACAACTTATTCTCTCAGTGCCTCATTCCTTTAGGAGTGTAGGTGGATACCGGTGAAGGTTACCCCTTAGCCTTTTGTCAGGGGAACCTGACCAAAGGCTAGGGGTAACCTGCAATTGACTCAGTACAGTACCATCCACACCCCGTAGTCGCTTCGTGCTATATAACGGGTTTGAATCTACTAATGCATTATTCGGCGCATAACCTAACTTTACTTTTTCGTTTAGGTTCAAGTAGGAGAGTACGACTCCATACTCAAATGGCCGATACATCCGCGGTATACCTTCACTCTGCTTGATCAGCGAGACGACTCCAAGGAGAAAAGAGACATCACGGCGCACTTCGAGCCTCAGTGCATCTCCCGACCGCGGGCCGACAGACAGCTCGGAAAGGGAGCGAGACGATTCGTTCTTCAGGATGATATATGCGCCATTAATTATTGTAAACATGACACAATTTTTCTCAAGTTTAATGTAATTCTAAAACAGCCCCCTTCGGGTTTTTTCAGACCCTGACTGCTCCGAATAGGCTTCTAAACTGTCGAAATGATGACGTTATTCATAATGAGGTCAGACACTTTACGCAGGTGTAAGGCTGTGTCATGACTTTGACTTTGAATAATTAAAACCTTCTCAGTAGGGCTCTGCGATGTATAAATTTTCAACAGAGTGAAATACTTAGTATAACTTGCATATTTAAATAAGAGTCACTAGTTCAATTTAGAGCACTGGTATTTAATTATGTTATTATACCCTTCACAATATGTTTAAAAACAAAAGCAACATTCCTTAACCTTTAAAATTTTGTGAACTATAGATAATATATCCTGATTAAACGTTTGGCGTAATTATTTTGTCATTACAAGCACAAAATACGAGCAAATGTTTAAAATATATTGTTCTTCTTCGTTTGAAAGAGAGATCAACAACAAAGTGGCTGTTAGCAGCCTTGAAAGGTTCTTGAAAACACACCATAAACGTTTCTTCTGTGTTATATATTATAGTTCAATCTTTTGCGGGTCAATTACTTGATGCGTAAAATAAACAAAAATATAAATAAGATATGCTAAAATTATAGAGAATATAATTATCATTCTCTCAGAGACGTGTACACTCATCAATTGAACTCCTTCCTGCAAGTCTCTTTCTACTGTTTCTCTAAGACAATCTAACTGAATGCCTAATTGTTGGTATTGACTTCGCCTTCGTCTGACTTCTACCCAAGCAGTTCTGTAGTCACAGAGTCTCCTTATAACCAGGACATAGCAGATTGCGGTGGCCGCTCCACCGCATCCCAAGAGGCCTGCTCTCAGCCCTCCTCCTTGCTGAATGGCCCGGACAGCACCAAACCCCAAACCTGTGCATGAAGATTAACATGTGTTGGAAAAATAGTAATTACCTTAATACAAATGACAAAGCAATTTTTTATTGGCTGCCAAGAGTAATCCGCTATAATTTTGGTTTGCTAAACTTTGTTCTGTGATTTGTGCAGAAATATCGCGTCACTTTCTCAACTGAATCAGATTCAAAGTTTAAACCAATATCGACTTGGTGATTCGGGTTTTCCCGCGCTTCAGCAGTCTGCTAGCTTTTGCTTTCGATTCCCCCAATTGCTCGTTTTGTTTCCCTTTTTTCTACTGAGCTGTTCTGACTACTTTGCATGAAACCTTTTGGATTATATCAGGCTCTCGACTAAAAAAAGGGCGAGAAATTGTTCTTTCGGTAAACATTACCTTCCCTCAAAACTCTACAAATTCCTGGCTATTTAATTTTCTAGTAATAAACGTATGATGGTCATAACTGCGCAAACTTCTTTTTCTGACTCATTTCAAAATATTCTCACCCAAGGTCACTAATGTGCCAAGTGCGAGTCCCAATCCAAGTTCAATTCCATGTTGTTGGACTTCGCTTTGTAGCAATTCTATAATCACATGTGCCCTATCAAGACTTTGTTCGCAGTCTCTGATCTCAAAAGAAGCTCTCAAACGAAGCGCCTTCAAGCGGCGAACAGTTATGAGGCTGGCCCAGGTGTATTCATCGGAATCGTTCACCTGTGAAGTAAGACACGAATGAAATCTACTTTAGACAGTATGTTACCTAATACTACATTGTGCAATCATTGCAGTTTAATAAAGAACCAGCCGTGCTCTCAAAAAATGTTTATTCAAGAGCCGTAACTCCTCGAAAAAGCGCCCACGCTCTAAGATGCACCCTCCACTGAACAAGCACCCTCTCACTGGGCGATAGTGTAGACAAGCACCCTATTCTTATACAGATTGTGCGCGATTAATAAATCAAACTTAGTGTCTCCCTCTGTTATGGTGAATCTCACCTGTTCTATTATGGCACAACAGGTAGACCGGATGTTTTCCAGTTTTACTGACGTGGTATCCAAGAGTCTTCGAAGTTCTTCATAACTACTGGTCATGTAGTTTGGTATCTGGCCATTAAACAGATCTTTAATGTCCCTCATGACACGTCGAACAGCACTGAAAAACTCCCCTGAATGCAAGTTTTGCACAACTAGCCAAGCAGTGGACAAAATAAAATTAAGCGTGGCACTGCATTGCTTCTTTTTTCGATCCTCCATTTGCTCCAAAATGAATATGGCCTTATCAATAAATGCACGTGCTCTGTGGACAAAAGTGTTTTCCCTTTCTGATCCATCTTGTGAGGTAAGAAACGTCAGTAGTTGTCTAAGGACAGGGAGCGCCATTTCTATGGTATGAAAAAAATCCATTCTTCAAACTGAAAGACAACTATGTAGCGACTCAACAATCGAGCTACAAAGGAAATTATTATACATTAGACTTACAATGAAAACTCGACAAGATAACCCAGTATCTGCAGCAGATATTGGCTCATCACGTCCAAGCCCCTCGTCTGTGTAGTGTTTTCAAAATTTTGAGAAAAGTGTCTTCTTTTGCATATTGTTAAAAAAATGTATAATAAAACAATTAATAAATTCTGGTTTTCGCATGATATCGTGAATTATCAAACCTCGTGTCTTCGCTTTCTGCCGCAGTCGAAGGCTGTGACAGATAACTCAGGTCACGGCATTAATAATTCATGATATCATGACTAAACTCATCCAATAATTGCTTAGTATGGTCTATATAAGTGGACTATGAAATCCTGTTTCAAATATGAAATACGATTTCACAATCGCAAGCAATTGAGGTTTTAGCCCGGTATCAAGTTTGGTAAAGTTGTAGCTATATACTACATGCTTAACGCCACAACCTGAATGTATGTTTAATAGACAAATATTTGGATGTAAAAAAGTGTAGATGTGCAAATGTGATTCGACTAAAAATAAATAATTATTTCAAATATCTAAGTACAAATATAGCAACAACAAAAATATCGACGAGATTACATGAAGTAGAAACGAACTTGCGATTTGTGGCGTAACCAGGTCCGGTAGTAAAACTCTTTAAAAAAAAAGTAACACGGCACTAGCCAAAACTACGTCCGCCAAAATTCACATCTCTCTACCATGAGAGTACTATACTTGGAGACGAGTCGAGTATCTTTAAGGCTCTTCGTTATTGTTTCTGATGTTTGGAGCACATTTTCGAAGGTAGGGAATGTTTTCTTCTTAATTCAGATGAACTGTAAGTTGTCAGCATCGGTTGAAATTATATTCGATTGGGCGTAACTAATAATTTCGGTTTGCGAAAATGAGCCAAAATTGAAAGAAACGACGGTAAGCTACTTCGCGTTAAGACATCAGCCGATTGAGGAGTATACACGTGAGAAGAGTGAGCCAGTAAAACAATACGCCAGAATCGTATGGGCTTCGTTTACATCTTCTCTTGAAGTTGCCAGGTATGACTGATTACCCAACCGGTTTTTCCCCAACGTTTCAACATCTTCTGTTTAGCGTAGGAAATTAAAAAGAAAAGTCATTTTCAACTCGTGTTTGAACCTGTTATATTTTTACTCATGGTTTTCCTCTGGCTGGAAATACACGGCGTCTTTGTTTGTTTGATTTAAAGGAAGACAAGCCAGAACTAGAATATCATAATTAAAACTTGATAACAAAGAGAGACTTAGGATTCGACCAAGAAGACATTTGTAGAAAAATTGAGATAATACCTGGATTTCATTCGTACATCACAGAATTAAATTTCAAACAACAATAAAGTTTTCTCTTTAGTTTAAAAGTTGAGTTGATATTGTCGTTGGCTATATTAAATAGGTTGAAATTTTTTAAGATGGTATTTTCTCATGTTTGCAAATAATTGCAAATAATTATTGGAAGGTGGAGTTGTTGCAACAAGTTAACATGAAATGCAACAATAAATTTTATTGATGTCTAAAAAGTTTTCATCTGACCATCTAAAGGCCAGTCTTTGTATTATATTTCAACCCAACCATTTTCCGCAACACCATTACAACACCATTACAAAATAATTAGTAAAGGAAATGGAAAATTTGCGGCATATACACCATGTTTGAAATGCCATGTTCATGAAAAGCTAACAAGATTGAGGAGGGTGTAAGTGGGAATTTATCATGAGTTCGCCAATCACTCCTGTTGCCAATGTTGTGATGATGAAAATTCTGATAAACTAGTTTTAAGAAGGATACAATCTTTTAATACATAAATTTGATGCGTAGGCTGTGCACAAAACTGAAAATTATGAAAAATATATTTAAAAATCAAAATTCGGACATTGTGTGTGTATCAATCATCATAACAAACGCGCAGCAATAATTTGTCGGGCATAATCTTTATTTATAAAGAGGCATACAGCAACAGTAACTGCTAGAAAGTAATTGAAAAGAAAAAGACTAGTTTCGAAAGTCGTAAACAAAAGGATAGGTTTCGAAATTGAAAATGAAACACAAGTTGTATGGTAATTTTGACCCTGATAACGCGTCATAGGTTTAAGGGATAATACACTATTTAAATGATTTATACTCAATAGTTTTTCAACTCATAGTTATTTATAGAAAACACCAATCATGTTTCAACAGTCTGCAGTCGCTTTCTACTCGTTTGCATATTATTTCTTACTCATCAGTTTTTTATTCGCTTGCTAAGAGAAAGAAACTTAATTTCTTTCTAAAATTGTTCCCTGATTGTTACATCGTTTAGTTTTCCCGATACACGGATAAAATACAGATTATGAAAGAGAAGCGATGTAATAAAGACTAAACAAAGTACGAAGTCAGATGAAAATCGTCATTCAGTCGGGCGCGTAGCAAATTTAATTCACTTTTTTCATTCCTTTTGAGATAAACACAAGGTTTTTTAACAAATTGCTATCCATACAATTGAAATCTATCAGTTTGTTGTCATTTTTGTCCGGAAAATTTCGGTTATCAAAGATTTCTCATTTATATTTCATCACCATTTAGGTGTAAACACAGATGGACCCGAATGGTATACAGTAACTTTACTTGTCACTCACCTTATTGTATGTCGCTCGCCGTTAGAAAGAAACTTGATTCCACTACAAGTTCGTCGCTGATTGTTGTTGGGCCGTGTCGACCGTATAGTCCACCAGGTACACGATACAAATGGAAAATGTGTGAGATATCAAACTTTGTGAATATCGTCGGTCGCCGGATTTCATATCGTGAGGGACTGGGGCGAATTTGGTGCCTGCCGGATATTTGCACAACAGAATATATTAATATAATACATATACTATTGTGGAAAATTCCTGGCCTATTTCTTGATGAAAATCGATCGTAATATAATTTCAAGCCTTCAATGTAGTCTTCTTACTTTGCGCGCGAGTTGGTTGGTGTGATGTTTGTACAGATTTTACCAACGTAATAAAAGTAGATGACGCGAATAACAGTGATGGTAAAGCACGCTTAAAACGGCAGAAATCGCCAGAAACTACAACGGATACACGGGGTATGAGTAAGTTTTATTGATTTTACGAGAAAAATGTTCATATTTCGAAATATTTATCGTTGTAAATCGACCATATTTCGTTCCCTATACTATTCCTTATAACGTGTTCAAATTTTCAACGGTTCCTCTCGTAACTTAACACCGAGTCTCAACGCGTGAAGCGTTCATGAATTAATCGTTGGCTTTTTCTCGAGGCGTGAGCATGGGCTGCCTGTGACAAGACAATTGCGTAAACAATACTTAACATAATAACATTATACACAAAAAACACAGGATTTTGGATCATGTATTTATTAAAAAAGAATATCCATACAACTACAATGAAAACAAACATAAGATTCACCTTTCTGATCGAGAAATTAATACCATTCGCACTGTTATCGTAGCTACGTTCCTTGGCATCAAGTGAATCCAGCATGGCGTCTTTCTTCAGAAGCAGTTTGCATCCATTAGAGTTTTGTTCTTCAGTCTCACGGTAGTAGTGTCGTTCAATAGATTGTATAGAGTATGTGCAGTTTGGTTTCAGATTTCAGATTTTGCTTTTTACAACAAGTGTACGTTTTTCAACTAAGACATTGGCATACTTGGCATACAAGGCATACAAGGCATACATGGTATTCAAGGCTTTCATGGCTTTCAAGCGTTCGCGACTCAATCCGTTCCAAAATTACCGCTCAAAAACATCTTTTAGTGTGGATTGGCCGTGAACAATACGACTTGTGTATGCGTCTGTAAGTATTTTGAGCGTTTGCACCATAATGCTCCAAGTGATCGTCATCCAAACACGTTGAAATACAAAACGACAGACAAAAGAGTTTTATGAGCAAAAATCGCGTGGTTCGTCATGTGACCCGGTCCTGTCCGTGCGTTAAATCAAAAAATCAATCATCATCAAGATAACACGCGTGATTAACATGTGAACACCTCATTGGATCACAGTTAGTTGTCATGGTGTTGAGGGCCCAATGACCACTGGGTACTATTGCGTAATTTTCCCATTTTGTGGCGGAGGAAAAAAGAAGACGACAAAAAACAAAGGCATTTTATGACTGGGCTACCACAGATATCCCAGTAACAAATCAAAATGTTTTACCAATAAAGAAAAACTAAGGGTTATTTCATGATAAAGACAAGGACTGTATGATAATGTGCCTGTTGTCGTGACTGCAGCGCTTGCAATGATCAAATTTCCGTCAAAGACTTCCAAAGTTTGGTTTAATTGTAAAGTCGACATATACACCACTAGTTTGATATTCAATTGCCAGACGCTTATTAATTCACTCGGGAACTTGTACTCTGACCACCGTGTTAGGATTGTCTGAAAAATTTGTCATGTTCAAAACCCGAAAATCAACCGTCAAGTTCCTCAGACAGGAGCAGACAGGTCCGAACGCAAATCTATTCCCAGAGACAATCTCTTCATGGTTCCACACTAAAGAACGATGTTAAACTCAACTGAAAGGAGCCGGATGAACTCGGAGGATAAAAAATCTACCAATGAAAAACTTTTGTTTGTCTACTCGAAGGGAAATGTATATGGAAATGCTCGGTTTGAAGAGATTCGTCAATTCATTTGGATGAGGATGAGGGCGCTATTTGCAATGGGGATGCTTTTAGATGCGAAAATTTTTAGCGCGATTTCCGCTAATACGATCACAAAGGTCAGGTTTTTCTACGAAAGGGTACACGTTTGCATCATCAACATCGTCATCGTTTTTAAGCAGTTTGCATGGGCATAACTGTCGGATTTATTGAAACCGAAACTAAGGATAATTTGCTTTGTTAATTTGCTTTTGCTTTGAGTTGTTCGTGAAACAGGTTCTCAAGAAATGACAGAAATAAGACTGCGTTCGCACTAGTCA